TTCAAAATGTCAGAGAAATATGGGGAAACTTGCTCAAAACACATGTAGACTAAAAAAAAGGATGCACCTGCATACTCCCTAAGAACCAGAAGAGCATTAATTCTGTGTATACAAGTTAATGTCCTTTTAGCTTTTATCAGATGCAATGTCCTGTCTTTATTCGCTGATCATTCTACTAATTCACAATTTCAAACAGTTATTTATTTGCAATCATTGAAGTTGTATGTAAAATTTGCATTTATAACTGAATATTATTGGGATACAAATAATAAGAGCCCAAATTTTAAATCAGAAAAAAATGTACCTTTCTGATCTAAAGCAGAGATATCACCCAGACTGTTGCACAGTAGGAAAATATTTCTCACCTAAAATTTCTTGCATGAAATTGAATTTGAGGAAGAAGCTGGAAGAGATGAATGTGATTTGGACATTTATGCAGTGACATGAAACAGGGTAGGGTGAATAATATGAATATGCAAAGAAAATATCTGGAAAGTGAGGGGGGGGGGCGCTGTGTCTTCAAAAGTCTGTTTTAAGACATTTTCTCTTTCATCATGTTTTTGGATGATTGAAACCAAGAAGTCCTTTTTGTGACACTTGAACATTTTTCTCCTTTGAAAAGGTGCACTTATTTCATGAAAGAATTTGAATACATGTACGAAGAGGAATGTATTCAATATCAACTTTAACCATGACAAGTCTCACATCTACATTATGCAAGAAAATACATGCCCATAAAATCATCAAATACAGCTTTACCCATAGTACCATTGCAAATTTTTCACATATCTAATCTAGGATTTGTGTGAGGGCAATCTTTCAATGCAAAATGCTTAATATAAGTTTAGTTTACATTTGTAAATATACCTATTTTTTTTTCTTTCAACTGAGAGGATGTCTTTAGTAATCTTTTCTAATGTCAATAACTGAGTTTTTCTGTTCTAGTATATAATGTTGAAGACATTTTCTAACACTTTACTGTGCTGCTTCGGCAGAACTTGCAAAAATATAAAAACCGATGTAATGAAAAATGTAAATTATACATGTCATACATACTTTTTTGTATGATAATGTATAGAATATCTATACATTTATCCAAGGTTCTGAAATAAAAGAAACTCAAAACGATATCGGCAAAAGAAATACGCATTTTAAAGTCTTATCCTTTTTCTCTTAAACCTTTTAAGTATGTATATTGTCAATATTGGGAAATAATATGGAAGCTTATAACTTTGAAATACACACTATATATTTCTCATCTCTCTCCATCATTGCAACTATTAAACTTGAACAAAATTATTGTCTTTCTGTGAGTCACACCGTGATACATACAATACATGTAGGTGTACTAAGGTATGCACACTGTATGCTATAGTGACTGTACATGTAATGAGATGCAAGCTATCTACTCTTGATGTGAAGTCACTATAAATGTACATGTAGTGATTCTTTTGGTATAATACTCTGATTCATTCGCACATTCATTCTATAACTTGTACATGATAAAGGGAGCTTCAAGCCAGTGTATGCATTATTGGTGGATATAGAACATGAATGTGCCATCAACATTTGAAGGGGAAATTGAAGATTTACCCCCCAAAAAGAAGCACCATGAGCTCAAATGAGCATAAATAGAGTTGATGATAATGGTCCTAATTTACACATATTCTACCTAACAGCTAAGGCAGCAAGTATATATGTTTCAAGATAACCAGTGGACCTAGGATTTCAATCCTATCCAAAGGACTTACTTGCTCAGTATTATGGCTTTAACTATGGGCATTCCAGGATTAACTTGGTTTCAAACCTTGGACCTCCCACTTACAAGAACACTGCTAGATACCACTGAGCCACTTATAAAGTTGTATTTGGTAAAATAGAAGAATGTTTTTTAATGTCATTATAGTACAGAATGTTTAATGAAAATGAAAATAATTAAAATATATAAATTGTTGGTTGATGGTTGCTCAGTTTCATAGGCTATACACTGTAGTATGGTGAATATAAATAGAAAAGATACTTCATAGTCCAGAGACTTTACTCTGAATTTAATGTAATGTTTTCATTAGATGTAAAAAGCTATTATTACAAGAGTGTCATTCCATAGCATATCCCACTGTGAGTGTGTACCCTGGTGCATTTTTTACTTTCACTTCTTTCATATAGATGTTCTGTCTTCCATGCATGATTAGAAAGCTACACAGACTGGTGTAAGCATTATTAATGGGCAGACTTCGCATACATCGTCACCGACTATCGCTCTGCTGCTCGCCTGTAATATTGGCATGCAGGCAGCACAGAACGCAGCTAGAGCTCTCATGACACACAGTAACTAACGAATGCACAGCGCTATGGCGTGCAACGGGGAGAGAGAGGCTTTCTAGGCTTGAGAACACACATCTAACAAACGCCTCATATTGGCATGATACGTGGCGCTGTAAGCTGCATAACACACGTCTGATCATGAATGCATGCTGCGAGCAATGGCTGCTTTGGATATTGCAATTATCATGACCGAGCGATGCATAGTCTTCATTTCTATACCCTTTGATAGCATTCCCACCTGTATATAGCTACATGTACATGTATATAATGTGCAAGTGTGTTGCTCTTCACATTTTATCAGTTTCTATATTATTTGCATCATTGTCGACAATCTCCATCTATTTCAGTTCAGCAACATTCTTCAGATGGTCCAATTTTTGTAACTAATAGGGACAAAAATACAAATGCATAGAATAATCCATACCTTTATAGTTGTAGCCTTGGATGTTCATTTGATATAAGTGAACAGTTTTTAGTGAGCATTAATGATTAATGGAGTGACCTTGATCTTTGAAAAAAGGTGACAAACATGATCATATCTGAAAAACTAGTAAAAGTGTGGATATTCAAGAGCAACAGATAAGAATATGAAATTGAGATCTTCTAAAATAGAAATTTACATGTGCATTTAATCAAGAATTTTATTTTGTGGAGATAAAAAAGGCATATTTAGACTGTGGTTCATAATATTCTAACTACTCTATTAGTAAAATATTAATTGGGTCAAACAGATTTTGTACTTTGTATCCTTGAATGTTTCATTTGATATTCCTGAACAGTTTTGAGAGAGCATTGATGATTAATGAACTGGCCTTAATCTTTAAAAGATAAATAAATAACTACATGTAAGATGATATTGAAGTATGAATATTCAGGAGAAGTGTCAAAGAATGTCAAGTTGCAATATTCTCAACCTTAATCCATGTCTAAGAAAATATTGTTTTTCCTAGCAGGAAGAGTAAAATACATAATTTTTTTTCAGTTTTAGTAGTTGTCAACCTTGAAAAAATACTATCAATCATAAACATAAGGTACCTGCAGAATATCAACATTTTTCACACACAAACAATTTCAAAGATCCATAATTAAACAAGAATATTGCTACCAAATATTACAAAATAGTACTGAAATATATCTGATACATGTTGATAACTGTAAGCATCAACTATGCAAAATGTAGGAGTAGTAGTGGTGGTTATTTTACCTGACTGCTAAGAAAGCATAAATAATTGTTAGAAAGCAATCAGAGGACTAACGGCTTTAGGTCTTCTCCAAGAGTACAGGTATAACAAAAACTATTATGGCAAAGAAATACAAAATTGTCTGTCTACATCTATAAATGATAATCAATATACGCTCTACAAAAATGAAGAAAACAATTTGGAAAGCATTAGATTCATATCTACAGTTTTATTAATAAATATAGTTTATTATATTATTATTATTATTATCATACAGTAGTAGTAGTGTAGTACATGTAGTACTGTAGTAGTAGTAGAAGTAGTAGTAGTATAGTAGCAGTAACTAGTAGTAGAAGTGGTAGATGTTATAGTAGTAGTAGTAGTAGTAGTAGTAGTAGTAGTAGCAGCAGCAGTAACTAGTAGTAGAAGTGGTAGAAGTTATAGTAGTAGTAGATGTAGTGGTATTAGTGGTAGAAGTAATAGTAGTAGTACTAGTAGTAGTAGTAGTAGTAGTAGTAGTAGTAGTAGTAGTAGTAGTAGTAGTAGTAACTAGTTGTAGAAGTAGTAGAAATGGTAGAATTTGTAGTAGTAGTGGTAGTAGCAGCGTTGAAGGCAGCAGCACCAGCAGTAGGTAGTAGCAGTAGCAGTAGAAGTAGAAGTAGAAGTAGTAGTAGTAGTAGTAGTAGTAGTAGTAGTAGTAGTGGTAGTGGTAGTAGTATTAGTAGTAGTAGTAGAAGTAGTGGTAGTGGTAGTGGTAGTGGTAGTGGTAGTAGTAGTAGTGGTAGTGGTGGTAGTAGTAAAAAAAGTAGTAGTATAGTGGCAGTAACTATTAGCAGTGGTAGTAGTAGTGGTAGTAGTGGTGGTAGTGGTAGTGGTATTGGTGGTAGTAGTAGTAGTAGTGGTGGTAGTAGTAGTAGTAGTAGTAGTGGTAGTAGTATTTTGCGATATGCAGAGCTCATAAAGATCATTTGACTAAACGAATGAAATCATGTTTATTTTTTATGCATTTATAGGGGAAAGATTCTGATGATACGATGGTGGTGGCGGTGGTGGTTGTGGTGGTGGTGGTGGTGGTGGTGGTGGTGGTGGTGGTGGTGGGGGTGGTGGTAGTGGTGGTAATGATGACGATTATAATGATGAATTATAATGATAATAATAATGATACTACTACTGCTACTACTACTAATAATAATTATAATAACAATAATAAACATAATCATAATTATTATAATAATCATGATGAAAATAATGATATTAAAAAGTGTTGTCTATTGAATAGAATATTTATGCAATGTAAGCAGTCAAATTTTCAAATTCAAAATTTGCTTAATCTAATCAACAGAAGATCAATATTTTTCTTGCATATACAGGCCATTTTGTTACTTCATTAGTATTTTCAAAGAGATTAATATGTGCAAAAAAGGAAATATTTACCCATTATTTATTCCCTTTTTTTAATAAAAGACGGGTAGAATTCATTAGTCATCAACCTACCTGACAGGCATTAAAGAGTAACTGATGCTCAAACTTCTTGACACCTAGGATGTTTTGAAACATCTCATAGAGCTGTTCCTTGCTAAGAATGAGCTCGGATGCAGCAGACGTGGACAATCTTTGAGGCTGTTTCCTTGGATCCTCTTCTCCTCGATAAATGGCATCAAATTTAGCCATCCATGAACTCAACACAGTTTCTTTGCTCAAACCATCGATTTCCGGCAAACTTCGCACCCGCTTCTCAACGTTATTCTTGAACACTTCCCGAAAGTCATGCGAGGAGCATCCTCCACTCAAGACCATCTTGAGCACTCGGTCGCTCTTCAAGAAAACCTCATAATAACTCTGAACGGCATTACAAAATGCCTCATCTGCAACAATTTGAGTTTCACCGTTTATGAATGCCTGGAATCGCTCTTTGATTGTCTGCAACTGGGGTTTGGTTACTTTTGTCTGCCTTCTCATCATATCCGTTGGTTGCTTGGCATTGAATGGGTAAGCAATGCATCTCATGACGAAGACATACAGCTGCAATCTTTTCTTATGGTCTTCTTCTTCCTTTTCCAACCGCTCTGCTTCCTTGCGTTCTTTCTCGCTGATAAGCGACGGGCTGGGGCTGGCGGGGCGAACCACCGACTGCCGGTGGCCTGTGTTGGGTTGCACAACATTGTTGGCTTGCAAGCTGTCGCTGCTGGATGCACATATCCGAGTCCCACTTTGACTTGGTGCCGACAGCGAATCCGTTTCATCTTCATAGTCATTGTCCGAGTCTTCGTCGCTCGACGACGGATCCAACATTATGACTACAACTTCACTTTGCGATTTGTTGACAAAATGATGTTTATTGATGTATTTTCCCTACATATTATCCAGATGCGCGACCATGGAAGAACAGCTGTTCGAGAAACATCTCCCCCCAACCAGCTGCTCGACACTCTACCTGCCGATTTCTCATGGACGTACGTGTATGGGGTACAGGTCGAACCTCATATCTTGCGTGCAATACGTGGTTACCGGTTATCTTAGAGTGTGTGTGCATCATGCATGGGCGTACACGGCCTTGGTCTCGTAAATGCATCCATTCCTTGTGTGGCGTCCGTTCGTCCGCGGTGCTCAGTGCGGATCGATGAATGCCGTGAATATCACGAGCGCATTTATGTGGAAATTGATTTATTCTGCACATCGCATAAATTAGTATAACATCGAATGAAAAATCGGAATTTGTGTCAATATCCCAGCCCCCTGTGCTGTTGTGGTTTGTAAATGACTTCTTACTTATAAACTGTAATCAACACACTATCTTACCACCCCCCTCTCTCTCTGCCTCCACATCCCAACCCCCCCCCCCCCTCTCTATTTAATTTTGTCTCCATCTCACTCACTATTATTTCCCACCATCCCCTTCCTCTCATTCTCTCTTCGTCCCTACCTACCCTCTCATCCCCCTCCCTCTCTGTCTCTCTTCTTTCTCATCTCTCTTCTTCTTCATCATCTCTCTCTCTCTCTCTCTCTCTCTCTCTCTTTCTCTCCAACCACTTCCCCGTCTACCTCTCTCTTCTAGCTTTCCTTGCTTCCTATTTCTTTTAAAGAATATTTAGTATATTTGTCTGTTTGATAGTCAATCTGTTTGTGTGTTTGTTTACGGAAAAGCATTGTGAGAATGGGTGGAAATGGCCAAATATCAAGCAATAATAATTTTCAATAATTCCCCCAATTATGTGGGACTTGCCTTTACTCACATCAATCAGGGAGTTTGAATAAACACAGAATGTAGTAGTTAACACACAGGCATGTAAGTAGCGGGACTACTCCGATATAACAATTATGTAAAGGCAAGAACATAGAAGACTGACATTTACTTTCAAAATCCAAATTTTTTAACTCTGGTGAAAAAAAAATCTAATTGAAAATGCAGTTTTCGAATATAAATACAATTTGGTGATAGACCATGGAATAATCACAAATCTTCCTTCTTTTTTAATAACTCTTCATCCTTCACACACAAATCTTTCCAATTATATTGGCCACCTGCCTCTACCCCCTCTATGTTTCGCTCTTAATGGTCTACAAGTCAAAGAAGTTTGATCATCATTCCCAATCAACATTATTGTTTCTCTCCATCCCCTCAATACCTCTGAACTCTCTCTCCTCATTTTCTGTCTCTATCTTTATCAATCCTTCATACCAAGTTTTGTTTCTGTATTTCCTTACCATTCCTTTACACCGTCTCTCTCTCTCTCTCTCTCCCCACAATAAATAAACATTCATTTGGCTTTCCCTCCCAAATATGTAATCTGTGATATTTTTTGATCAATAAGTTCAAGTAAATTTGGTTCATAATCCACTTTAATGAAAATAACTTATGTAATGGATGATGTGTTTATTTACTCACCCCGCCCCCCTATTTAAAAAAAAAATTATCTTATTATTATTATTATTATTTATTTATTTATTTATTTATTTTTTTTTTTTGGGGGGGGGGGGGTTGGGGGTTGGGGGTTGGGGTGGGGAGGCCTTATTTTTCATCTCAGAAAGGTAGATGTGATTCAATACTATCTACTGAGTTTCAAACCTTTATCATAGATATCCACATCAAATAAACAAGTAGATATTACAAAGTATTAGTGAAACATTATGATGTCTTCAATATATTTATTCTCTTTATGTTGCCTGGCCATTCAGCAATAATGCTAATATGACCAAGAAATTTGAATTATTATCAATACATACTAGCTCAGTGGACAAAAAGGCAATTTATGTTACATATACATGTACACTTTGTACAATCTAACTCTATGGAGAAAAAAAATCCAAGTATGAGTATCCTTCCAATTGAGTATAAAGGAAAGCTGCTATGGAATAATTTAGAATCAACATTACTTTTTTACTTTTAACCATGACAACTTGAACAAACTTCACGCCAAATAAATAGAATCAAACAATTTCATCCTTCAACATACTTGAAACAAGTTGATGATGTTATCCTACTTTAGTTATTGTAGACTGAAGATGGTAGACTGAATTGTGAAATTACTTTGAGAAAAGCAGAATATCACGGACATGGCTTATTCAGAACATTCAATGCGGGTACAAAAATAGTTATCCAACACAGAAATACAAAGACAGTACAGTTTTACAATCAATATCAAAATAAACAGACACAAACACAATTTAAAACTATTTACATTCAGAATGTCATTTACAGTGCATACATATTTATAATACATATATACAGATGCTAGCATAATTACAATGGAGTGTATATACACTTAGTTTGCGGCAAGGAACATATTTTTTCTTGGGTAATCAAAACATGAATCTCATTTCAAACAAGAAAACACTGTCTTGAAGACTGCATAATATGAAACAAAAACTTCACCTTTTTGGAAAAATAGCTGTACTATTACAGCAAGAATATTTTATACATTTACACAGACATGAAAAGAAGATCAGTTTTAAAGACCCCAAACCATGAAGAAATATAAAGGTTCCTTGTAATAAAATAAGACAGAAAGAAAAAAAGTGTCATCTATTCCATTTCTCAAAATAAATGAATCAGTGTCGTTTATCATATTATGTTTAGTAATGGTAGCAGAATTTACCTTGAATAATTGGAATTCTTTAATTTGGTTTAGCACTGATTTGACTGAAATAGCCTTTTTACATAAATAGAGAAAGTATTATCAATGATTATACCTTTTTCTTAAATTCACATATAAGTTCTTGTTCTTAAAATGAATATGTATTGTGTACCAGTTTTCCCATGAATGAAATGAAAAGCAGATATAAGTACTACCAAAGAAACAAAGCCTGATGCAATTCTTCTTTTTCTTTAAGGTTAATGACATTGTTATAGTTGACATAAATGTCATGCCATGCCCCCCCCCCCAACCCCACCCCCCAAAAAAATCAAACTTCTCTCTTATAGAAACTCAATAATATTCAAATGATTCTATAGCCAATTTTAGATATGTAACACATACACAATTAAAGAGAATTTATGAATACCATCTGGACCAGAAAAATCTTTCGTGACATCATAGTAATACATACGAAAATAGTCCTACTAAAGAATACCAAGCTGTGACAATAACATCAAAACACAATTAAAAGATAAACTATACACAATTAAAATGCGTCACTCTTTGTAAATTTCAAATGACAAATAGGATCTCCTCTGACTTTATACAAATAAATTAGTTTGCCTGAATATTCAATTCAAAGAAATGATATTTTGGGGTGAAAAAACTAACACACAATGAAAACCATCACTAGAAATACATGAAGTGTACACGTAGCGGAAAAGGGTTATTCCTGTTGGTACCGTAGGCAAAAATGCTTAGATCTTTGGGATCAAATGGACAGACTCAGACAGCATGTCAATATTCCAGCTTGACCGTAAACACTGCATCTCTTCTGAATCCACAAAGCAATACAAGTGTTCAATGGAATATGACATCACAAGATTCCCCAACATATCATCAGCTGCCTGCAAGAAGGTTTTAGGAGCTGGTACTGTCAATGACAGTAGCCGCCTTCTTGCGGGGAGCAGACGATATGTCTAATGGCATTTAAGCCTTTGGTACATAAAGGGCTGAACAATAAGCTTTCCCTAAAACATCAACAAAAAGAACAAGTCTGCATCCACCAGAGGAAAGCCTTGGCAATCGAGTCTTCTTAACACAACAAAAGGTTGACTGTACAATGAAAGCAGATTCAGATTGCATATTCTGATGCATAGATGCTTTATCGAATATGTAAAGAACGCTAAATAGAGTTCTCAGTGCATCATACATGTGAAAACACTTCAAAGTGAAGCAAAATTTTAGTATGTTTTTCAAAATTGTCCCCCGAAGTCTAGTACAGGGGTCAGATAAGCCTGTGATCATACATGAGAACAAGTCCCTCTTATCATCTCGTCTTCACAATACTTGTTTTATGCCATCCACTGGAGAGTAATATGAAAGTCATAAAAGATGGACAGCAAGAATTATGCAAACAGACTTTGACTGCTGGCTGAGTAATGGCAACAGAGTATATCTGGGCATTTGCCCATTTCTTTTAGTTTCCACCTATATTAGAGCATGTAAGTAATGGCATTCGCTGTTATATGTCACTACCAGCCAAACAATTAAAATCAGTTTGGTTTCATTACTGGTGTTATCTTCTTACAGCTGTATCCTGTTTTTACTTTTCATTTGTTTCCTCTGTTTTTTTGTAGTTGATTTCACTAACACAACAGAGCTTCTTGCTTGGCCCTGTAGTGAAATATCCATACACAGCAACAACAAATTCAAAATGACTTCCACACCAAATAAGGTGAAGATAATACCATTGTCGGATAAGTTGACAACTGATGGGACATATGGAGAGTTAGGCTTGACTGATGGAAATTGCAATGTTTAGTATTTCTAAGCAATGAGGCCAAGTCATCCCTGATTGCATCATTAACTATGAAAAGTACAATATATACAAACTAAAAACCTTCAATATTTCCCAAAATGGACAGGCTTCACTTTGAATGAAAATTCTTCCGTGCTGGATATGCATTACTAGTTCCCCTATTGTAGAACGTATGTTGTCTATTCGAGTCCTGGCTACCATAAGGAGATTTCCGTCCATTAGTAGGAAACTTGTTCTGGACACCAAAGTGATTGCTGATCTGGTTTTGGTTCTGATGGTACGGTACAGGAGGGTAGCCAGTACGTTGCTGTTGCTGAGGGAATCCTTGAGCATTGGCATTCTCTGTTGTCTGGTTGCTGTATTGGTAGTTGAAGTTGGTGTGTTTCTGTGGTGGGGGCACTGGTGGTGGTACCGGTCTTGCGGGTTGCTGCTGTTGTTGTGGTTGGGTGATAGCTGCTTGGGGTTGTTGTTGTGGTGGTGGTGGTGGTTGTGGAGCTTGTGGTTGTGTTGGATGCTGGTGGTAGGGAGTCGGTGCAAACTGAGGCTGAGGCTGCTGCTGCTGCTGTGGCGGCTGCTGACCATACTGCATTGGATATTGGGGATTCTGGTTTCGATGAGCAATTCCATACTGGGCCTGTGGAATAGTAAGAAATCGTTTCTACTTATAATAAGAGGCTTAAACCAGAAGGGGCTTTATTTCATCAGCATGAAATAAAAGTTCATAGGATGAGAGGAAAGCCAAATTAAATTACAGAGGCAGCCTTCAGCAACATGGCTGCATTAATGTAAAAGAAACTTAATACAGTATTTATACCAGTGAACCATGTATTTCATTGTAAAATACTATTGCTTAAAAAAAGGATTAATAGCTTCATAACATCACAAACGACCAAATGTATGGCCAGAATAAAAATGTGACTACTTACGGGAACAATAGCATTGCCAGACACGTTCTTGAGAGGGGAGTTTGTTGCCACTGGACCAGGGACACATCCTCCAGGTGCACTGTTCTGTCTCAGGGTTACTGTAGGACCATTCTCCACTGTATCATCAAACCAAACCAGCAAGAAATAATGAATCTTTCATACAAACTTCACAGTACAAAAACTTGAAATCAACTCTATTTGTCATAACTACATGGCAAGTATAGTACAATTAAGTGAGGTACGTTAGATAATTAGTTATTTTACTCAGACATGATTGGAGTATGATTATTTACATCATGAAGATAATGCTTCACTTCGACCCAATAGATTGGTATCACTTCTTAATAATAACCGAGGAGTCAATTCGGTTTATGGACACTAGCATGATTAACACAATGAACAATCACCAAGTCTCAAGAGGGAAAAGAATGTAAAAAACTGCTTACAGGACGAAAATCATTTCCTCCTTTGAAAAAGCAGTATTTCATGAAATTAATTTTCCAAAGCTTTGGCCCTGATATTACATAGTAGATGAAATGTCAGGAATTTGACGCCTTGGGAACAATGGCAATTAATGAAGAACCAAATGGACAACTAGTGTACACCTGATGTATATGAGTTCATGTCATGTGAGTATTCAAAATTACAAAGCAGGCTCAAGAAACTCACGTGGCCTTGCATCTCTGGAGACAGCTCCTTTTGGAGGTGGAGGAGGGGGCACGGTGCCGGTGCACAGCTTCTTGCCTGGTGGAGGAGGGGGAGGTTCAGGGGACAGGGGTCTCTTGAGGCTCCCAGCTGCATCACCTCTACCGTCCTGGTAGTTCCTCCTGGAGTATCTTGTTTCACCTGGGACACTATCGGACCTTCGAATACTCCTGTATGATCAATGGATGATGTAGTAGCCGTTAGCTGATATGCATGTACATTGGGAATGCTCAGTCCAAGAAAAAGAATTAGTTTTTGATATTTGGATCCCTATCTTGAAGTATGCAGTATCTCTGGAGGAAACAGCAAAAATTACTGTGCTTTCTATTAATTTTATCACTGAATTACTCCCTTGCGAATAATAAACCCTTGACCTTTCATCATTATAGAATAAATGATGAATAAAATCTTCAGAATATAGGCCCACATGAAAAATATATATTCCTTTTGCAAGAGCACACTGAAGTGATGGATTAGTCACATTTCTATAATATTGCCAGAAACTTCCCTCATAAAACAATGACTTACTTGTCCTTGACATCTCCATTGACATGTGATTCCTCCATCAGCAGAGAAGTAATGGAGTTAATGACCTGTTGGGCCTCACTGGTCAGCGTTAACGTGGGTGTCTGACCATCTTTGGTCTTAGTACTGAATATGGCAAACCCAGAAGGTTTGGAGCCTGGTTTCCCAGCCTTTCCGTTGCTTCCACCATCTCCTTTCATGGGAGAGGAGGCGACTTTAGCCCCTGTCTTCAGTGAGGGGTTTGTTGTTGATGGGCTGGAAGTTGAAGTTTTGGTAGGAGCCTTGGATGACTTCTTGCCAGGTTCATCCTTGAGAGGGTCTGCGGACGGGATATCTGGTAGAGGGATGTTGGGGAGGGTGATTGGGGGTAACTTTCCAGAGCCTGTGGTAGAGGTTGGTACGAGACTTGCCGTGATAGAGGTGCTGGGTGTGGTTGCCGTGGTGCTGGTGGAGGAGGAAGAGGAGGAGGAAGAAGATGCTGGTTTCACAGATGAGCCTCTACGCTTCCTGTACTCCAGTAAAGATACCTGTGAGGAAAAAAACAACAACAACATGTTCCGTAAGAGATTGTAATGCTTCAGGGAAATGGCTGATAAACAGCTGCATGGATAATAATATGGACATACCACCACCACCACCAGGAAATCAACATTACTGAAAAGATCATATGTAATGGGAAAAATAATTGTTAGGGAATTGCTCACAGGATAGAAATGATTTCCTCCTGCAAAAAAACAGTATTTCCCAAATACTTAATTTTCCAAAGTTTTGGCCCTGATATTACATAGTCAATGAAATGCCAGGAATTTGACGGCTTTGGATTAATAAATATGCCCCTATACAAGATAAGAACCCCTACCTATTTTTCCCCCTTTCTTCTCAGTACATAATGACATTAATACCATTACAGATTTTGTAGCACTTCTGTTAATGTAAGAAGTAACTTACCTTCTTCTTGATTGGTGTAGACTGTGCAGAGTTTGGTGCACTTTCTTCAGAACTTGCTGTGCCACTCGTTGCACTACTTGGTAATACACTACTTGTAGTTTGTGAAGTCTGAACCTCTGCTGATTCCTGATTACCCTCTGAAGCAGCAGATAGAGAGTTTCCTAGATTCCTGACAGCCGAAAGCGGAGGGGTCCCTGGTTTGACAATACCTTGAGCAGGTGCACTAGGGACAGGAATTCCAGGAGATGGACTTGGTGATGGAGTTGTTCCTGGCTCTATGTTCCTGGGTGCTACTCCTTGTCCATTGATATTGGGTCTTAAACCTGGTCCCCATGATGCAGATAACCTATCGGGTGATCCCTGCGCAGGTAATGGACTTGAAGCTCCAACACTACTAGGTGTAACAGTATCTCTGTGCAAAAGATTTTGTTGTGGATTTGGTCCATGAGACTCATCTTTGGGACTGATGAATCTCTGTGGTGATGCAAAGCTTTGCCGAGGCCAAGAGTTAGCCATTGAGAGCCCAGCATCGCGCTGCTCATTGGGATCCGTGTTCTGTCGAAGAAGACGCTTTTTGGGCGAGAAAGGAGTGTAGAGGCTGCTAGATGAAACACCGCTATCATCAGCAAAGGAAGTAGTCAAGGTGAGAGGTCCAGATTCATTTATACGTCCCTGCATGGCTCCTGGGCCAGAAACATGCCGTGTTCTGAAACTATTTACATATAGAGAGTTAAGATCACTCTTGGTCACATTAGTCAAGAATCTATTCTTTAGATCTTTGGATTTGTCCACTAAATCATCATTTTTGCTCTCATCTAAGAGTTCAGGATTTTTCATTTCACGTGATTCTATGGAACCTGCCGAGCACTCTTGTTTTGTCGTCGGAACTTTCGCTGAAGTGTCAACAGCACTTTCGATTGTTATATTGGTCTCCAAAATTGGGTCTACCACTGGAGACTTAGTTCTTCCATCTACTTCCATGTTCACACTTCCATCTACTTCATCCTTTACTTTCTCTTCCTTTTCAACCACCTTCATCTCTTCTTCACTTCCTTTCACTTCTTTGCTATCATCCTGTTCCTTCACTGATTCTTCCTTGACAAGATTATTGTTGTCTACAGCCAACACAGTGGCATTTGTGTCTTTGGCATCATCAACAGGACATTCTGCTGCCTTAGCCTCAAGATCAGATGATGCCTCTTTGCATGCCATCTGACTTGTAGGTACTTCCGCTGAAAAATCTCTTAACCTCTCCTCTAGACCAGCTTTGATGGTGATGGGCGACTTCTCCAGCTCAGCGGGTGTGGTGACAGACAGCCCGCTGTCAATGGATGAGTTCTTTCTCACATCCTAATGATTAAAAACAAGAGAAATTATTCAGCAATTGAGGAACAGTTGATGCAATGCATAAGATAGCTTGGATTTTATAATAGAATTCATGTTACATTATGATCAAACAAAGATTTTGCTCACAAAATATAACTAATGAATGTATTAATACATGTTAAATGACAAATAAAATCAAAGTTTGTAGATACTTTTGTGATTCAGCAGAATTACAGGCAAAAAGTAAAACAATTGCAATGACTTGTTAAGCATAATGTGCATTTTTAACAGGATAACACATTTCAATGAATAGCAATCGAAATAAATACACAGACTGCAGATAAATTATACCATTTATCTGAAAGGTGTGGTTTAGGATGCTCTATTCAACTTCAGTGTGTTAGCCAAAATTGAAAAGATCAACGACATACAACAAATATTCAAAATCATACATAAATGAAGAAGGAAACTATTGTTAAAAAGGGATACATATACCTTTCTTTTCCAATATGAATTGTGCATTTTATCATGAATTACTATGAATTACCATTTTCTAATACAGAAGGAGGACATTTTGTTAGACATGTTCTAAATCCCTCATTAATGCAAAGAAAGTGGGACATAAACCAACAAGTTTAATTACAAAAGGCTGAACAGACTACCCTGAAACCAAAGTTATAGGTTTTACTAGGAAATGCTAAATTGTCAAATATGGCATACAGTTCAAAATCTTCTAGGTTCAATTATGATGAAATGAAAGAAAGGTATTCACAGTGTGCGGAGACTGGAATCTACAAATGGAAGTAGAGTGATTACAGGAAAGATGAAAAAGACCTTCATCATGTACACAAAGCAAAGAAATGGAAATAATAAAATATTTGTAAGGGATGTGCTCAATCAACATTGAAAGCAGCAACAGACCCAGAAGAACGATACATGGTGGTGGTGTGAGCATGGGGTTAAAATGGATGATTGACCATGACATAGAAACATTGAGATAGCTGACCTTCCTGGCTGGTAGAGGGAATGTAAGAGTAAACTGACTCTTCATCCTTTCAGAACATGTCACAAACAAGGAGTCCTGAGAGAAACACAAGTCAGGTTGTCACTACTATGCCATCACAATATGGCCAATCAGAAACACTCACAACATAGAGCAATCATTTTGTGTATCTTGGCTCCCTCAGTGCCACAACAGTACTTAACGGTGATCCAGATATGTCCCATGTGCATACAGCAATAAATTAATACCCTGATCTTCTATCACCATAACAAAGGGATAGTACAAGATCTAGCTTTGATATTTGACTTGTATAGTCATTTGAATATTCTGCCAAAGTGAGAAGATCACAAAAGCGGAACTTTTTGCTGTTCCAATGATTACAATGGGCCTTTCTATTACAATACAGAAGTGTGAAGGAATAACTAATGTGCTTACAAAGTGGTGCTCTAATGTGTCCTGCATGTGCTAGTTAGCTCAAACTCTACATCTTCTGTTCACTACACCTGAACAACTTTAAGTACTCTTCTTTAAGATATTCACTTTTTTTTTAATAGCTTCCATAATAATGAAAAGAGCATTTCTACTAATTAAGTTACTATTGCTAGGCAATAGACCAGTTTGTAGTACCCACACTTTGTGCATTTTAGAATAATCACTGCCAAAGTCATGGATGTGCTTCAAAAATCTCTTTTGTTTCCCCTCTTCTTTCACCTGTGCTCCATAGAATGTACCATCGGTGCATAAATGGATAATGATTACATAACTTTCATGAGTGCTTATCCAGTATTTGTCTTGTGGGTTTACAATTTTAGCAAGAATTACCTTCATCTGCACATAAGTAGATCTAAGACAAGCAAAGGCAAAAATGGTGCTTAAAATGAAGAAATACCTTCAAATTCTCCCCTTACCTTTCCCATAATAAAAGACTTGCTTTCCAGCAACATTTCCAAGAATATATCAGGATACATACCTCTTCTTGTACAGGTTCAAGTTCTGCCTTGGCCTGAATAAGAATAGGGGGCTCTTCAGACGGAGGGGCATCCTGATTCACCGCAGGAATAGCTGGTGCTGGTAATGAGTCCTGGGCAGTCCTGGGCTCGTGCTTAGGAGATGAACCTCCATATGCACCTTCTTCTGCCAAGGAATGCCGTAGCATGCGCTTCTTCAATGGAGTCATCAGATCTGCAATAGCATAGAAAATGAGACGATCAAGGTTGCATATTCAGTTTTTTCATTTTGTTTTTTAAATGTGGAGCTCTTTACATATTGTGAAGAACTGTTAAATGCAAGGTAAAGGAAATAAATGAAATGGATTGGATATGACTGCACTGATATAATATCCAGGTAAAAAGAAAAATTTGGAAATGTAAATAATACATGAATGCATGTTATACTTCTTAGTTACATATATGCAAAAGTAAAATGAATCGGACTAATAGAGAAGTCAATAATAGACTTCAGATTGGTTTGATTTTTTATGGTAAATTCAGTATTGTTAGTAGAGTATTTGTGAATGATAAATCAAAATCTAGGTTTATGAGTTCATTCAAAATTTTAAGACAAGACAATAGATAGGATGACAGCTCCAATATTGTTTATGAAAATATTGATTGAAAACAAAATATCAATTTTAACATTCAAATTTGAAGTTACCCAGCAAACGGTATATAAAAGACACATCAACCTTCAGCAAATTTGTAAGTTGACCCTTATAATACTCACCACTCGAAGCACTCGTATTCGGAGAGAGGGCCGGACTTGCGATGGGACTGATTGTACCATTACACGTGGCGGCTGGTTCTTGGTTGCTGTTTCCTTCACTCATGGCTTGCCGTAACCATCGCTGGAAATCAAAGTTAAACACAAGTTGTTCAATTCATTTATTTAAACTTAAAAATAAAAAACAAACAAACAAAAAGCACCACCAGCTAAATAGCCTACATAGAAACATGAAGATAAGCCAAATGAACAACAGGGGACATATTGAAAACGGTGTTGCTTATGAGGTATGAATTCTAACACAGAGGTTAGGTTTATACCTTTTATGATATACAGAGATATACAGTGATATGTGGACATTGGCAGTCGATTTCCTACATTATCTGAATTTCTATCAACCATGGACAAATGATATACAAAGCCCCAACTAAGCCTAACCTATAACCCAATTACAACTAAGGCTGGGAACTTTGGGTAGCTTTTTAATTCAGGAACCTGCCAAAATTTGGATGGGTACCCACAAATGATACAACAGAAAACATCTGCTAGATCTCCTACTGTTGTTGGATCTAAATGTATGCAATACAACGCATTCAATTTTAATCAAGACATGCACGAATAAATTTAGTATCACAGAAAAATTAATTTGACCAATAATAATAGCGGTTACAACAGCTATCACATGGACACAATCCTTGAGATGTGAGTATGGTTACCTTTTTTGCAGAACCTGCAAGTCCACCACTTGACTCGAGAGGGTTATTCCTCGTCTCTTTCACCAGAGCTGACATGGAACCGGATCGCTGTAGCAGAGGAGTGTTTGGCGATGAGAGATTACTGGAGTAGGATAGGTCCAACTGATCTGTCTTGATGGTGAGAGGCTTTCCAGCCAGGGATTCAAAAGCTTTCTCATTCAGCCATTCATTCATGAAGAACTGTACATAAACAGGAGAAGACAAAGCATGTTACCATTGAATCATTGAAACAAATGGATTCATCACATATTTTGTTTAATCTATGAATCTTTTCCAATTAATTACTCATTAAATGTCGACACTTCTCGACTATACTTGCTATTTAGCAGTAGGATCACTTTCTACATGCTTACTGGTTGTAGGTAAATTACACATTCCTCCTTCAAATGTTAGCCAAAATATTACCCTGTTGATTTCTTGTAGATTCTTTTTGCCTGTAATCTACACTGTGTAGATTTCACAGCAGTATTTCCTGTGTAACATACAACTGAGAATCAGCCTACTTTTTTCTGAATAAATGAAGATGTGCAGCAACCTCATCTGTATTCACTTTTACAAATAAATATGCAATTTCTATCATAAATCATTCACTTTTACATTTTATAAGCATACAATTATATCATTTATACAAAAGCACAAACAGTATGAGGTGCTATCCAAATTCGGCCTGTGTTAGGGATACAAACCTTCTTTGTCTTGGGAAATCTGAACCTCTTGCTACTTGATGAACCCGGTGAGGCCAGCGGAGATTCTCCTGATTTATCCTGGTGATTGATGCTGGTTGAGATAGAGAGAGGTGTTGATGGATAGTTACTCTTCTCTGTCCACATCATCGTAGGAGGGGCTTGATTTGAATCGTCGTCAGCGGATGAGACCTCTACGCTAGCTGAGGCTGATGCTGATAATGTGATACTGTTAGACCGGTGTCTTCTTCGACTGCTATAGGTACAGAACATAATGGGGAAGTTGAGTTCAGAGCTTTAAATAAGGCAATTCAGCATGTTAAGTCAAATAGAGTAGGCAAGGGAGAGAGGGGAAGGGAAAAGAGAGAGATAGAGATAGAGAGTGAGAAGGTAAGAGGGAGGGAGAGACAGAGAGTGAGAGAAAAATAGACCGATAGACACAAAGAGAAAGAGAAAGACTGAATGAGAAGTACACAAATGGCATATATCACAGGCTTTCTTCGTATATCCTTCTTGCAGTATTTTGTTTGTCATCGCAAAAAAAAAAGAACCCCCAAAAAGATCAGATTTCTGTAAATTACTGAATGACGTTCTTCCACATGGTTGAATCGCCGCATAAATTAATTAAAACTGAAAATGTTGACATTGTCAAAACATTTTCAAGAAAATCAATTATCTTCATATGAGATAAATATGGAATATATAGGTCTTTTCATTAACTCTGCGTTTAACTCAAGATTGAAAATACATTAGTGGCACTAAATGTGGATAATCATTTCTGATTTTGTTTATTTTAAATATCATATTTGTTTTATCGATTATCTCACTGCCCATAACATTCAACTTACCTCATGGTACTTCTTCTCCTCCTTCTTGTTGGTTTTCTGGTTGGAAGAGGAGTTGTTATCGGTGCTACAGTATTGCTTGATGATTCATCTTTGGTTGTTGCATCGCTGGACTGAAATGGAAAAAAATCAGAGTCCATAAAATCTCAATCACATTAATTTTTCAAATGAGTGGGGGGAATAACAATCTGAGAAATCCTTACATTCAATTTGTATTCTCACATAATATGAAGTACATACAAATTCTTATTTCATTACTTTGAACATCACTCTATGTGATTATTTGATATGGACTTACAAAACATACCTTGAATTGCTCATCCTTTCCGGAGTCGCTCTTTGTGACTTCATTCGTCTCCTTTTTGCCTGATAATGAACTCTGCTGTTGCTGGTCCGATTTGTTGCTCTGATCTTTATCTTCCTGTCCTACCATATCATCATCTTCTGGTTTTGAGTGCGCTATCCTCTCAAGAGCTTGCTGTCTTCTCTCCTGTGCCTTCTCCATCTTTGCAAACGCTTTCATAATGGCTTCCATCTTGCGTTCTTCCCTGGTCATCTTTGACCTGGACTTAGCAGAGTCCTCTTTAGGTTCGCTACTCTCTGTATTGACGTCCTCCCCCGTGCCAGGATCTTGAGGTAGTGGGAGAGGGTCTACAGCCTCCACATCCACCTTGTCTTTGTGTTCATTGTCTGATGAAGGATCTGCAGCAACAACCTCTTTGGTTGGTTTCTCAGTTGAGTTCCTGTTTGACCTACTCTTGTGATGGGATATGCTGATGGTTGTGGGGGGCTTTTCTTCTTGACCTACTTTAGGTACATCCTTGTGCTCGATGGTTTCTTCAATTTGTTTCTGAAAAAGGAAAAAAAACAACAATATTTTATTTTATTTTTTCTATTCATTTTTATTTCATTTTTGAAACTACTTTAACACATAAGAGCATGAAAGTGAAACTTATCCTAAAATTATTCTAAGCTTTATTCCTATCAGCATACAATATAGTACACTTTGTATCTTTATCTTTCCTTTCTTTCCCCTATTTCTTCAAAGTGTATCAAAATTAATCACCAAAATAAATGGCAAGAATGCAAGTGTCTTTTGTTTCATCTTAAATATTATTATTCCATTGCAATGATGAAACTCAGAAGAGCAAAGTGAAATGGTCAATTACCTCAGGACCATTTGCTGCCGGCAGTGAGACAAGAAGAGGGGATACAGTTCTATTTGAAGGTTCTGCTGTTTCTGCAACATTGGTGACAGGTTTCTTCTGATTCCTTGCCTCCAATGATCGGCGCTTCCTCCAGTATCGCTTGACAGGACAGTTCTTCTTAGAGCAAGCACATTTCACAGGATGGGTACTGAAAGAGAGAGCATTGAGTTATTTGATATTAATTCAGTGCTAATCTGTTAAATTCTATTCATAACTCCTCTTAGATTTCAACTAGCATTGAATAATTATCAAATGATTCATTGAGCAATTATGAGGAATCCCATTTCACTCATAAAGCATAAAATATAACATGGCAGGGCTTTTCAATTTCTTTTTGGACTTAAACAATAAATGTAATTATAAACATTGGTTCAAGAGCAAACAATAGAACCTTTTTTTCCCCTATAACAAGAAGCCTCTTGAACAAAGAGTTACACTGAAACGAAACTCAAAGAACTAAAGGTAACCTGACTTTCAACTCATCACGATCCCATAGTTAAAACTTGTGCTCTAATTTTAGAGTTGTAGTGAACTCTAAAACGTTACATGAAAAACCCTATCCTTTGCAACTTTCAAAAGTTTATAAGTTTCCAGAGTTTAAATTGTTTCATCTTGTATCACTTTCTTGTGAACAACAGACTCAATCTATATTTGATGAAGCACTTCTTTCTTACCAGTCTTTGTAGCTGTAATCAAAAGCCACAGTCACTTCACTTCCCTTGGTGATCTCAACCAGTGAGAAGAGGTAGAGCCTCAGAAGACCATCAATAGCTACATGTCGAACCTATACAGACAGAGGAAAGAAATCGACTCGTTAATACAGGCTTTGGTTTGCTAATGGAACAATCATTGGATTGCCACAGTGGACTTTTGTAACACATACATTGTATGTATACACCACACACCGTACACCGTACACCGTTCAGACTTTAAAAATCAAATCAAGGGCCATTCAACATATATTTGTGTATTGCCAAGAAAAAGAATCATGTTGGGATGATGTAATATGTTACTGTACATGTCACTGTACATGTCATGCTTGCACATTTAGGTGATGCAAGAGGTCATTAAAATTGCCCCTTGGTTGATTTCTCGTAAGTCTTTAAATTATTTAATTTTAATTATCATGAAGATTAAAATATGATGTGATTTAAAGGAAACATGAAACCAGACTAATGAATTTGAACTTATAGTGCAAATCTCTATGAACAAGATCATAAGCAAACCTGAAAGCAGAAAACAAAATTCAAATCAATGAAAATGAAAAATGAAAGTGAAAATGCATTTTTTTTTTTTCCCTCCATTTTTAAAATTTGTAATGTATCACTGAATTGAAACCAAAAAAACTAGATGGAATTTTGACTGCGCGCAGTCGAAAATGATGCCTCCGCAATAGAGCAATTTAAACAAGTTTGGAGTTTAAATCTCCAGTGGTTCTTGAGATATCATGATAACAATCTCAATGTATGGAATTTCATAAGTTGACCTCTGTGACCCTTGACCTTTGACCTACGTGCTCCAAAATCTAATCAGATTGTCTTCCTATGGTGATACACACTATCATTAAGTTTGAAGTTTAAATCTCTAGTGGTTCTTGAGATATTATGATAACAATCTCAATGTATGGAATTTCATAAGTTGACCTCTGTGGCCCTTGACCTTTGACCTACGTGCTCCAAAATCTAATCAGATTGTTTTCCTATAGTGATACACACTATCACTAAGTTTGAAGTTTAAATCTCCAGTGGTTCTTGAGATATCATGATAACAATCTCAATGTATGGAATTTCATAAGTTGACCTCTGTGACCCTTGACCTTTGACATACGTGCTTCAAAATCTAATCAGATTGTTTTCCTATAGTGATACACACTATCACTAAGTTTGAAGTTTAAATCTCCAGTGGTTCTTGAGATATCATGATAACAATCTCAATGTATGGAATTTCATAAGTTGACCTCTGTGACCCTTGACCTTTGACATACGTGCTCCAAAATCTAATCAGATCGTCTTCCTATGGTGATACATACTATCCTTAAGTTTGAAGTTTAAATCTCAAATGGTTCTTGAGATATCGCGCTAACAAACTCAATACAAGGAATTTCATAAGTTGACCTCTGTGACCTGTGACCTTTGACCTACGGACTCCAAAATCTAATCAGATCGTCTTCCTATGGTGATAAATACTATTCCTGAGTTTTAAGTTTAAATCTTAAATGGTTCTTGAGATATTGTGATAACGGTCAAACGGGACGGACGGACGGACGTACGGACGGACGGACGGACGTACGGACGTACGGACGTACGGACGGACAACCCGAAAACATGATGCCTCCGGCACCACCTTCGGTGGCGGAGGCATAAAAATGTAAGCCTAGACAAAATATTATGTTAACAGCAGCTAAAAGCAATAGAAAAAAAACATTGAATGATGAAAAACCTTCTTTCAGTTCTTACCTCAGCATTTGGAGAGCATGACTTCCTCACATATCGTGCAATATTCCCATATTTCCTTGCATCAACACAGAGCTCGATGTTGCTGAACTTTGTGTACATCAGTACATGCAGGTAGGGTCTGAGGAATAAATGCAGACAGTAAATACATGTTTAAGTTAATTTTTACATAATAACTGTAATCAAGACAATAACTTTCATTTCTGAATGATCACATAGAAGAACATACATGTAGTTTGAATACAAAGAGATAGCATTAAATGAAAATAAAAGTAATAGCACAAATAACAGACTGAAAGAAAAAAAGAAGAACTCTTGTCCTGAGTAGATTTCAAGTTTTACAGATTTAGAATTAGATAAGCAGTACTTTTGTACAATGATATTAAATCAATCTACTCAGAACAATCAACATGTAACATATCTTGTGATCCACAACCGGAAAATCAACAGTGACAGACAAGGAAATGTTACAATTTGTCAGGAATATGATATAAATTCAGGTTTATAATCAACTTTCATACTGAATTTTACAACCTGCTTTGTATTTATCTAGTTGGAATGCAATTTCCCCAATTACCTCAGCATGTTTTGATAAATACACATGCACCCAAGACAAACATGATTGGATGCATTTAGCTAATTTCAGGATATTTACATAGGTACATCCAGATCAAATAATTGTGGCAGTTGAACAAACAATATCTTTCGCAGTTTCATATACTGAGGTGAAACAGAAACTAGCCCTGCTCCACATACATGTACATGTATATGGCTAACTACCATGCATACACGTACACACACAGAGTTATAATCTTGTACACATGCTGTACCAGAGGCACAATATCCCTGATCCATGGCACGATGAGTCTGCTACACATCACTTCAGAATTCATATTTTGCCCGCCAGCCAAGGCCCCGTTATTTCCTTCTCTCCTAATTAACATATCCTACATATCCTGTTTGTTGTATTCTTCTCCTCAGTATAGCACACCTCAGACATTAATTATCCAACCTGTTTTTATATACCTTATTGTACATATATGGTTTTATAATAAGTGATGATAATCATATTTTTGAGGTATGAAAGGAGGATTTACTTCCTCATGTACAATAACCTTTGACAGATATAAGAGGCATGTAATGGAGTTTGGATTCATCCCACATGCACAAGACAGTTGTGCAGAAAAAAGAAATGTGGATGGAATGGTATTGGAAATGGACTTTGCAAAGTGATAGGTATGAGAAAGCAAGAAATGAAACTGACAGATTTAGAAATCAAATTATACTACCTGAAAATTCTAAGGCATACAAGGAAACCCAACATACCACACAAACCACACACAAACATAAACATCTTTCTTAAAATACCTTGACATAAATGCAATTAGAGGAAATTGAATTCATCTTCTACAATAATTCCATCCTAAAATAATGTATTTTCATCCTTTGCTATTCATGTATTCCTTTAACATGACATGGCACAAAATGCAATGCATAAAAAAGACAAGATGTAGTCTAATCCCCCTTCTACCCGACATGAAATCTATAGAGAGAAATTGCCATGTCTGTAGTATATATGGCAAAAGCTTCTGCAATACAAATAGTTTTTAATCTCATTGGTTAAAGAATGTTATATTAATTTGTCTATTAAAAAAAGAAAGAAAAGCATGAGCTTGCAACTAAGTAATGTCCTTTACCTCACACCTACATGTATGTGTATCCTTCCAATGCTACACTTTGTGACATGGTATATTCTGTAACACGCTTTTAATTTCAAACATCATCAATGCCACAAAGTTTAAGTTCAGGGCTGAATTCAAGATTTTACCTGTACTAAGTCACATGATAATTAATGCGGATGATATCAAGAACCGACATATTCATCAAAATGTCATTAAGGTTTTCAGAACTCATAATGCTGACAAGAATGCAAATTACACAGAAAGTTGTTTATCAATCAACTTTGAAGAAACGTTTTTAGAAATGCAGTAAATATAACTGCTTCTATAAAAATTCAAATTTGATACAACACACAATAATAATAAGCATGAAAATATTCATGTCAATAAAACATGGATTTCACACTTGAGAGATCGCCCTTACCAACAGTATAATCTTACTTTGTCATATTTCAGGATTTGCTGAACATTTGAGGATCATGGAATGGAATATATCTCTAAAAATACGCACTCTGTTTGACACACAAGACTACGCAAACACTTCATAAAGAATAATTCATGAGGACTCACTTTTTGGTCCATCCATTGGCAGGAACAAACTGATCCCTGAGCATGAGCATACCACGGTACTCGACGATGGGTTGATTAGGAGCCAGCTCCTCGGTAGCTACCAACCCACGTGCAGTCCTTCCAGCAGCACCCAGCTTGATCTTCTGGGGTGAGAGATCGTCCATGATGCAACCCAGGCTTGGCATGGTCCACATTGCATTCTGGCGTTGGTCAGAGAGGTACTGGTTCAATTCCAGGCTGTACTGATTCTCTGTCGCTTCTACAAAGTGGTCTGAATTTTCCAATCTATATTATAACACAAATGAAAAATAAAGTGAAATATGAAATAAGCAACATTACATTAAAAATGATAGCATCTGCAAGACTAATCACTGTTTTGTGGAGGACTTGGTACATGTATAACAGTGAAGTATCTGAATGTATTTAAAAATTAACAATCTTTCTACAGCTGTCCTTGCAATGTAATACAGCCGCTTGAAAACAATAATACTTCATTAGAATCAATCAAGCCCTTAGCCAGCAGCTAGGTAAGAGTCAATCTTGTTAGCCGTACTGTGGCTATTAAGTGCAGAAGAGGACCATTATTCAGAGGAAATGCTTTGATGTGGGCTTGGAGTGCACTTCAAAGATCAACCTATTATAACTGTCTGATGACAAATATCCTGCTTCACACAGGGGGGTTTCCTCAAAACGATGCTCAACTCTGATCTTTGATATACATGTAATAAGCTTAGTCCTAAGAGGAATACAGTAGATCATGCACAATCATGATAGCAAGCAGGAAATCATTCCCATTCTTATAAGGTACATTTAAAAAATAGTAATCATCCTTTCAGTTTTGTTTACTTTGCTCACACTAAAATGTATACTCTTTATATTCAGATGTTCATTTCATATACATGGACTGTATACTAAAGCTGTTGCTCTCACTTCAATATTACTATCAATTTGCTCATGAAAATTCAAAAGATTGACTATCAGAAAATCCATAAAATGCTGCCCTTCCTCAACCGACTATTTTATCAAGTTATCAAACAGAATGCCTAGACCGTTATGTCATTAACGGTCCTAAACAGGAACTATTAAGGAAGCCATGAAGTACTTATAAAAGTGCATGGGTGTCCAATACTGTAGATTCTCTTATACTGTTACTACTGTTTAAAAATATTTCAAAAAAGTACAGTGTAAGTATTAAACTAGATGGAATTCGACTGCGCGCAGTCGAAAATGATGCCTCCGTCATAGAGCAATTTTACAAACCAAAACAGAAGAAATTTTTCAAATTCAAGTTCAATTGTAATCCATTAACAGGTTCTCAGAATATCGTGATTACAAACAATTTCTCATATACATATATGACCCTTTGAACTTTGACCTCATGATCCTAATATCTACTCAGCTCATTGGCTCTGCAAGATATCCAGAGTTAAATAGTAATCCATCTGTCAGTTCTAATGAGAATGCGCTCACAAGCTATTTTTGCATACATAATGAGCCCATGACCTTGGACCTTATGAACCAAGAATCTACACAGTTCATTGGCTCTGCAAGATACATAAATGATCTAAGTTTGGCAGGAATCCATTAATCTGTTCTAATGATAACGCGATCACAAGCTGTTTTTGCATACATAATGGGCGCTGTGACCTTTGACCTTTGACCTCGTTACCCAAAATCTAATAAGTTCATCGGCTCTGCAAGTAACATACATGACCTAAGTTTGGCAGGAATCCATCAATCGGTTCTTGAGATAACGCGATCACAAGCTGTTTTTGCATACATAATGAGCCCTGTGACCTTTGACCTTTGACCTCGTGACCCCAAAATCTAATCAGTTCATTGGCTCTACAAGATACATACATGACCAAAGTTTGGCAGGAATCCATCTATCGGTTCTTCAGATAACGCGATCACGAGCTGTTTTTGCATACATAATGAGCCCTGTGACCTTTGACCTTTGACCTCGTGACCCCAAAATCTAATCAGTTCATCGACTTTGCTAGATACATATATGACCAAAGTTTGGTAGGAATCCATTGATCCGTTCTTCAGATAACGTGATCACGAGAACGGGACGTACGTACAGACGTACGTACAGACGTACGGACGGACGGACGGACGGACGGACGGACAACCCGAAAACATAATGCCTCCGGCTACTTCGTAACGGAGGCATAAAAAAGTATTAACTGATAGCACAATTGAAAATACTGTTAATTAGAGCAAACTTAGAATAAGGAAATGAATATGTTGAGAAATAAACTTACATTTGCTCTCCATGGAGAAGCAAATCCCCAATTCCTGGCTCTGGCCTTCCTCGATTCTTCCTGTGTTTTCTCTGTGAAGACAAAGTCAAATCAAACTGCTGGTTTGCAGTCCACAGTGCAGAGAGGTGATTAGGATTTTGGCCACATGCATAAGGGTACATGAATGATATGAGAAAAACAAATAAAACATAAAAAGACAAGGACGAATGAGAGACATACAACAAACAAGTGTTCGGACAACAAAAGTTTTTTTTTTTTTTTTTAACACAGGCGCTGATCTATTATGGAATGACAGGAAACAAATGTGTTAATATCCCAGATCATCTGTTTTCCTTAGATTCAAAACAAACGATATGAATATATCTCATTATAACTGGAAAATTCAATAATTGCATAAATCACTTAAACATGCTTAAGAATCTTTCAGATGGTTCTCTCAGTACTGGCAGCACCCTCCACCACACTACAAGTTTGATTTTCTTCCATCAACTGACAATCTCTTGCACACCCTATCAAAACAAAATCATGAAGATAGAAATAAAAACATTAAAAATTGTTTCTTTATCTCCCTATTACATCACATACAAAGTCCAGATTTTTCTAGTGGGGATTTTTGTGCGAAACAGGAAGTTGACTATGATACACAAATACAAGAATTTACATATAAAACCATACCTTCTTCTTTTTCTTTTTCTTGTGATGTTTTTCTTGTCTCTGATCTTTCTCCTCTTCCTTCACCTTTTCCTTGCCCTTTTCCTTTTCTTTCTTTTTCTTTTTCTTCTTCATTTTGTTCTTTCCTTTTGTTGAGGTGAGAGTGAGACTGGTTGGGGTGTTGGAGATGGACGAGTATCTGGCCCTCTTGCCCTTCCTTTTGCTGTCATCATCACTGCTGTCTAATCGTTCAACTGCGCATCAAAAATATAGGTTGCAACATGCTATTGATAATAGGACTAACAGTGGAACTACAAGACATGTATTCAAACTTCCTAGGCAAAGTAGTAGTATTTTTCAAATTTAATGTTCAAGATAAAATGAAGTGGTTGCCTTAAAAACCAGATCACAAATAAATAAATGTCTGTATATATGAAAAAACATAGGTATTGAAACACAAACAGGCAAATCTGTGTATATTACACTCACAAAATTTTTTGGGGGGATCAGCCACTATCCAAAGCATGGTTCTGAACTGTACTATCATCACCATGTCTACAGCCAACATATTACACCCCTGGCATATGTTTTTCTTGTGTCAGAGATCATTATTAAATCAATAATGAAATCAATAATTCAGAACCTCATCGGAAAGAAAATGCTCACAAATCATCAATAACTTTAGTATGAATTACAAACTTGCTGCCTCCATAAAACATCATGCATATCAGACATGCAAAAAAGTAGAATATCTCAGACACTCACGAATGTGTTTGCGCTTGATGGTCTGCAATTCAAGGGCCTTTTGTTGATCCACCATCCTTGGTTCACATCTCTCACAGAAGTACACATCTGGAATGTTATTCCTGTCTAGTCCCATACACTCAACATGCTGCCAGACTGTGCATTTATCACAGCAGATCATGTAGCCATCATCGTGGTCAAAGGTACTGAAAGAGGAAATGGGTGGCAACACACTTTAGCATAGAGAAAATGAAAGTAAGGGAGGCTGCAGTGTATTAAGTAGTGTTTCCTGTTCAAAACAAAACATAAAAACAGCAGTCGGCAATACGGAAGGGAGACATGGACATGTTTGACCAGGGGTAATAAACAAAGTCATTTATCTTTTCAACATATTGTTAGAAGAACTTTGTTGATCAGAATGTGTGAAGAGTTGCAATGCCATTTTGTTAGTGTGGATAACATGTAAATAATTGAATTTCATATTAGTCTTGCTCTTTATTATCCATACCATTGGATATGTGAAATCAACTAATTAGAGCTGCTCTAATTAAAAGTTTAAAATCTTTTGCAAAAGTGGTGTTGATGCCTTGTATTTGATAGCATGTAATTTCTGTTGACACTTTGTTGTTGACAGATCTTTCAAAATCAAACAGAGTGTAATAACCCCTCTATAAATGTCCCACATGCTCAATATATCCTGAAAAAATCATCCAAATAAAATACTGATAAATATAATGGGTGGTATTCTGGTAGCGCGTACTAAGTAGTCTAAGTTAGTCCACACTTTTATGAAGTGCCTGTTGCCAACTCATTTACCCTTTTCAGATTATTTTAATCCTTCAATGAAAAGTGTCCAAAAAATTAATTTTGCAATGAAATGGGAAGAAAAAGATAATATGAGTATGAACTGAATTTCACCAAAGTCTTTGGTAGATTTGTCATGAATATTGAAGGAGGAAGATGAAACCTAGCATTCCATAGAAGTGTGAACTAAAATTCTTGTTTAGTCTGGACTTAGTCCCGGCTTAACTTATGAGAATACCACCAAATAACTTTAAGATGGTTCCTCTTCCCAAACATAAAAATTAATAATTTTGTAATTATACATCTAGAACAAACACACCATAATTTCTATTCAAAATGGGGAAAAGGGGGAAATGAAACCATGTCACCAACTTACCAGATGCATCTTGTGTCTCCTTCATTATTCTGGACCTCAGCATTGTCTTCTGGAGGGGTGAAGGAGGGATTAGCATTTTCATAGATGGTAGCGAGAGGGAGGACAGGAATGGCGTCTAGGGTGGGTGGGGGAGACTGAGGTGGTGTAGGTGGCGGAGGCTGTCCATAATTATGATCCTGAAAGGTGAAGGAATGAATGAGAGGTGCATTGTAAGTAAGTATGATCCAGGGGTGGTATTCTGAAAATCACATTAGCTTTTATGTTAGTAAAACAATATTAATTGTCATAACAAATCTAAATTTTAATAAGTCACAATTTCTTATTAATGTCTGCGCAAAGCTGACTGTATTCATCTAAAGTTAAAAGAGACAGTGGTTTGTTTGTTTGTTTTTATTTCTACGTGGTAATTCTGCTCAGTTTCAGTTCGTTATGATAATCTATATCATTTTCCCTAACATAATGTGGTCCAAAAAAAATACAAGGACAATAGAGTTCATGTCATAGATCACATTACCACACCTGCACAAGGTGTAAATACAGTTATAGTCTATGAGAGTACCAGTATGTGCAGGCACAATTCACTAAGGAATGGTACTTAAGAAGAGCAATAAAACCTTGAAAGGACACTAGAGTATAACTTTTATTCATCATGGAAATTGCTGGTAGCAATATCAGAGCAGTTTATACCTTGGATTAGTCAGTATAAGTATTTAAATCTTTCAGAATAAAAAAAGAACTGGACTAAATTGTCCATCTTTCGTGTCAACATCTTGTAAATGTAATTCTTATTCCTTGGCAAAAAACTGACATTTGCAAATTAACAATGAAATATTTGCTTATCTTCAGATTCCAAACACTACATAACTTCTTGACATTACTTCTTGTCAATGTAATTCCTATTCCTTGGCACAAAAACTGACAATCACAATTGTGAATAAAACATTTTCTCATGACAAAAAAAAAGAGAAAAAAGTGCAATTCAAGGAAAGATTTTTTCCTCTTCATAATGACAAATGGAGAAAGAGAATTGACATGATTTCAAAACATAATGCAGTACAAAAACATCTATCATCAATAACATAAAAAGATTAAGATATTTGTTGGATTAAATTTTATCATCATTCAGTACTTTCATTTTATTTCAAAGTTAATTTTTTAGACCAAGAATGTCACAATAATAATTAATGATAAGTGATTATTCTTTACCTGATAGGGTAGACCAAGATAGTGTGACATAGACATGTGAGTGCTCTGAGCTGAAATGCTTTGACTCTTCACATCCCCGTTTGTCACAGGTTGGTCCACTGCATCAACACTGCTGAGACAAAGGGTAGTAAAACATTGGAATGTTCAAGAAATCATATGGCATATGACACCAAAAGGATGAAGCAAATAAACATTATTGAAAAAAAGACCTGAAATTCTACCCCCCAAAAAACAACAACATAAATAAATAAATTTGTATGTAACAAATACACAATGCTGAGAGATTTCCAGGTGGAAAACAAAATGTATTGCAAATGGACATGAAAAACATGTACTCAATGACAGATGGCAGACTTTATGACACATACATGTACCATACTGATTGCGGATCACCACTAAGTGCTTGGTAATAAGAGGATAACATGTAGATCTACAATGTACATGCACATGCACTTTACAAATTACATGTGCTACAGTTTAGTTTGTTTGTTTTTTATTGATGTGCAAAAAAAATGTGACTCTCAGCTCTATGTTAAAATTTAAACTATAAATGTTGCTTCTTTCTTCTTTACTTGTTCATTATGTTTTATTTCTATTTTAAAAAAAAAGTTATTTACAAACATGTACCGGTATGTACAAGATATGATAATGTCCATATCCATGTAAATGTAGACTTTTTATCAGAAAAAGAAAATTTAAAAGCCTAAAACATTTTAAGTTTGCTCATTAAATACAACATGTGAAACTGAAAAAAGACAATTTAATTACACTGTACATGTTAAATGGCACATTCACAAAGGCCTAAAATGTACATGTGTAACATGCTTTTCTTCCTTTGTCAAAATCATCCCTCCATTAATTAATGGCAAGATGTATAAAAGAATCTATAATGAAGTGCATCCTTTTTTTTAAAGCAAAATCATTTGCTCATAATAATGAAAATTTAAAATATTCAACTTGGAGTTCAAGGTATTTGGAAACTGTCTTCACATCTCCTCAAAAAAAGTTATTTTCAATACAACCCTTACTTATTATATCTATCTACATGTACGGTGTAGATACTGTTGATTGCACAAACAATAAAACATACCGGTAATTAAGAATCAAAGAAGATAAATAATTTTTATTTCCTTACTTTTAACAAACAAAAATATACTGAATAAAGATTGTCTTCTTTAGAACATTAAGCAGACTCAAAGAAGATATAATTTAATTTCCTTACTTTTAATGTTATTAAAATGTCTTTATTTCCATTGCAGCAACAAACTTTTATCAATATCTTGGGTACAGTAGGGACTACTATCTTCAGAATCGAAAATTCACAATTCACCTGCAAGCTAAATGTTGTTACTAATACCAAATTATACAAACATGTAGGTACATGCCATATATCTTATATGAGAATTTCAGGTCATAAATGTATGTTTGTGTGAGTAATTATTGTTTCATTTCAGCCCCATGATCAGAACAACAATGTGACCATCATTTAGCATTCCATAAATATATTTAAATAGCTTATAATGGCCATTCAATGTCACACTCACTCAGTCCCTGCAGCCATGACTACATTGTGATGACTTGTGATGAGAGGTGAAGGGTCAAACAGTGGCTGGCTCATTACTTAGGTTGGAAGGTGGTTATCCTACATTTGAGTAGCAATAAGAATGTCTTCTGGTGTAGAATTGCAGACGTCTTGCGGTTTGCACCACAAAAGGCACACATGGCAAGCAATGGTCTTGATGTGCACCTGCAGAACATGAAGAAGAGAACACACACATTACGGTCATTATAATGCATACAAGGAGCATACATGTACACTACACTGTATAGAAGCCCTCTATTTGTCATGCACTGCAACACACATTTCAATTTGGGTTCACTGCATGCACACATGTACAAGTGCATTGTACATGTACGTTCCTGTGTTCATGGGATTGAGCATACTAATGTCCGCAGTCTACGCATAATAAATGTCCTTGCCAGTGAAGGCAGTACTATTATGTATTGCACTAAATTCAGACATGTACTCGCAGTCGTATGCACAGATATATTCATGGTCTATTTGTACTGGCAATACTTACATGTACTAGTCTAAACATACTCTTAAGTTTTGCACATGTCATTTATATTCTCTGATTAAAATTCAGACCTCTCTATGACTCATGAGTCATGATCAACATCAGTCAAGTTTCTTAGTTTCAACCAGAGTTTGCAGAAGATTGAATTACAGTCATCAAACAAGGAAACCACCACAGCAAATTTTCTGACAGCCTGTGCCTATTTCACAAGTACTTCTAAATAATAATTTTGTGTCTGAAGGCTCTTTGAGATTATGAATATGCAGACATAGTATAGAACCATGTGAAAAATACTGGACATGTATGTTAAAAAATATAGGGGAAGGGCCCAATACTTTGATCAAAGTTCACATTTGAGAAAGAAAACAATTTCTTTAGCTCAAGTTATCTTGTAGAATACCCCCCCCCCCCTTCCCAATAAAAACTACAACAAATTCAAATGAGAGAATTATCCAAGGTATGAGTGATTTTTGGTATTAGAGTGCTTAAAATTGTCAAATTTTTGCAAGTTTTGGAGGCAGATTAAAAAAAATCAATCCTCCCGATCTGCTGACCCGATACCAATATCGGGAGCCAAACCGCTGACCCGATCATACATGTGTAGCTCCAACTTACAGAGTTATTTTTACATCTCATTGCAGAGAACGTAAAATCATCCATTGAGCATTTAAAATACCACCATTTAAAAGGGAATTAACCTTAGACTACATGTAAATTTCAGTTTGGATCTTTCATTTGACGAAAAGGAGGACGAAACTCCTTTTCGGAATCTTTTGTCTATCGCGGCTCTGAAAGTTTTCAGAACGTCGCCATTGTGATTGCGCACGGCCCGTTCTGTGACGTATTGCATGGATTTGACAGCTATTGCCTACGTTTCCCTGCTGTACACTGTAAAATAATCACTGCAGATCACATCGTTTTTCCCGTCGTACTTGTACTTTTTGTCCAGAAATTTCTCCACCTTCAGAGCTGCTAACTATAGCTTGAATATTTCATTGCGATTGTGTTGGTCTGTGTTCGAGAAACGGTTTTCCCTTGGTTTTCGGGGAACAATTATTATAACCAAACACTTGGCAGTACACCATGTTTGAAAGCGCGCTACATCAGTTCTTTTGCGATACGTCACAACCCAGAAGTTTTTGAGAGAAATTTCAACAAAATGGCATCTTCCTTGGGGAGCAGACGAAGTAGGGTCTATTTGTACTTGCAAGACAAATTATTTGGCCTACAGCAACGCTTTTTATGTCAAATGAAACATTAATCTACTCTCTATGTCATGATAATGTTTAATAGTCGAGAGGTTAAGTCCCCTTTAAGTTTACAGCTGTTTTTGTTATACAAGCCAGATTGTAAGTGTTTCAACACAGCTACGGCTACATGTAGTTTTACAGGAACACTTTTGTAGTTTCCTTTTTCCTTTCATCCTATGATTGTATAAATTAGAATCATCTGTACATTTTACAAAATATATTATTGCCATTGTTATCTTTTTAATGATTGACTGATAAGAGAACAAATTGAACTTTAATTTTAACTTTTTACTTAGCCTTGATAACAAAGAGCCCATGGGATATAGTAGTCTATGTGTAAGAGTAAAATGGGGTTAAAGTGAGAGTGGCAGCATTTCGTAGAATACCATTCAAAACAATAAATGTATCCCTGATCAAAATTAAAAGCTGAAAATAAAATTTTAAAAACCTACACGGTGGGAGATTCACACAATCTAAATGTTTGAACTAAACCCTTTTCATATCCCCTATAACTGAAAATGAAAGTATACATTTCTTCCTGTTCCATTCTAGCTTTTCATTTAGTCACATGAGTGTAAAATGGAGGCAAAAAAACAACTAGTTTCTTTGATTTTAAAAGACTGTACTGACACAAGTCATTGTGAAACCTTGCGATACACTGACAGTATTGACATTATACTCGCTGAGTGTCTCTGGTACACAAAGACTAAGAATATATGCACTTTGCTATTATCATAGGTAACAGCGATGCAGAGCCTTAGGGTGCGTCTAAGCTCAATTTTGAAGGGAGAATGAGTGTTGGCTCAGTCAGTAGAGCATCCGCCTCACAACCGGGAGGTCGTGGGTTCGAACCCCGGCCGCGTCATACCAAAAGACGTTAAAAGATGGGAGTTGTTGCTACCTTGTTTGGCGTTCAACAATAAGGGATAGAGCAACGTCGATCTGGCGCTGCTCAGTGGCTGCCGGGCTCACGATCAATTGGGCAAAAAGAATTTCCGTTTCGGTTTAATAAAATTTGGAGTGGACCATTAGGCTATTATTATTATTATTATTATTATTATTATTTGAAACGCTCATCGTAAACGCTCATCGTAAACGCTCATCGTAATCGCAGTTCCATGGTGTATCGTTTATGCTCACTTCTCTGGCTTCTCCAGGCAATTCTCCCTGGGTGGCCTTAATTGGCCTTGCAGCTGGATTCGCAAACCTGCACTGTGCATGATACATAGACCCACTAGAGGTCAGTGCGTTGACCCCATTTAAACAGGTTTACAAATTGTAAACGCACCTTTTTGTGAGTTTACGATCAGCGATCGTGATCGTCGTTTTTTGGTGATTCTACTAAAGTGAGAAAGGACGCAACCGTGTTTTGAACTATACACGTAACAGATGCCAGATCAGTTGAGCATAAACATACCCTTAGACTATTTCTCAGATTGTGAAGAGAACAGCAGAGGAACAATTTCTCTGAACAGAATTACAGCAGCAGCCAAGCCTTGAAATAAGCAGTCAAGACTAAGGGACTATTTTTTAAAGTTGCCCCTTGCCCAAAGGGATTTAAATAGAACAAGGGGCAATTTTCCAAAACAGATAACGACAACTAATTACACAATTTATTTAAGCTTAAACATACTGGCCCGAATTCACAAAGGAAGTTTGTCGACAAACAGAGTTTTATGTACGTCATATGACACGTTTTTACGCATTTTTTACAAACCTGGTTTGTAAATAACAAAAGGAGGTTTGTTTGTCGACAAACCTCCTTTGTGAATTCGGGCCACAATGTTAATTTCATAATGCGAATACCATCAATTTTCACAAACCTTCCGCCACTCTCGGCGGAACACAAAAGGTTTGCGATGGAAAGCTTGCCGGCTAGATTTTTGCCAAAACAATGTTAGATTGGCTGCTGGCAAAATGAAAGCAACTACGATTGGGAACATCGTATGTGTTCTTAATTCTTGTCAATGAGAGAATTCTAAATTCTATTAGAGATGATATGATAAATTAGATCAACAAATAAATCTTGATGGATCTGTAATGACTATACAAATGCCAGTTTATTTCTCCATTTGTCAATTTGTTTTCTTGATCCTTCGAGCCATTTGGTCATTCAGTGCCGCATCTAGTGCCATCTAGTGCCGCATGAACGTGCCTACCATTGGGCGCATTTCCAGGGCAAATAATGGCGCCTTGTCGTCTAGTTTTAGATGACTTACAGGCGCAATTGGTGACTTTACGAGCGCAAATTTGTGCCCTGTGCCCGCTTATTTCAAAGCTTGGCAGCAGCGCATTATCTTGCATGGCCAAACTTTTTGTTGAACTTTCTCTTACATTATGTAAAAAAATACCTGTGCCTGTGCACAAGTTACATAAGTCCTAAAAAAAAGAAGATGTTGTATTGCCCTTGGCGACCGACCCCAAAATCTTGAAATCTACGGTTGGCTTAAAAAAAAATAAAAAACTTTTTTTTTTTTTTTTACCGATTTTATAGAGAACAAAAATATCAAAGAATTCAAAAATGAGAAATATCAGCCCAAAGAGGGAGAAAAAAGAAGAAAAAAGTTTAAAAAAAAAAAAAATTCTGATCGACTGACCCATGTTTTGGCACCTAAAGGGCAATACAACATCTTTTTTTAAAGGCCTAATTGCTGGCCTTTTACCCAAATAAATTTTCACATGAATAACACTTTTGAAACAAACTCATCTGTCAGCTGCCTTGTCAAGTATGCAATGCACTTGTCTTTGCGCTTCACTCCCATACCAATCAATGACTGGTGAGATGATCCAACATTTGCTTTGGTGACGTTGCTCCAGGTCATATTTCATCAAGGATAGTGTAGGTTCGATTTAGAGTAAGGGTTGGGTTTAGCTTTTAGTCTAAGGTTAGGGGAGTTAGCGAGTGAAGATAATTGACTGTGGAGCAATTGTTGTCAAGAACAAATGTGGTAATGCCACCGGTGACTCCACAGATGCAAATCTCTTATTCACAAATTTGGATAAAACACCTCGTATTTGCCTTTGATTTTGGAAACGCTAATTTGACACGCATATTTAATAGGCATAGAGTTACATTTCTTGGTACTCACCTCCAACAGTAGCGATTGTTACGATGTAAAAAATTCTGCAGATTTCAGGTTATACTGTAGAGATCATATAAGAAGAATGTCTTTCTGTGAAACATCTGGTCAGCGTAAACTTTGTTGCAGTTGATGAGAGGCAGGTGGATGGTCAATTCGTAGCAGAAGTGGTTATAGACCTGAAGGAAATCCAGAAAGAAAAAGAAAAAGAATTAAATGAGAATACATACAAAATGGCCAAGTGAAAATAATTAATACCTAAACATGAGTTGCATTGCTTACAATTTTGCAAGTATTCAAAATCTCATCTCTCTCTTTACATGTGTTTGTATTAAACATGTATGGCTAGCATACATGTATGAGCAATTGCATAGCCCAACTGCTTTTTGTGGACTTATACTTCTAAAATTGACTTTATCAACTCCTAAAAATGCCACCATGAAATTAAACATGTAAAAATCTAAAGGAAAAGTTGAGTTGGTAATGCGATTACATTGTGAAAGACACTTATCTCTTGAGATGAAATTGAAGAAGAAGAAAAAATGTACTTTGTAGACCTATAAGAATTGGTGTACGCCAAAGTGTTGGAATCATCAAAATTGCCGCAATCAATCTTAGTGAAAGTCACATGCACTGCACACAGGAAATTGTACATGGGAACACACATGTGGCATGAAAGTTTTTCTGCTTTCACTCATATTTCAAATAAATAGCATGAGCTAAAAAGGCAAGCTAATAAATTATCACTCTCACACCGATATCCAGTCTGCACTCATGATGCCTCATGGTCATACATGACAGATACCTTTTTCTTAAATCTATAGCTAAAAGTGATGGTTTTATTATAAGCGCCCGGCCACAAACCCCCTCCAAATCATATCCCCATATGGCCACACATCGTGTGTTGGTTATCAGGTTGGTTATCAAGACAGGCGATTTCAAACAGTAATTTGAAGAAGTTTACACTACATATTTCTTAAATCATAAAGATTTATTTTGGACAATACCATAAAGGACAAATATTAATGACTATTATTAGCACTATTAATTGTATGCTTTTCGTTTTTTGTTAATCCAAAAAGCAAAAAGGTGATTTACGCAAAAGAGAGGGCTTTTTTCATTGTTCAGTGTCCGGTATCACGATTCAATCATATTCATACAATTGAATTTTGAATTGTTCCCAACATTAGTTCATCAAACAATTAAACTAACCAAAATTGCGCAAATCTCCTAACTGCATAATTGCCAAATCAGATGCTGATGCCGAAGGCGTCAGAGCTCCAAAGCGTGTTTCTGAAAACCATTCAAACAACAGGTTGGTCGGGGTCCACATTGTTTTCGTAATGTAAACAGGTAGTAATTACAATTTTGACTTGCAATGTTTTTTTACTCCTCTTGGCCTCACTTGAAATTATAATTCGAAGAAGTCTTTGATGGGAAAAAGGGTGATTCTTCGTTCTAACCCGACGATTCGTAGATGTTGTATCGTTGATTCAACATGGCAAAGAGACAGTAGGCATGCTCGATATCGGAGCAGCAAATATGAATATTCATGATATAGAGCGGCATTTGCTCGAAATTGCTGAATATGCAACAGGTTGAGGAGGGCCTTGTCTCTCTGATTCACCCTTTTTTTCCATCAATGACCTATTGAATTATAATTTCAAGTGCTTGGAAAGATCCCCAAAGGAGTCAAAAAACATAACAAGTCAAAATTGTAATTACCACCTGTTTACTTAACAACAAAAATGTGACCCAACCCGCTGTTTGAATCGTTTTCAGAAACGGACTCTAGACATAGACATCCATGTTGAAAATCTTGCAGCCGTTTTTTACACTCTCGCTGCGCATGACGTCATCTAAATCTCATCCCTTCTAGTCTACGCGCAAGGCAAAAAGATTATGAAGGAAAAACTGTGCATGAGCTACGATTTCTGAATGACATTATCACAGTTTTTCCTTCATAATCATTTTGCCTTGCTCGTAGACTGGAAGGTATGAGATTTAGATTTAGGCGTAAATATTCACTTCTGAATGACAAACGCCTATAAACTAAAACAACAACAACAACAATAGATGACATCATGCGCAGCAAGGGTATGGCTGCAAGATTATTTCAGTTGGCAAGTGGAACCGATTATATAATGGCCTAGATCTAGGCCTAATTTTCAAAATTAAATGCATCAGATATGCATTCGGTAAATATTTAGGCATACGTTTGGTGGTGAGATCCACTCCACCGAGTGCCTACGGTCGGTTTCTGTCTCTAAATAGAGGAGCCGACCCTACCCAAATCAGAGGCTAATGAACGAAAGAGACAGAAATTTTCGGTCAAAGTCCGACCATGCATAATGCACTTGTCAATTAATATCCCGCCCCCTGGGTACCCGGGGATGGCCGGATCTTGCATATAAGGTGCATTTCTGAAATGTTAAACCGCCTGACTATGTCCCGGCCAAGCGGGGCAATATTTGTGACTTGTCTGCTAAACCCCGGCCAAGTGCCGACCTCCGCTAGCCGGGCAATGAGCGTCAATTGACAAGTGCATTGCCATTAGCTAATCCAGCCAAATCCTGGCCCAACTCCCGGCCCCCCAAACACGGGTTTTTGTCATGCATGAACTACCTCAACTCAACAAGTCCCGGCATAGGCCTACTCCACCCATAGGAGCATCACTATCCTGGCTGTGTAGTAAAAGCTGTGCTTTTGATTCTCAACATTTCAAACACCACTGTACAAAACCCAACTGATTTCACTCAAAATCGGTACATTAGTGACAATTGATGACACCTAAATAGCAGTAAAATACATTTTTTCAACTTACAGATGTTAAAAAGAATAATTTAAAAATTCAAATTGTATGTCGAGTGTCAAACTTTGCTTACAGCTGCATCGACATGATTGTGTAGAGTCTATGCGATATTGTGTGGTGTGTATATTTGTGTATGGGTCTAATAATACCTTCCTCACAGCAAGCATGCAGTGCTAGAGGTCAATACGCATTAGCATTGACTCACTTAGACCGAAAGCTTCAGTCTCTATAATCGTCGGTTGTTCCACTGAGACTACGTCTGGCTCCACTAGACCTCCGGTTACAGAGACTGAACGATCGCCTATGCCAGCCTATGTTGAAGATATCACAGCTAGATTTTAGCCGTTAGGCCCCTCCCACAAACATGACAAACTTGCCACGGCCATATTGTTATGCCCCCAAAATCCCCCAAAATGTCATTTTACCTCGTTCATATCCAATTTTAAATTAGGCCTAGGTTATAATACATCGGTTCCAAAACTGTGCGCCATCTACACGTTCGTAATGGCGTTATCACAGTTTTTCCTTCATAATCATTTTGCCTTCGGCGTAGACTAGAAGGGATGAGATTGACGGCAGCGAGAGTTTAACACGGCTTGCAAGATTTTCAACATGGATGTCGATTTTGACCGATAATTTCCTTAAAAGGGACCATTAAACGGATTATATCAATCAAGTTAGTAAGTGGAACCGATGTATTATAGCCTAGGCCTAATTTAAAATTGGAAATGAACGAGGTAAAATGACATTTTGGGGGATTTTGGGGGCATAACAATACGGCCGTGGCAAGTTTGTGGGAGGGGCCTAGCGGCTAAAATCTAGCGGAATAAGTTCAACACAGGCTGGCATAGGCAGTCGTTCAGTCTCTATAACCGGAGGTCTAGTGGAGCCAGACGTAGTCTCAGTGGAACAACCGACGATTATAGAGACTGAAGCTTTCGGTCTATGACTCACTATGCTTTGCTGGAGTGGCCTACTCCAGGTACACCCAGGCGAAAAAAAGGGTCAACTCCCCGGCCATGAGGCAGTAAAGTCCCGGCCATCCACCGATCCACGGGTACCCCGGGACTTGGATATCAATTGACATGTGCATAAATTAGAGTTAAGACATTGACATTTAAATTTATGAAACATTGCATTGCAGAGCAAGTGGCGTAGATCTACTGCAAGCTGCATGGGCGCCCATCAAACTCAAAGACAAACACTGGCGCTATACAAGAACTTAGATCTAAGTCTACTTCTACTTCTATTCTACTACTTGTCAAAGCCTGTTCAGCATCTAGACAAGGGTGATCTTTTGCCGACGGTCGACGGCTTGTGTAAATTTGTGCCGAAATATATACATGTTTATGGTGCAAGTAAAATGTCAGAAGCCATTATCATTTTTCCTCATTGATTATTGAAGTTTTCTCACTTTTGAGCAGGTATGCCAAAATTAAATTTAAAGAATTTTAATAGACTAGATCTAGACTCTAGTCTATATTTTAAGCATAACGTTGGTGAAGTATAGTTAAACCTGAATCTACCGACGTAATCGAAACCGAAACCAAAACAGAAACTCCAACACTGGCAAAAGCAAAAGTGGTCAGAATTTTCATTGATTCAGATAATCACATCCATATTGATAATGGTATTTCGGCCTAAATGTCTAGACCTACCTAGAGTCTTATCAAGAGTTTAATGCACAATTTAAATAATCACGATTCTAACTTGGCAGAACATTGGTCCATAGAATTAGAAGGCAGAGGCCTGCACAAAACGGGTAACGCCTTGTTGTTCATCCCTATCCCAGCTAGCCCCACACACACAATTACGCTCGCGCTCAGCTCGCACTGAATCCACCATCACACCATAAGCAATCACACGCGAATAAACAGGCTATGGAACATGCAACCCTCTTTGAAAACAGCTTGGAGGTCATTTAAAAGATAGTTTTTACCTGATAAATTGTGGTTGAGCAAAACGTTTATAGTTTTCAGGTCAATTTCCGTCTTACTAGGATGTTCAAATGTTACTACTGGTCCCGTACATCAACGCCAAAATTTTATGTAGCCGTGTTTACAAACACTATATTCTTCGCACACATACACTGTAGCCATAACTATGATGCTCATGATGGCGGCCATTGAGATATGAGTGACGGGTTGCCTTATCTGTCGCAGAGGGACTAGCTAGCCGGATGCGCATATTGCATTGCGATCGGTATAGGTACGGGAAAGAGCTAGCTGCGGTGGCTAGGCCTATCGTTAGCTGTGTGCCGTGCCTGGCCTGCCGTGCATGCTGCGTATAGTACAGGTCGGTCCCGCTAGAGCCGCTGTACATTATTGTTTAGTTGCACAATATACATTGGCAATTGATTGTAGGTGCGTAATACGTTTATTGGCTTCATAGCATAATACACCAGTTTACAGTTGTGTGCGCCATTTTAAACAGAGCCAATGACCTAGAGGTCATGTATTTATGCGTAAATTAAGATTGCGCGCGCCCATGCAAATTTTGATGATATCACTGCCTACGCGCTGCGTTGTGCGCGCACATCATTATTTGCATGGGCGCAATCTTAATTTACGCATAAATACCAGAGGTCAGAGGTTATTGGCCCCAATTTTTGGGCCAATAACCTCTGACCTCTGTCTGCGCATGCGCACTGATACAACTGTAAACTGGTGTATTTCACCGTTATACCGGCACTTTTCGTGCTTACAATTAGCGATATGCCGTATGTATCGCAATTACTATATTGGTATGTTCAAATGAAAAATGAAAAGGGTAGATGGGTATTTGATATATTCACTTCGTTGTGACATAATACCCGGAAGTAAAGTATTAAAGGGAAATGCGTCCTCGAAAGATAGAGGAGCAGAAAAATATAAAGAGACTGGGACCTGAAATAGTTAGGCTCCTCAAATTGACTGAATCGGACATGTTTTTGTTTTATATTCTATGTTTTCTGATGTAGTAGCGGACAACTCTCCCATTTGTTCCAACCGAGGAGTTATCAGCATATAGATCTATGCACAAACCAAATTACTACATTTTTCAACTTTAAAAACATTCACACGATGGTCTTTCCAATGTACGATATCCATAATATATTTTGAGTAGTACCCACTCCAAGGGAGAAGGCACTTAAAAGACAAACTTAAATCGATCGATGATATTTTTGTACCCCCCCCCCCCCCCCCCCCCCCCCCGAGCTATACTGAGTATACGAACGGGAGTTATCCGCGACTATATAACATTCATTTTCGTAATTTCCTCATTTTCTTTATTATCAGTCGGATTTATTTCAAACTTTCACCAGTCTGTTTCTTTTCTTTTCTACTTTCGTTAAATAATTTACAAGGGTTTGATACGTGGCACGGTATATTGGCCATTATAATGCTCCCTAGATCCACTTAATTATTTCTTGTAATATTAGCTTAATTCTATCAATGCTGATCAATTGGAAAATAACCCCGACAAACTGTAAATCTAATGATTTAGACCTATGATTTCTGAAAACCGAAAAATTGGGAATGTTAAGCTTATTTCAGGTCAATACCTAAGTCGGACCAGTAACCGTACGGTCAAGCAACTTAAGATCTGAACTTGGGACTGACTGATGGGGAGTAGATTCGGGCTATAGGGGCGGCCGCCATGACGTGGTGCCCGGCATTTGCCGGCCAAATTACGCGCCTTTCGGAGAGGGACTTTATACCGAACGACATTTCCAAACCTCACAGAACAAAATAAAGGACGGAACTATAGGAGCGAAAATGGACAAGATATTGGACTTTTGGAGCATAATGAAAAATTGAGAATTCTGATCAATTCCACAACGTTTCTTTCACAATGCAATCGCATGACCAGAACTGATCTTTATCCGTTTAAAGGGCTATACTAAGGCCGCGACCTACTTACTTTGCAGCATAATTCAAGCCTCTCCTAATCTTCCGCGCTGGGCTGTAGCGCAGGAATTTGGAATCTTTTATGAAGACAAATTTGATAATTTGAAGAAGAAAACAAAACCTTCAAGATATGACGGATAGGGAATATAGGGCAATATTTGTTTTTCCAATGTGTATATATATGTCAATGTATTTTTTTTTGCCTATTTCTTACAACAATGTATGCCATATTTACAAATTTTATGACAAATAAAGTTCAATTCAATTCAATTCAATATATTTAAACATTTCTTATACATTTCATTTAATTTTGCCATTCCTTTTAACTATCACTAGTTTTACATCGATCTCTCCCCCCCCCCCCCCCTCCCCCTCTCTCTCTCTCTCCTTCCCCTCTCTCTCCTCATACTTCACGGATTACCAAAATAATTCATTAAAATTGCTTTGAAAGCTATCATTTTACATACACCACCCTATATTTTTAGTGGAATTTAGTCAAGCCGAACAAAAAAAAATCCCTTTAAAAATAAGATAGTAAATCCAAACTTATTATTTTGTGATTCAGGGAACCTTCCCTAAAAAGTGCAGTCCACTGAGAAATGATTCCATCCTCGAGACTTTCAGAATATATTCAACTAAAACAAGGTACATACTAGAAATGAAATCTAAATTACTTCCATAATTCTGTTTAAAGTTTTTTATTAAAACACAATCACATACCATGTGTGTTCATTCTTTTATTCTTCCTTGCTATGTTGTCCACATCATATTTGGCAAACTGGGGCAAACCCTGTTGTTGTTTTTTTCTCATGTCTCCCCACAATTCTGATATTCTGTATTATATCTAATACAAAATGGGTAACAGTGAGAAAGCATTAAAAAATTACCATAATTATGAAACCATATTATAAGTATAAACTATGGCCATTCCGTTAGATTATTCCATTTTCAGTGGCTAAATTCTTATGAAATCAATAGCAGGGATGGCAGTACTTGTAGAAAATACAGCAGGGCTATACAGACTTTACAGAGTATGTTTTTACCACTATAATTGAAACACAACACTTATAGATCAAGTCTGCATTATACACTGCAAGAGCTAGTGGTCAACTAAACCACATTTCACTTTCCATTCTAAAAAACAAAAATGTTATAGAAACAAGCCACAACAGTTGTACAATGACATCCATTGAATATGTGTACAGTAAGCACAGGCAAATCTGAGAACAAATGCACTAGTTACTTGGAGCACAAAAGACAGATAATGTAATGCAATATCATGAAATTTGATTTTCTATTGAATTCCACTTCAATTATCTGGAAATTCACAGCATTTTGAATAGCTTTAAGGAAGTGAATCAAAACGGATTCCCTGTACAAGGAACAAATACATGTACTCTACGATTTGACATAAGTTACCATAAAAACAAATATCTGAATGTTGTATTTATAGAACTATAGATAAATACATGCACATTACAACTTGCTGGATAAAACATTCTTTACCTGCCAAACTGGTGAATACACAAACACTATCAATAAGAACGGAGTCGTAATTTTTGAGGACTGTGTTATCATTAATAAAAAAAAATAAAAAATCAAAATTACTTAATAAAAGGGCCAGGGTTAGAAAGGTGTATGAACTTGAATAAAGTATAGACACGTCTGCAAACAGAAACCATGTCATCTGATGTAGTGGAAATACAAGTACAAGAGGAGGCTAACCACAAAAGTGTGAACAACATATAAACACTTTCTTCAGAACAATGTGGCATTACACACTGTGAAGAGCCATGCAGTTACGATTGATTTCAATGAATTCTGGTATTATGGTGGGAGTACATCGTTTGTCCATAAATCTATTCCTGCATAATCACTCTGTAAAATAAAACACTGTTTCTTTGATTATACATGTGACAGTCTTTATAGCCAGGGCATATCCATGGTCGAGGAAGAAGGAGAACAGAAATAATACAAAGAATATTCAGACCCCACAAACCTCTTTGCTTCCCTTATACCTCATAGTTTCAAGAATATACCATAAACTTTTCACAGATCTTCTCTAGATACATATCAGCTTAGATCCAACAACACTGTCTCAAAGACATAGTTGGGAAGGGCTCATTAAATACAACAGCTTATTCCCAATCTACTTAGGTCTTGCACAGTAAATAGTGAACTCAAAGAGTTCCAATAAAATAATTTCATGATTATATCATATTCAACTTATATTTATAATATATTCTGTTAACTTTTCATTTGCCCCTGTTCAGCTCCTACATTCAATATCCTCTTCACAGAATTAACAATGTTAGAGACTTGAGGAAGACTAGCTTGTTCCAATGAGGCTGCATAGGGCATGGGTACATCAGCTCCTGTGACTCTCACGACAGGTGCATCCAAATAATCAAATGCATCACCTATAAATAAACAAAGTAAAAAGAAAGACAGAGGGAGAGAGAGAGAGAAAGAGAGAGAGAGAACAAAAACATTGAAAATATGATGCAACAAATTCAATCTGGTATCAAATGATGCCAAACCTAAGTATTTTGCAATAATCTATACAATGTAGTGTCATAAAATTCAACAACAAAATATAAGCAATCATAAAGTCTTACACCTCATGCCACTTATACATGTAGCTCAAATAATTTTATAACAACACTAAATAACAATCACATTTGATGCTTTGTGATCAATGTTGATTGCAATGTGAAAAACTTGTACTTGAATCAGAAAGGATTATCTAAATTGATAGAAATATCTTGGATCACAAATATATTCCAAATTTCCAATTAGATTGCTTTCAGCGCATCTCAACACTAATTCCTATACCTTTTGTGATCCCCCTATATTTAATGATGACCATGAACAAGCTCCACAAGAGGATGCATTAGCACTTCAAGGGGATCACAAGAAAACTTAACTCATAACTCTTAAAGAGGATTTGAAGTAGCCTAATTTGAAGGGGATTAAGTAAACTCCAGCTGTTACAGCTTTATGAGCAAGCTGCTAAAAAATGCAGTACATATTGCATCTATATACTCACTTTCCATGACTTTTGCGATGATTTCTGCTCCGACCCCAAACTGTGGCCAGCCTCCCTCCACAGTGACAAGATGGTTGGTTTTCTTCACAGAGTTGAAGATGGCTGCCTCGTCCATAGGTCTGATGGTTCGCAAGTTGATCACCTAATTGAAACACAAAGAAAAATGAATGAAATGTAATTACAGTAATAATTGCACGTTCTTGTAGAGCGCATAACACATAGTTGTATGTCCCTATGCACTTCCCAGAAGAAGAAAACAGATAAGAGTGCAAATGGTGCACTGGGTTCATAGTTGTGAGATTTTACAAAGTGATAAATAAGTATGTTTTAAAAATAGTTCTAAACTTGAAGCAGTTTGAACCAAATAACAAACAGTATTGATTCACAATCAATCAACATTCTACTCAACATTCAACTGCTTAAATCATCACCATGGCAAACAAGTAATTTTTGAACTGCAGTAATTTCACTCAATAATATAGAACTGTGGTCTCAAACCAGGGAGATCTGGGGTATTGAAACAAAGTCCTGAAACTTATACCCTTTGAAAATACATTCATCCTCAATTACTACATCCCTCGCACAGGACTTAATGTAATAGGTCTACTTGTTACTTATCTACAGATCCATAATTGCCTGTTTAGCAGTCCAGTAAATTACAAGTATTTAATTCATAGATATTGAAAACAACATACCTCACAAGAAATTCCATCTTCAGCTAGAATCTGTGCAGCCTCCAGTGATCTCAGCACACCCATACTGTGAGCAACAAGCGTCACATGTGATCCTTCCTTCTCAATCTTGGCCTTTCCGATCGGTAGCACAAAGTCATCCTGCATCGCTTCTTCTGACATCTCGAATGGTCGACCATACAAGAGCTCATTCTCAAGGAATACAACTGAGGGCAAAAAATGGGGGAGAAATATAATCATACTTATTCAATTCAATTCAATTCAATTCAATTCAATTCAATTCAATTCAATTCAATTAAATTCAATTTCAATTTCAATTTTATTTCATTCAGTTCAAAAGACAACATTTCATATAACAACCAGCTATATAGCATAAAATACACATTAAGAACATATTTGACATTTGGACATAAAATAAACTGAATAGGTTGCAACCTGAAAGGAAAAACATAATCCTTATATAAAGGTTGACCCTTTTTTATAATAAAAAAAAAATGAAATATATCCGTTATACTATACACAAATCAAGACAACAAATTAACAAACATACAACAAACAAATAAATACTTATATCCTTATCAAATGAATTCAATAGAATACTGACATATTATATACGAATGTATATTCAGTATGTGCTTGGTAAAGTGTTTAAGTAACAGCAGTCTTAATTTGAAAATAATATTATTATTTTTAGTGAAAAGTATGTAAATTGTCAAAACGAAGTGAAACTGCGCAGATTATATACGTTTTTTAATACCACTTACAATTCACAAACACTTAAGACAGTTAGTCTTTTTGTTTTTTTCATTCTTGAAGCAGTTTACTGCTAAGTCACACTTACACACCCAACACCAAACCATTTAAAGACCAAAGAAAGAATTACACTACACCCAATGATAGGTCTGTTTACAGTCGGTTTAGCAGTGTGACCAAGGTATAAACGGGTCTTCAGAAGGTGATTAGGTGTGATTATTACCTGGGTTATCGTCTCTGATAGCAGCCTTGAGGAGTCCCTTGCAGTCTTCAGATGAGAAAGGGCTGATGACCTTGAGTCCTGGTACATGGCCATACCATGCTGCAAAGCATTGAGAATGCTGAGCTGCGACACCCATTGCTGCACCGTTAGGACCTCGGAATACAATGGGTACTGGAACCTGACGAGAGATCATACAAAAATATGGGGTTATGGGTAATGGCAATGGCATAGGATGCCCGTGTCAGAGATATTATTAGTAAATTAGCGCTGAAAATATTGATAACCTGTTTTTCTTTTTGGGGCTGGACAGCAATCTTTTTAATTACGACACCTTCCCTATAAGATCCAGGATCCACCCTTTTAAAGTTGCGACACATCAACTTTTTCATTTATACATGTAACATCACTATTAAACTTCTTTTATACTCTCCTGTTTAGCCCATTCTATCCATTACCGGATAAGCTCTGTTTTTTTCTTCTTCTCATTTCTCTTAGAATAAAGGGATACCACATCGAACATGACTAAAAGCTTATAAAGGTCAAAGGACAGAGGACCTTCCAGGATTGAGATGGCTCGCACAATTTGAATACACATTATCATTCATGTCATTTCATTTTTATTTTTTCATTTCCAACAAACTACAATGCATAAAAACAAATAAAATGTCAAATGTATATAAAACATAGTTACATTTGTAATAAACAAATCTTTACAGTAGTTTATACATTTGAAGAAGACAAAAATTGAATTATGAATTTAACTGTATTTATATTTTGAGGAAATGGAGAGGTGCACTGAAAAGTAGAGATAATAAATTGTGGACCCCACAGGGAAATAGAGACATTACCTTTTGTTTTTTATATCCTTGAATTGAGACACTTGCATTAATATTAATGTGCACCCTACATTACATATAAAGACCACTTAAAGGGACTATGTCCCATTTGCAGGCCAAAAAAATGAAAAACTTAAATTCTAATACTAATTAAGAACTTCCCTAAAAAAGGTGGGGTTTGAAAATGTCTACAAGTGGGAAAATAACGACTATTAGATGTCAAATCGACTTTAGGGCTATAGAGCCCAAAAGTAATAGTCTTGATATTCAGACAAATGTACCGAATGGTCATACGTTTTATGCTGCGCAAAGATTCAATCAGTTTAATCTTGGCCATCACAAGAAGTGGGTTATTGATGTAGACAAATACTCATGCACCCTTTACAACTCTTTTCATGTATGTTATTACCAAAGAAGAAAAAAAGCCAGTCAGTTACTCAATAGTGTCTGACAGTGAAGTCTAGCAAGTAAACGGTTTTCCTTGCATAATTTGAATATGAGGACACTGCTAACGTTTAAATTTCACAGATAGGACATGACATATTCATAATTCCTGCAAAGTTCTACAGCATTTGAGGTTGGCTGCAAAAGGGACATAGTACCTTTAAAGAGAAGGTAGAGTTCTGGGAAGAGGTGAAAAATAATTTGTGAGCGTTATCATTGTTATTATGCAAGTGTGGAAGAACATCAAATAAAAAAATGTTCCCTGAAAAGCATGGCTCTTCAAATGTCTTAATATTCTAAATATGGCATGTAACAGCTTAAAAATCGTAACAGATTTTTATATCACATCTTTTTGTGTAAAGTGCTTATAACTTTACCAAGACTGGGCCAAATTTCTTATCAGTTTGATGACTCCAGAACCTTGAAGTGCACACCAATACTCATATGCTTGATGATCAACCTTTTCTGATCGATTCCACACTGTTTTTTTCGCATGACCAGAACTCAACTTTATCTTTAAGTGAGTCAATAGTAGTTGCTTTTATTTGGAGGTGATCTTTGTTTGCAGATTATAAGTAGAGGACACGTTTCCATAGGAAAAAAAGATATGTGGTCTATACAGAGAGAGGGGGTCTTTCTATACAGATGGTCACTTTGATAAAAGGTTTAATTTGCTGACTAAAGACAACTGATTGGTGAATTTTTATTATAAGCTAGTGAATATGCTCTTAACAAATTCATTTACACATCAATAATGAAGACTTAATTGTACAATAAATCATCTCTACTTACAGCACCAGCTGACATGTAGAAAGTCTTTCCTGCTGAGTTGATCACCTGATCAATGGCTTGCATAGCAAAGTTGAATGTCATGAACTCACATACAGGTCTCAAACCAGCCTGTTGATAACAAATTGAAAATAACAGATCTTCATAACAAATACATGACTGGGTAAGTTTTACAGAGTGTCATCAAATTGATCACAAATCACATGATCCTACCTTTACTGTTTTATTTAAGCAATTTTGTGTCAAATGAGAAAAACTTTTATTACATCAGAATATTTCAAGATCGATGAATTTATTTCAGCAGATGGGATGTGGATGGTCCTTTCACATCAATTTGAAAGATAGTATTTTTCATCTCTCTCTCTATTTCAAAAATATGTTATCATCCCCAGCTAAGGCCAATTTCTTTTTCCTTTCTTCATCACCATGACTTCCTCTTATCAATATAGTCATAACCCCCTCAAAATTGTGCTCACATGTACACTTACATTACATAACTTACAGGTACTTGATCTAACCATGAGTGGTCAATGGTAGGTGGTTATCTCATCAAATCAACTCTCAATTAACATAAGAAAAAGGACCATGGGGGATCAACGGGTACCGCTTAGGCATTGTTGGGTAGAGGGCGTAAGTAGCTTCAAGTAGTGCATTTCCGCTTTAACATGCAATTTATTTTATTTCATCTCAAGTTATCATGGGTATGGCTTATTATTCAACTAGTCAGTCAAAGGACCCACATAATACACCTCTTTCCATTTTAAAAATACACCTAATCGTTGCTAATTTCTTCTTTGTATAAAAAAACATACACACTAGTCAGGACAAATAACAAATAAAATGGAATGACTTCATCACATCAACACATACCATTGCAGCTCCTGTAGCAATGCCAGCAAATCCCATCTCAGTGATGGGTGTATCAATTACCCTCTTATCACCATATTTAGCATGGAGACCCTTGGAGACTTTGTAGGCACCATCATAGAGGGCCACCTCCTCACCCATCAAGAGGACCTTCTCATCCCTAGCAATCTCCTCATCAAGGGCCGAGTTCAGGGCATCTCTGACGGTCATCTGAACGTGACGGAGAAAATTACGAGATATCATTTGACAAAGGTTCATCTTCTGATCCTATCTGCAATTAACCTCTGCACTTAAAGAATACTCCCTATAATATTAATATAACAGAATTAAATGCATAAAAAGGAAAATGTAGAATCAGAATGGAAGTGAAACTAACTACAAATGGACCTCTGGTTGTCCGGAGACTCTGGATAGACCCTACCTTAGTAAAGCCTAGCGAAAGGCGTAAATATTCTAAAAAAGAATGAAACGCCGATAATACCAAACAACAACAACAGAAGGGATTGCATGGTCACAGGTAGACCGAAAGCTTCAGTCTCTATACCGTCGGTTGTTCCACTGAGACTACGTCTGGCTCCACTAGACCTCCGGTTATAGAGACAGAACTATCGCCTATGCCAGCCTATGTTGAAGATATCACGGCTAGATTTTAAAATGATTATGAAGGAAAAACTGTGCGCCATCTACACGTTCGTAATGGCGTTATCACAGTTTTTCCTTCATAATCATTTTTGCCTTCGGCGTAGACTAGAAGGGATGAGATTGACGGCAGCGAGAGTTTAACACGGCTTGCAAGATTTTCAACAGGGATGTCGATTTTGACCCATAATTTCCTTAAAAGGGACCATTAAACGGATTATTTCAATCAAGTTAGTAAGTGGAACTGATGTATTATAGCCTAGGCCTAATGTAAAATTGGATATGCACGAGGAAAAATGACATTTTGGGGGATTTTGGGGGCATAACAATACGGCCGTGGCAAGTTTGTTCATGTTTGTGGGAGGGGCCTAACGGCTAAAATCTAGCCGTGATATCTTCAACATAGGCTGGCATAGGCGATCGTTCAGTCTCTATAACCGGAGGTCTAGTGGAGCCAGACGTAGTCTCAGTGGAACAACCGACGGTATAGAGACTGAAGCTTTCGGTCTAGGTCACAGGCAGTGGTTATCTCATTGGTCTAAAGTAAAATTAGCGCAAATTAAGCGTACCTTGCGGCTTGCCTTGCACGTGTCTAATATTGGACCTCTGACTTGTCACTATGTTGCGCTTATTTTCATAATAATTTTAGACCATGGGTTATGTAACTGAAGGTTTAAACCATGGGCTAAATTTAAAACTCCTTTGTGAATTCGGGCTTTTGAGTTCCCCCTCCCAGCTCCCCCATCACTCACACTCACAACAGCAGCGCAGACTATTTGCGCCGGTAGCTCAGCGATGCATTGCGCATCATGCACTGTCAATGACTTGTTGTGGAGAAATTTATCTACTTACCTGGCCCGAAGCCGGTGAAGAAGTACTCAGACATCTCCTGACAAAGGCACCCGGGAGGATCTGAAATAAATTGATAATACATCAAATCATATTACTGACGTACATTTCCCCGTTTCAACTACAAGAGAGATCATTTTATAACAGAATTTTCCAGTAAAGGTTCTTACCTTTTGAGCAAAACGGAGTTTACATGGAAGAGCCATTTTGTCGAGTGTTGTAGCGCCCTCTTTGATCTTTGAACAGCCGTGACATAATTATAATACCTTGGCTTGCACTTTTTTCAGCGGGCTGAAGTAAAATAACAAATAAAATAATTATGTAAATATAGATTTAATATACCAGTAGTGCTTATTTGTTTCCATCAAAATATCATACGAATTATACAAATTTTTAACTGAAAAAGAGGTACCTGCCCGAATAGGGGGAGGGGGGGGGGGGGGTGAAGCCCCCTTTAGTCTACACTTGCACACTTCTGCTGCCCGGGAGGGGGGGGGGGGGTACTCACTCATACGGGGTGTGCCGCTCTAATGGGTCACCTTTTTACACAAAATCGCTAAACTCGGGTCCCATTTTTAAATTGTGAAAAATGGGCCTTTATTTCGAGAAAATTCTCCCCAAATGACCCTTAAAAACGGGTAGGGGGTTCGAGGCTTGAGCAGCACACCCCGTCCAACCAAATCTGAGAACCCCCCCCCCCCCCCGAATCACTAATATACGTTTTCATGGATTCACTAAAAGTGATTTATTGCAAGACAGGATAACTGCGTGAAAGGAATGTTAAATAATATAGGGGGTTCCCTCTTCGTCTGAGTCCATGTAGACTTCAAATGTCAATGGAGGTATTTTTTATAGCTTTAAACTGATTTCAACAGTACCATTGCCTTTTTGGTGGGCTATACCCTCTTTTCCTCCTCCCCCTCCCCAATTCACCAAAAAACAAAAAAAAACCCGTTGCTGGTATAATGACTGATATTCTTCTTCTTCTTCTTTTGCTTTCTTTTTCTACTTCTTTCTTTATTTCTTTTCATTTTGATCCAACGGTTAAATTATACGATTTTCGGATCTGGAATCAAATATTCCCTATAGCTGCCCTCCACCCTCTACCCCACCCATTTTTATAGATCCTATACGTTGTCGCCACTGAACTCTGGAGATATCCAGGGGCGGACCCAGGGGGCGTGGCCCCCTTTTTTCCTTCCGAAAAAAGCAGGTTTACAGCGAGAGGGTAATAGACTCAAAAAGAGAAGAAAAAAGAGGGAGAAACAAGATTATTATTAGTCAGACTGTAGCCTAACTAGGATAAATTGCACCCTGGAATCCTGCGTTTTTCCCCTTTGGTTGATTTTTTCGGAGAAATGCAGGGAAAAAGCTAAGAAATATTCACATTGAATGTCCTCAGAATGAACCTTAGAGCACCACAAGCAAGGTTAAAAAAATTCCGGGACCCATACCCGACGCCGTAAAGGCATCGCGCTCACAATTTCGCACAATTCACGCTCCCCCCCCCCCCCTTTGGAAAATCCTGGATCCGCCCCTGGTGTCAACTGATTAGCTATGTACGTACATGCAGTTCCTTTCGAATAAGGCACTTTGATGAGACGTCAAACCGAATGTTCTTCGGGTTTCTTGTGACTGCGATATCGGGGCAGACCGGAAAAATATGGGTCATAATATAGGAGGCAGGAAGGATGATTCATTTTACGACTTACTTACAACGGCAAACATCATACACTGTAGGCCTTAGGAGCTTACTTCTTTAAAAAGTCGTCTGCGATGTTTTCCAAGCTCTTTTCAAAAGGAAACGTCGAAAGGCCGGTAAAAAAATGCTGCATGTCAATGCCTAAATCGAGTTGCGAATTTACAAAACTTCTGATATCAGGTAGGGTGCGGGAGATGATAATATTATTATGTGAGTCTGTTGCGGTCTGTCCCTTTCATTTATCACCACTCGACCGGGGAGGGGGTGGGGGCGGTAGGGGCACGTGTCCCCTGTAGCTACCCCATGGATAAGTCAAAACTACATACATCATTCAAATGCATTAAATTTGCTGGTCGTAATATGATAATAATGATGTCTTTTGGTTATTTCAGCATTCTCTTCATTTGCGATGATTTTCATATTGCATGTATATCACCGGTTTTAGAACCAAACAAAATGTACATGCATGTATGTCCCATCCTGCCCGTCACCACTCAGGACCGTCACCACTGTCTCTATTGCAACCGACTTATCTTTGGCTTAATGCCTTTATTATATATATATATAAATCAGGGACGGCAGAGCGAATTCCCAAGTGGGTGGGGGGCACCAATAAAAAGGGGCACTTTTTGAAAAAAGGGAATCTACGAAACGGAAATCACAAAGCGAAAATATACAATTTTAGACATTGGTATATACCCCCTACATTGTGATTACATTATCTGGGATGCTTTCAATATTTGTTTCTCTTTATACAGCATCGGAGATATTGCTTAAGCATCATACTTTGCAGTTTGGTGTGATGGTCTGAATATTCATTGGAGCGAGCGAAGCGAGGGAGGAATACAGTTAAGATTTGTGAGGTCGCAGTGCGAAAAATTAAATCTTGTAAAGATGGACAAACCCAATCCTAACGGCGTTATAAGCACATTCTCATAACGGAAGACTTAAATGACTTTTGATAACTAACATAATTATATCATCTATAAATGTGAGTGAGTGTAGCGAGCGAGCTTTGGGTGAAATTGCTCTTAGTCGCTCTAAATTAGGGGCACGTTTAATGATGAGAGGAAAAGGGGACACTTATCGAAAGGGATAATACACCTATTGGGAAAGAAAAGGAGCACTTGTCAAAATACACAGGGTAATACCAGAGATGAAAATGGGGCACTTATGAGAATGGTAGATGGACATTTGTCGACGGAAATCGGGCACCCATCAGATTTTGATAGGGCCCATATAGGGGGCATTCATAAGATGTGAAAAGGGGCATTTATGAAAAAGGGGTAGGTCCCTTATTATAAACGAAAAGGGGCGCGTATCATTGTTAAAAGGGAAATTATCAGAGGTGAAAACTGAAAAGGGGCACTTATCGCACCTGAAAAGGGGCACTGACTAGAAATGAAAAGGGGTGCTTATGAGAATGAAAAAGGGGCACATATCATAAAGGAAAATGTGCATTTGTTGAAAAAAGGGGGCGCCGATCAGATTTGAGGAGCTTTTATGAGAAAGAGGTAGTGGCTCTAATCAAAAAGGAAAGAGGCACATGTGAAAATAACAGGTGCGCTTATCGGAGTTAGAAAGAGGTAGCTATTAAAAGGGGAAGGGGCACTTACCAGAGATTAAAAAGGGCACTTAGGAAATTGGAAAATGGACACTTATTGCAAAGGAAAATAAGAACTTCTCGAAGGAAAAGGGGCATGTGTCAAAATAAAAGGAGTACTTATCATAGGTGAAAAGTAATAAGGGTCACTTTTCTTATGTGAAAAGGGGCACTTCTTACGAAGTTATAGGGGTACTTTTCCTATTTAAAAAGGGGTACTTTGTAAAAGTGCGGGGGGCACTGTGACCCCCTGCCCCCGGGAGTGCCACCTCTGATTTAAACTGAGTGGCGTTTGAGACAGACAGTCCCTCTTAGATTTCTAATACATAGGCCTATTGAAAGTGCTCTCCTTTAGTTATTACTTATGATCTAAATAAATAAGAGTACAAAATAAAAGGAATCACTATAGCTGCCGAGAAGATGCCCCGTTGCAATACCAAATAAATACAAATTCCCTTTTATGCCCTTTTTGATCTAGTCAGACTCACGGGCGGATCTAGGATTTTCCAAGGGGGGGGGGGGGGGCGGGGGTGCTGAAAAAAAGTGCGAGCGTACAGCGCGAAGCCTTTACGGTGAGGGGTCCGGGCCCACTTAAGGGCCCAGAAAAATGTTGAACCTTAAGATGCTCTATGGTATAATCTGAGACGTTTCTAAAGGCGTAAACTGAACATTAATTTATCTGAATATTTGTTAGCTTTTGTCCTGCTTTTTTTTCTCGGAAGGAACAAAAGGGAGGGCGTGCATGCGCCCCTCATGCCACCCTTGATCCGCCCCTGAGATTGACAATGTTACTCAGGCGCGTACGCAGGATTTTTCAAGGGGGGGGGGGGGGTTAACATTTATAAATCTGGCCGAAAATTTCGCAACGACTCAGCCAGCCGCTGAATAAGCGGGGGGGGGGGGGGTAAGAGGACACTTTTTTTGTTTTTTGGTATCGAAATTTAAAAATTTGACATTTTGCTCCGTTGGGGGGGGGGGGGTAAGGTCAGCTTTTTTAGGTCAGCCATGGGATTTTTTTTTTTTTTTTTTTTAAATCCAAAAGGGGGGGGGGGGTAGGGAAATTTAGGGGGGGGGGGGTTTACACACAAAAAATTACCAAAGAGGGGGTTTAACCCCCCCCCCCCCCCCCCCCTGTGTACGCGCCTGATGTTACTCCTAATTCTTGTTGGTTAATTTCAAACCATGCAGGCTAGATTCGATTTAAGAAGTATATCAATTTAACTCGTGTTTAGTACATTGTGAAAGTTCAATACGCGGAATTGCATTTCGAGTTTATATAGTGGGTAAAAATTAAGGCCGCACTGACACCTTCTTGCCCCCCCCCCCCCACCTCCCCGTCACCCCGTTGTTACAAAGAAAAGGTCAAGACAATGTCAACGAGACTGTCTGTGACATCAATTTGGCATCAAGCAAAAAAAAATCGTTGTCTAAAACGTGGAATCTCAGATATTCACTTGTTCGTCATTCTCAGTAAATATCTCTACCATGTGCACTCCACATGTGAATGGTACCAGGGACCATTCGGAACGCACAATGGGTTTAGAGGAGTTTTAACCTTTGTACCCCTTAAGTGCACAGCATGGACTATCATATATCGACCGCATTCTCTCGAAATGTGGCATTGATTCCGACTTGCTCTTCACATGCAGATCACTATTATCTCAACTCCACACCCATTGGATACATTGCCGAGCTGCAGGCCAGCCCAACTGCTAGCAACAGAAGACAAACATTCATTATATTATTTGGTATTCATTTTCATCTTAGCTCTTTAGAAGGAACCACATCATGGCCTCAACATCTAGCCATGATCGCTACTCGGCGAGTGTACCGACCAGCACTGGTCGTCTAAAATCCTATCCCGTACGGGTGCCCACGAACTCACCCTCTGATACTACCAGTCCTTCTCCCCCGGGATCCCCCGTAGCTCCTTCGACATCGTACGTCGTGTCAGGGCGGCGGTCGTTGTCCATCAGTGTCGGTGACTCCGGTGCATCAAGGTTTCGTAATGATTCAATCACCTCCCAATCCCAATACCATTCCCCTCCCTTGGTAATACGAACTCGTCGGAGCTCATTCAGCATCACCAACCACATCCTGCATCCATCCGGTTCCCGCTACAAGGGGCCGGCCCCTCCACCTAAGAGGACCCTATGGCAGCTAATACGTAACAGCAGCATCCAATTCGGGTTGGAGTTCTGCTATGCTACCGAAACGGCCATGGTCACGCCCATCCTGCTCCAGCTCGGTCTTCCAACCAAACTTTACGGGCTCGCCTTTTTCTTGGCTCCTATCTTTGGGTTCTTGATGAACCCTTTCATAGGAACCACCAGTGACAGGTGCATGTGTTCTTGGGGGAGAAGGCGACCCTTTATCCTAGCTCTTGGTCTCGGGACTTTACTGGGTGTGTCACTCTACCTCAACGGAGGAGACATAGGTGCCTTGATCGAGTCTGAAGGTAGGATTCTAATTTGGAACACCAAAGGACACTTTGAAATACCATGCATGTATTTTAGAAGAGGCCCTACATTAAGTTGCTTTACCTTTGAATGTTATGATTTTATGTTATGTTCACATTAAGTCACATTACAAGATTTAGCAGGATATAGTCATTCTCCACCAGGATTTCACAAATTAATATTCACATCTAGCTGTACGCATACTTCTCCTTGTTCACGATAATTATCGTATTGGTTGTTCTTTACAACATTACACATTGAAAATGATTGCCCAACATAGCATTACATTGTTAAGCATAATAAGAATTAGAAGCATCCTTACATTTTAATGAATTCGTAGACGGGTGTATTCATTGAATGGCGAAGATAATTTTTTGTTGTCATTGTAAAGTGCAAACTCCATTCCTCAAGTAGGGGTCTAATTAATTTATAGCCGCGACTTTGATAATCCTGAAATAAAAGACAAAGGTAAATTTAGATCTAGGTCAATTAATGAGTAAGACCATAAAATCATTTTGCAGAAAGACATGGTCGGAATATTTTATCTTCTCAAATCTTATTGATCTTTGACCAAATTAACCCTAACTGGTTTTGTTTGGTTTTGAGCTAGTGCGGGTCGCCTAAATGACATCAATGATTATTTTCAGCCAAGACTCAAGTGTTGACTCTGTAATCTAGATTGTGTAACTATAGTTTTCGTATAGTATTTTATCAAGTTTAAAGGTAATACAAAGTTTTGGGAAATTTTGAAAATTGGGTAGATAGTGATTCTTTACAATTTTGATATATTTGGATGCCCATGTGGATGTATTATAAGCACAAGAAATTTTAGACTCTAAAACCCTTCTGCTTTCGAGAAAAATTGAATATAAAAATTTACCGGTGCTCCCGGTAAATTTTGATAAATTTCAAATAGCGCCTACAGCCGAACAATGGTAGCTGCGACCATGAAAATCTCAGAATATTTAGTTGAGACATATAATTTCCAAACAGGAATAGCTAATCGGTCGATCTTAGTCAAGAAACATTGTTTTATAGCTTAATTAATATCTTGACCTTGAGAGGGAGCTATTCATCATAAAGAGTTAATTATTTACAATTTCATAACTTTAGACTCGATGTCAACCACAACAACGATCACTGAATATTGTAGGATCGCATATGCTTCCAATATGTTCATTTGAACCAAATTCATGACCCCATACCAAAACTTTGTATTACCTTTAAGGTAGAGAACAGTCACTAGTTGCCGATCGCGAATGTCAGAAGTATGAATAAATCCTTTATATAATATTGAAAGGTTAAGATATTAAGATGATGACAGTGACAATGAATTATCCGATTGACAATGGGGTTACTTGGGTGTGATAGGGGCGGCTAAACTCTTTTTTTCTTCAAGATGGGGGGAATAAACACTTTAAAAAAAAACATAATAGATTAATTTTGTTGACATAAAAGAATTCAGAGGATACAGGAATCATGGTGGGGGGGGGGGGATCTTACTCGATGAATGACATGGACATTAAAAAGACCATCGATTGCATGGAGGGTGTATGTCGTATGGGGTCTGTATTTTTCGTACCTCAATCTCCTTTACGTTTTCTTTTCCCTGCATTTGTTTCGGCAATTGACTGGAGGAACGGACCCCGTACCTCCATTTATGGCTTCGTCATTCAGACCAATACATTTTCGTTCTTTCATTTTGATCAGATAATCTGTGGGGTATCGTGATCACATTGATTGGAGTGATATTTCTGGACGTCAGTGCTGACTCATCTGACGGACCTTCCCGGGCATACCTCCTCGATGTCTGTGATCTCGAGGATGTCAACACCGGCCTTAACCTCAGAGCCGTTCTCGGCGGTGAGTAAACATTCAATCGAGTCTGGAGTATGAAATAATCCGCAATTGAAAATAATCGAAACTAATTCGAAATTGTCGATTTCTTTTTTTCACTCAAAAATAATTTTGAATTGAAATTTGAATTTAAAAGAGAAAGAAAATGCCTTGATTCTCTTTAAAAGTTGTTTAGAAAACTTTCAATTACAACTTCTCTTTGGATAACCCCGGGGATAACCATATAGGCATATTGACTACAGGGGCGTATTCAGTATAGGATGGAGCATTGGCGTAACGTGGGTCCAGCCACTGAGGAGGGGGGGGGGGCGTTTTTACTAGGTGGATGAAAGAACAGGGAAGGATGTTGAATGGATGTAATCATATTCTGTTCGCACTGCCTCTCTCCCCTCCCTTGCTTTCTCTTTTTTCAAACTTTCATCAACACTCGATCGTAGGCGTGTGCGCTTTGCCTCCTATAGCTATCCACCACTGGGGTGTGGCTACCCTATACGTACCCACTCGTTTCGAGGACCCCGAACAAATAAATCAACACGATTTGATAATCGATGATTTATTCATTCTTGTCCACAAAAGTAATGTTGAAATATACTTTCCACCAGCAATAGCAGGCAATACTCATGATACAAGAAATCAAGACAAAAAATATAGTACAATAGAACCACATACGCATGTATATACATACAAACAACCAAACTTATATCACCTGTTCATAACAAAAGGGACGTAACTCTACATGTTCTACTCATAATTGTTATTCATCTTTGCAAACTTCTATCTCATTTCGCTACTACTTTATCTTCTCTTTCCTCATTATCTTGTTCTATTCGTAATTATTATTATCATCATTGTAATTTAGTGTAGTTACATTTTAAAAAAATGTTACATCCTTTTTCTGCTCTTGCATACTGTTGTATCTCATACTTGTGGTGTTAATCATAATGTGATTCATATCGAAAATCATGTACTTATCTTACTAAAAACAATGTTATGTAGACTACTTTATGTAGATAACTATGGTTTATACGTCATTACCCTTTTTACAATCTTGTTGAACGTGCATGTTATACAAACGATTGGTGGAACCGTGGAAGCGTGTTTGGTTGCTGCTGGAGCATTTAGTCTGATACCAGAACGGTTAAAAGAATAATGATGATTGAATGATGACTTTATCTTTGATGAATATTTCTATTTTTGGACGACACTCTCACTCACAAAGCGATCATGTCCTATTATTCGCTGTACCACTCGTCTCACGCGATCTTTGCGATCCCATATAATTATACAAACCAGGTTGTAGTACGGTCGGTATGCTTTATATTGGAGCCCGATAAAACAAAAGCAAAATTGTTTTGTCTACGTGAAGATTATTCACCATATTATGTTTAATCTTTGATTTCCCTTTTTGCAGATTGTTTAAATATTTTCTGTCTCAGTCTAGAGCGTTGGTAACTATACTTTCCAGGTACTAACGTGCATTCACCTGTTCAACCTTCTTGTTATGCAGAGAGAGTTGATTTTCTTTCATAATTACTAATCGTGTGAATATATTGCTCCAGGTACCCGTCTTAACAAGAGTTGTGATTGATCCAAATCAATCGTAAGTCCTTCAATCAAACGTAGCATGCGTTGCAGTCTCATATGCGATTGATATCAATATTTCAAATAAGTTGCGAATAATATCAAGTCTTTATAAGACGGGGCCCAGGTTTAAATTTCATATCTCCCCATCTTGTAGCAGTATAATGCCGACGTTAATTGACCACGACGACTTCTAATTAACAGGTATCGGGGGCGGCTTGGGTTACATAGCAAACGGTATCGACTGGACATCGACGTCGCTTTCTAAAGCACTAGGAGGGCAACTTCGGGTCGTCTTCCTCCTCAACGTCGTTATCTACTTCACATGTCTCATGATGAACATGACCAGTATTCCAGAAACGCCTCTCAAGAAGTCACCCAAAGACGGCAACGCGGAGAAGGTGACTGTCAGGAGCGACGAAAATGAGAACGATGGCGACATCGATGAGACATCACCGCTTATGATTGGTCGTTCAAACAGGGGGTCATATCATTCGGAATCGAAAACGGTTCGTGCTCATCGTACCAGTACGGAGGATGATGTCGCCCATTCTCCGATGAAGGATGGGTCGAGGAGACATGCAGAATCTGGGATATGGTCTCCTGACGGTCACCATACCGCACTACCTCAGATCGGTGGTAAGAAATGTATAGTGGAACGTCCGTCGTATGCGAAGCGTCAGTAGGGTATTTTAGATTGCACGTCGACATAGTGGACTGCTACGTGTGACGTCCTTTTAAGGCACTGGCAGTACCTTAAAAGGGCATCACAGTGTCTTAAAAGGATGTCACACGTAGCAGTCCACTATGTCGACGTGCAAATCTGAGTCCCTATTTGTTGACGTAAGACTGCGTCAGCGACTAGCACGCACCATAATTATGAGAGTGACATTATACAGACAGTGAATACAGAATTAATGGCGTATATGGGTTAAGTGCTTAAAAATATATAATTAGCGCAACAAATAACATGAAGAGCATCGGAAATAACGCCTCGTGTGCAAGGTGCATAATAGATTCTTCTTCTGCTTCTCCGGGGTCCCAAACCTATCATGTTTTTTATTTCTTTTGTGTCAATTGATTGTAAAATGTTGTGTTTGATTGGTTTGAATAAACTTGAACTTGAACTTGAACTTGAACTTGTCTTCATAACAATGAAATCAACACAGCAATTAAACGGATGACAATAAATAAATTACCCTGTCCATAAATGAAATGAAGTCGTGAATACGGAAATGTTATTAATAACCATGTCAGTAATCTTCCATTTCCTTCCGGCTTCTTTTCTTCATAGAGGATGAGAGTGTTGCAGATAACGATGAGGAACCCGCCTCAGTCCTCGCTCTCTTGAAGTCGATCCTCCACATGCCTACCGAACTCCGCCGTCTCTGTGTCAACCACTACTTCGGATGGGCTGGCATGGTCACTGTTCTCCTCTTCTTCACAGATTTCGTCGGTCAGGCAGTGTATAACGGTATGTATGTGTCATTTGAAAAGATGGGAAGTTTTTAAGTCTTCGTCGAATTGTCGTATTGGGCAATCTTTGGTATAGGGGTTGGGGAGATAGATCGAGATGCAAGCAAAGGATTCTAGTCGTCAAACTCCTATGACAATCGCTCCGCCGTCATTTGTTTTAAGACTAACCGAATTCATTTCTTCAACCCTGGATTAAAAAGACTCTAAACACCTTTAAACATAACATTAACCAAAGTCACAAGCGATAGGGTTAGCCTTAAATCTAAAGCCAACACAGCACAGGCTTATCGGCGGAGCAGAAGCTGGATCGCAGAGGAGAGCCCATGTATGGGCCCAGGTTGGGATTCGGGGGAGTAAGGGGGTGCATACATCTCCTGGTTTTTAAAAAGTTGGACGTGGTGACGAAATACAATGAAATAAAAGCAGTCAACGTTACGTTTCTGTCCAGGCATTTACATTCGAATAATCCCAAATAAATGAATCTCAGTCAATATAATTATCATCAATCAATTATTAAGAATAGTGTTATCGGAGATACACGTACATTACTCCTCATCAAAGAGCGATTTTTCATCCATAATCATGACAACTCTAACTACCACCTTTAAAAGTCAACATATTTCTCTCATTTCCTTCATTACGAAGCTTGATTTTCCGTTTTACCACTCAAAACTATGTGAGCGTTGCGTCTTTAACAGAAGTGTTTATTTGGTATCACATAACAAACTTCACGACTTTTTATATCACTGTTATGTTCGATAATGCCCATGCAGGTGATCCTACTGCCCCAGAAGGCTCATATGCATACAACGCGTACCATGAAGGAGTCAAGACGGGATGCTGGGGAATGGCCGTCTTTGCTTTTTCATCTTCTTTATCAGCAAGTAAGTTTGGGGTGTGACGAAAATATCATGAAAATCCTGTGATATGATTTTAAAATATTGAGACTTTTTTTATGTAAAACTGACATTTCATGTTTCGTTTCATTCATAATTATTAGCATCAACTGTGTTAATTTTAATTCGTAGTGTGTATGGCGATGAAGATATATTTCTTATTTTAAACCTATACGTTATGTTATTCAACTGACGTCTTTCTTACCTGCTCCTCACTGAGATAAATTTTACAAATATGATATATCTCTATAGTCCGCATTCTTCTGGTTGGTTGGTTGGTTGGTTGGTTGGTTTTATTTCCTTATAAAAATTCAAACACATACAAAATACAATTTACAAATATAATACATCGGGTTTAAACTTCAACATTTTTCATAATTCATAACCCTTCTTTCCCCAGTATTCTACATGAAGGTGGACCATATACTTAGCCATCGTACTCTCTACGTCTTTGGTCAGCTCTGTTTCGCTGTTTGTGCTGGATTAATGGCAGTCCTGGTCCAGTATAAGTATGCTGTTCTCACTTTCTGTTTTGGCTTCGGCGTCCAGTTCACCACGCTCATGACCATTCCCTTCAACATCCTTGCCGAATTCCACGATTGTCCTTCGGTGAGTCTTGTGTAGTCCAATCTCTCGAGAAATGAGGTCACAATTAAACACCATCTTGTTGGAGGAGATGTGTGCCATTGAATTTAGTTCTGAAAAAGTGTCGTTATTGGGAACATTTACAAATTATATTCCAAAATCGCATCGAAAGAGAAGGAGTGGGAAGATACTCCACTGAAGAAGAAAAAAAGATTGAAAACTCCATAATTGGTGAGGGTAAATTTGTAAATACCATGATAACAGCGCCTTTCAAATCTTGTCAACTATTCAAAAATAATTCTAGCAAAACTAGCTTGCGTGTGGGGAAACTTGTTGGTATCGTCGGCCGGGCACCTTTACCCAATTATTAAGAAAAAATATTAAATTATTAAGAAAAAATATCCTAACGACACACTTGAAGATTTACACTACCATCATTCTAATCGGAATTCATTCTTTTTCTCGTTTTCTTTTTCTGCAGTATAAGAATCCAAAGGGTGGGGTGAAACGAGGTTTGGGCACGGACGTCGCATGTCTGTGCTGTCAGCTCTTTCTTGCTCAGATCACCGTCTCAGCTATCATGGGACCTTTGGTCAGCGCCCTTGGATCTCACGTCACCGTCGTCATATTCGCCTCCATCATGGGATTCCTAGCCTCGTTGTCGTCAGCGTTAATTGTTATCTACAAGGTAAGTGGTCATTTGGATTGACGTGCGAAGGAAGGGAGGAAGGGTCCTTTTGGAATAACCCGATGGGTGACTAAATTACAAATACATTTTGACCTTTTGAGTGGGAGGGTAATGATTTAGGTTAATGAAAGTAGGAGCACCGTGGTACATGTATAATGCTTCAGTGATTTCAATAAATTTAGAGGATGAATATTTTATTTTATTTTCCCCCAAAAATCCATAATTTCTTTGCTACAGATTTTGTTTATTTATTTATTTTCTAAGTACATGTATAATTTGTTCAAGATATATTGTAAAACAGCATCTGAGGAACTTATACTCAACTTATACTCAACAAGCTTTGCTTCTAGTAAGTTCCTCTTTTCTCGTAATATTTTTATTATTTTGTCGTTTCATTGTATATTTTTTTGTAATATACCTATTCATTGTATTATGTTTCGCATTACAAATAAAATCATTTTAATTTGAATATTCTTAACATTCTATCTGGTTAGTCATACATAATTGTTGAGTCAGTGAATTAAGATATTGAAAAATTCATCAAAGTAAACAGATCATGAATGCGAGTAAGTTATTTAGTTGATAGAAGCTATACAAACATTAATTGTTACTAATGGTTTGGTCTCCAAATGATTATATTAACAGAGTATATGTCACGTACAAATGAACATGATCCATAAAGGGCTGTCAATTTTGTATATTAAAATTTTCAGAGGCGAATCCAGATTTTTTAGACTGGGATCGAGGGTAAATTAAGTATATCTCAAAAATCTGTGACAAACGATAAATAAGTTGCATATTGGCCAGAGAACAATGAGGGCGGCACAGCATCACCGTGGTGTACCTGATCACTTTTTATTGAACCAATCATTTAATGCCTAATGCGAGTAGAGGCAGTTTTTTCTTCTTCATATTATGATAGATATTCCAAAGTAAAACATTAGTTATTTATGTATTTTCTCTCTCCCTTACTTTTCAGCCTATCCCACCCAAGGTGAAAGAAAATAACTCAATTCAAGAACAGTGTTGACAGTCGCGGTCATCTTTGAAATCGTTCTTTCCTTCTCTTGTTTCCATTCAGTGTATACTGCATGGTTCCACTATAAGTTCTTGTAGTGCATTACACTTTTGTATGAAAACGAAATATATATTCAGTATTACATGTTCGGATCTCAAGATTAAACAAGGAGCACATACGGTTTTGATTTGATCAGGCTATTAAAAAAAAAATCAATAATGGCAATAGTCAAATTAAATTTATACATGTATACTACTCTGCACTGAGACACATAATTCATGATTTGCTCTGCTTCGATTTTGCCGCATCGTAATCCAATCGTTTAAAATTTGGCTGCATTATAATGAGCAACTCGGTCCTTGAAGTCGTTACATATATTTCTGCAACCAAATATGAGCTGACCGAAATCAAAGTTTACCACAAAAGGGAATAACTTCTTTACCAAAGTTTCATCTTTTTGTATTATGTGTCAGAAAAATTAGATCGAATAGTAAAAGTGTATGAGTTCTGATAACTGTTATAGGTCCGCGAATTTTATTATGGATGTCAGATTGAAACTAGAGTTGGACTGATAAAGGTAAACACGTTAAGAATGTGGGAAGAAATATATGTATGTATATTCGATCTTTATATTATGTTTGTCCGTTTTTTGTCATACAAAATGCCAAATAAAATAATAATAATATTAAATTAGTATACATGTATTTCGAATGTATTAAAACAGTTTCACTTATATGCCATTAAACTATGTGTGCTCTTTTGCCAATTTTTATTCAAATAATGTATTCGTAAAACATTCCAAACTTCCGGCCATTTGGACATTCCATTACACAAATTTGTCACTATAGTTGTGTCTACTTTATAGACAATATAGTTCTCGAATCTTGTTATGCATGCATTTATATCATGTTAGCGTTAAAGGCAATCGGACTTCCGAAGACTAATATTTAGACAATTGTTATTTCACGTGAGGAGTTTGTACAATTATAACTTTAACATTGTTATCAACTTGAATAAATTTTGTGTAACAGTAACTGTAAAAGACTATCTTATTATCATGAAAGCACTACAATAGTAATGCAAAACAGTTTGTACAAACGTTGAATTATAATATATTTTTTACGTAGCCAGGTCAAATGGTTTTCTTGATTACGCAACATGACTATATAAGTTATCATACTCGGTTAATGACACGAGATGTTATTTGAATGAATTGCGCTCTTCACAAAAAGTCTTTTCGAATAAATAATAAAACATCAACAACCAAGCCTTCTTTTTGGAGTATTCGTCAGCTCACTCTCTTATTTACTAAGTCCTTTATTTATTTTCTATTTAATATATGACATTTCCTTTATTGTTTACTGTAGTTAATTAGTCGTTTGTTGAAAATATTATCCATGACGCATTTAATCTGCATAGTTGTTATAATTTATAAGTTATGAAGATGATTAAGATAAAGAATACCTGGACCCTCATTCATAAAACCAATTAGTTGACAACTATAGCTTAGCAAGGTTTTATGAATATGGACCCTTATCATATAATATGACGCCTATTAAAGGTAATACAAAGTTTTGGTATGGGGTCATAAATTTGGTTCAAATGAAAATATTGGAAGCATATGCGATCTTACAATAATCAACGTTCGTTGTCGCGGTTGAAATCGAGTCTAAAGTTATGAAATTATAAATAATAAACCCTTTATGCTGTATAGCTCCCTCTCAAGGTCAAAATATTAATTAAGCCATACAACAACGTTTCTTGACTTAAATGGACCGATTGGCTATTTCCGTTTGGAAAATATATATCTACATATAACTATAATCAACATAATATTATAACTACATATTCTGAGATTTTCATGGTTGCAGCTATTATTGTGTGGCCTTAAAGGTACTATGTCCCTTTTGCAGCCAACCTCAAATGCTGTAGAACTTTGCAGGAATTATGAATATGTCATGTATGTCCTATCTGTGAAATTTAAACGTTAGCAGTGTCCTCATATTCAAATTATGCAAGGAAAACCGTTAACTTGCTAGACTTCACTGTCAGTCACTATTGAGTGACTGACTGGCTTTTTTTCTTCTTTGTTAATCACATACATGAAACGAGTTGTAAAGGGTACATGAGCATTTGTCTACATCAATAACCCACTTCTTGTGATGGCCAAGATTAAACTGATTGAATCTTTGTGCAGCATAAAACGTATGACCATTCGGTACAATTGTCTGAAAATCAAGACTATTACTTTTGGGCTCTATAGCCCTAAAGTCGATTTGACAACTGATAGTCGTTATTTTCCCACTTGAAGACATTTTCAAGCCCCACCTTTTTAGGGAAGTTCTAAATTAGTATTATCTTTCAAATGCAGTTGGAATTTAACTTTTTCATTTTTTGGCCTGCAAATGGGACATAGTCCCTTTAAGCGCTAATTTGATATTTTTCAAAATTTACTGGGAGCACAGGTAAATTTTTATATTCAATTTTACTCAAAAGCAGAAGTGTTTTAGGGGCTAAATTTTCTAGTGCTTATTAAACATCCACAGGGGCATCCAATACATCAAACTTGTAAAGAATCACTATCCAGCCAATTTTCAAAATTTCCCAAAACTTTGTATTACCTTTACGAAGTGAAAATCGTAGCGGTGTTCAATTAGGGGATTCATGTTGGTTTATCAATCTTATATTTCTTGAGAGCAAAATGTAAATGTCGATAAATCGCTTTTTTTGCTCAATCCATGGGTTGGGGTTAGTAAGCGAGTTACGATGAAATTGTCCATCAGGAATACCATTGACGGCTAGCAAATCAGCACCACCGGCCATTTTTGGGGTGGCCAGTTTGAATAATTCAAGTCTTGATCCGTTTGGCCCATTAACTGCCTCATTACATCCTTTGAGACTAGTCGGTCTAGGAGAAAGGCATCAGAAGACACTTTCATCGCACCGATGATTACCACTAATCTTTGTTATGAATAACTTTCGGGTTGAACTATATTGTCTCACAATCTGATGGGGTGGCGAGATGTTTGAATGGACAGCGTCTTACAGCCCTGCAGAGGTCTAGGAGTAGTGATACTTTGGGCTAATCCTAGGTCTGTGGGTTAAGGGTAATTATTTTTAACAAAACGATTAAAGACTCGAACCGCTTTCTAAGATGCAGGAAGTCTTGAAACCGAACAGAGTGGATTGAGATCACTGGTTCGTTCGAGGATAACATAAAAATATAACACATCAAATAATTTAATGTAGTTTATTATCGTTCATTAAAGAAACAAAATGATTCATGTGCTGGGACCTTTGTCAAAGACAGAATAGAGGATCAGTAAATGTGGTTAAAAATACGATCCAGAGTTTGCATGGTAAGAAGATATTGAAAAATGTCTTCAACAACATAATTTCGGTTACGAACATGACTGTGTGCCGGGGGTAGAATAGGTGTTAGCAGTATTACATGATTTATATTTCATCAGAAAAAAAGATCAACTAGTAAAAGTGCATGAGTTTTGATAACTTTTATATAGGTCCGCAAATTTGATGATGGTTGTCAGATTAAAACTCGAGTTTGACTGAGAAAGGTTGTTTTATCAAACAGTTTCCCTTACATGCCATTTAAACTATGTGAGCTCTTTGGCCAATTTTATTCAAATATTTTATTCATAAATTATTCCAAACTTCCAACCATTTGGGCATTTCATGACACACATTCATCGCTATAGTTGTGTCTACTTTATAGGCGTTATAGTTCTCGAATGTTTTAATGACGTATGCCGTTAAATCATTGTTATTGTTTATGGCAATCGGACTTCCGAAGACTAATATTTAGACAATTATTATTGTTATTTCACGTGAGGAGTTTGTACATTCATAACTATAAAACTGTTATCAACATGAATCCATTTTTACCTAGTTACATCAACTGTAAAAGATTATCTTACTATCATGAAAGCGCTACAATAGTAATGCTGCAAATGTTGAATACGAATACATGTATTGCGTAGCCAGGTCAAAGCGATTTAAATGATTTTCTTGATAACGCAATGTGATTATATAAGTTATCATACTCAGTAAATGACATGAGATGTTATTTGAATAAAGTGCACTTTTCACTTTTCAAATAAATAATACAACGTTAAGCCTGCTTTTTTCAGTATTGTCTCCTCATTCTCTTATTTACTATAGTTCTTAATTTCTTTTCTATTAAAATAAAATATATACCATTTCCTTTATTGTTTACTAGTTAATTAGTCATTTTGTTGAACAATTGCATCCATGAAATATTTCATCTGCATAGGCCCAGTTGTAATAATTTATAGTTATAAAGATGATTATGATAAAGAACACCTGGCGAGTGTTTAACAGAAACTTAGGTCGACTTTAAGTTGGACTTAACTATGGCAGGCCATTCATGCCACTGTTTGCTCTTACCGTTTACTGGCGTTGGTCTCTCGAGAGACGTACAAATCATGGTTACAAATCTATACAATTACAATTTTGTTGATGATTCCTTATTGAGGGAAAAAAATATTATCTAAAGATCATAATGGTGAGAGCAACCAGTGGCATGAATGGCCTGCCATAGTTAAGTTAAACTTAAAGTCGATCTTAGCCTTTGTGAAACACTCCCCAGGGCCCTTATTTATAAAACCAATTAGTTGGCATAAAAATTACTTAGCTTAATAAGGTTTCATGAATATGGGCTCTAATCATAAAATATGGCGCCTATAAAGAAAATAAATATTAGTGGTGTTCAAATAATAGATTAATGATGGCTTATTAATCTCATATTTCTTGAGAGCAAAATGTAAATGTTGATAAATAATTATTTGCGCAATCCATGGGTTAGGGTTAATAAGCGAGTTACAATGAGAATTGTCCATCAGGAATAACATTGACGGCTAGCAAATCGGCGCTTTCGGCCATTTTGGGGTGGCCAGTTTGAATAATTCAAGTCTTGATCCGTTTGGCCCATTAACTGCCTCATTAAATCCTTTGAGACTAGTCGGTCTAGGAGAAAGGCATCAGAAGACACTTTCATCGCACCGATGATTACCACTAATCTTTGTTATGAATAACCTTCTGGTTGAACTATTGTCTCACAAACTGATGGGGTGGCGAGATGTTTGAATGGACAGCGTCTTACAGCCCTGCAGAGGTCTAGGAGTAGCGATACTTCGGGCTAATCCCTGGGTCTGTGGGTTAAGGGTAATTATTGTTAACAAAACGATTAAAGACTCGAACCGATTTCTAAAGATGCAGGAAGTCTTGAAGCCGAGCAGAAGTGGATCACTGGTTCGTTCGAGGATAAAATGAAAATGAAACTTATCAAATATAAGTATATAATAAATTTAGTTTCTTATAAAATTATAAATTTAGTTTATTATCGTTCATTGAAGAAGAAACAATCGTGACAAATCATTTGATCTTTGTCAAAGGCAGAATAGACAGGATCAGCAACTATATAGAGCCGAAAAAGAAATAGGACTCAGAGTCTGCATGGTCATAAAAATATTGAAATATTTCTTCAATAACAATATCTCGGTTACGAACAGGAATGAGTGCCAATCCGTAGAGGGGCCAGGGGGTGGTGGGGGCGTTAGAAAGATTACATGCTTAATATTTCGTCAGCATGTTGGGGTATCCGGCAAAACGCCCATTCCCAAGAAGATGTTGAGATTTTGCTCGGGTCATGGTGATTTATAAATGGAATTTAAGTAACAGGGGCGGTCGCGGTGGTGATGGGGGGTTGGGGGGGGGGGGGAGCTATTCACCCATTCTTTCTATTGAAATTCGATGTGAGGAATACCGTATGAAAATGAAAATATTTCGGATTAGTTCAAAGTTATATTAATCACTTGTGCAGACAGAAGAGAAAAAACAGTATATTATTATTTACACCAATCTCTCAAGCTTATTTGAGAATGAGTGCCAATCCGTAGAGGGGCCAGGGGGTGGTGGGGGCGTGAGAAAGATTACATGCTTAATATTTCGTCAGCATGTTGGGGGTATCCGGCAAAACGCCCATTCCCAAGAAGATGTTGAGATTTTGCTCGGGTCATGGTGATTTATAAATGGAATTTAAGTAACAGGAGCGGTCGCGGTGATGATGGGGGGTTGGGGGGGGGGGGGGGGAGCTATTCACCCATTCTTCCTATTAAAATTCGATGTGAGGAATACCGTATCAAAATGAAAATATTTCGGATTAGTTCAAAGTTATATTAATCACTTGTGCAGACAGAAGAGGGAAGACAGTATATTATTATTTACACCAATCTCTCAAGCTTATTTGAGAATGAGTGCCAATCCGTAGAGGGGCCAGGGGGTGGTGGGGGCGTGAGAAAGATTACATGCTTAATATTTCGTCAGCATGTTGGGGGTATCCGGCAAAACGCCCATTCTCAAGAAGATGTTGAGATTTTGCTCTGGTCATGGTGATTTATAAATGGAATTTAAGTAACAGGGGCGGTCGCGCGGTGGTGATGGGGGGGGGGGGGGGGGGGGGGGGCTATTCACCCATTCTTCCTATTGAAATTCGATGTGAGGAATACCGTATGAAAATGAAAATATTTCGGATTAGTTCAAAGTTATATTAATCACGTGTGCAGACAGAAGAGGGAAGACAGTATATTATTTACACCAATCTCTCAAGCTTATTTGAAATCATGAGTTTATCAAAGTTCTATAAGTTAACCTGGGACAGAAAACATTAAGAAATCCTCCAAATTCGTGAAGAAATGAATGAAATACATTTGACAAGCTAGTTTATATCCAGTTTTATTACGAACATCACTCATTTCAAAGGGCAATTTCCATAATAATTCACCCATCTCTTAATCTCTCTCTATCTCCTACTCTCCCCTTCCACTGTTTTCTTTTGATTTGCCCCCTCGTTCTACAAGGTCGCAGATGTATGATATTTAAAGTCGATATTCTGGCAGGGGCTGTCCTTGTACGTCAGTGCATGGGTACAGCTGTACTACAGGTGATGCACACTGACTGTGGGCGAATTTTATCGAGACCTTTTTTTTTGGTGCAAAATAAGATGTGAAAAAACAGTATTGTGACGATGTGACATGATTGTGTCCAATTCAAATGTGTTCCCCCCAAAAGTGCCTTCCGCAATTTCGCAAGCTGAATAGGATCGGATTTAGAAAGAAATATTGAAATTCTCTACCATGCAGTCTATTTGGAATTTTGAGTGAGGATCTCAAAAGGTATAATGCTTAAATGTAGGTCTAGTTTGACATTATTGTATTCATAATCAGAATTAAGAAAATGTACAGTTATGGCGAGATATGTCTCTAATGAAGTGTTAGAGTAGAGTTACTTATGAGCTCTAATAACCTCCATAGTAATACGTCCACCAATCACACCCGCTCGTTTAGCTGTCACTGGCACATCAAGCCACTCCTGTCAGACAAGACAACGGATTAGGGCTGTCCTCTTCAAGCACATTTCCCCTGTTACTCCCCGGCCATCTCATCAGCGGCATCCCTCCCCAAACAAACTCGAGCCGCTCAGTGTTCGCCGCCCACTGATTGTCCCGATAAACTTGAGGAGGTCGTGAATAGCTGAATGACTGAAAAGTATTGACACCGCGAACAAAAGGGAACCACTTCTCCTGCCGGACAATGGTCCCTCTCGCCCCCTCGACAGCTCTACTCTAGGCTGTCGGGTTTGGACAAAGAGACCTTATTTCCAACGATGGACAGAAAGTTGATGAGTCCTAGTACTGTATTGTTGCAATTTATAGTCTCATTTCAGAAAATATGGGCCTAAAATAATGTTTGTTAAATGCAATGTGGTCCCAGAGAATTTTTCAAACGAAAACTTTATTACGCAGTCCATGATTATTATTGTAATAGTTTCAGACATTTTATTTCCAGAATACACGATCAAAAGTCAAACTAGTGCTATAACGAAAACTGAGCAAAATGATAGGTATACAGAAATAAATCGTTATAACATCGCAGTATCCAAAGTATGATGTTATATTAAGTATGATTCTGCAAGGGTGATGAAAATATCAGAGATTATCTCAACGTTTCTTTTTCTTCAGTATGCAGTAACATTTCTGAATTGTTTGACTTTCAAGACTAATCCTCCCATTCCCTGTCCCTTCCAACTTTCAAGGGAAAACTGTAGTATTCAACGACGAATCACAAAGTCTTGAAATAATATATTATTTGGAGTCTGTTAGAGACCGAAGCCCCTTCCTATATTTAATTTCGGATATATTCAGTTGTGCTCACATGTATAGGGTAGGCTACATGATGATTGTATCAACCTTGCCAGAGCTTGGATCTGACCAAATTCAAGGTTAATCGAACATTAATTTTGATGTCATAAAATGTACTGTGGAGACACCAAGAAGGAGAGAAAGACTCCCCCAATGCATTGACCGAGTTAAATTCAGAGGGCTGGTGAATGGTTTATTACAAGACAGATTATCTCCAGAATTTTGTCCAAGTCTTCACTTTCTCATGGGGTCTTATCTGTACTTATAGTTGGCCACAAAGTATTTGGACTTGCCTATATTGCTTTTTCTTAATCTTTATTCAGATACAAAATCACGGATGACATCATACATGCATAATATTATTTACAACAACCGAAACAGCAAATGTTTAAGTAAGATCATTTACTTGAAAGCAGATTATATAAAGTGCATTACATGAAAATCATTCATTATCTTCATCCACTTAGGCTATAGTCTTAGTAAGTATTCGCATCTATTTTCTTAGTTTTGTTTTCTTCAGCTTCTGGCCTATAGTTAAGTTTCAGGTATTGAACATAACAAACATTGCCACGTCTAAATTTTGAATCTTCCTGTCTCATTTCTATCAGGCTTTTGCCTTATAGTGTGTAGTGACCTCATACAACATCCTCAACTCGTATAACAAAAGTAATAATAACATTATTGAATTCGGTACCTGCCTTTCATGTTCTTCTCATCGATTTCGGACTTATCTTCGGATCACAAAATCATTGGCCTGTTTATTCTTGTCACCCCTGCACTGTAGACGATTAGGCTTGTGGGTTTAGGAAATGAGAAACCTTTCTATATATAGGACAGTCGGTGCTCTGTCTTATGATGTCTGTGCAGTCTGCATGTGCTAACCATAAAGGCTAAGAACAATGGACCATGTTGATTATACCCATGTTTCATGCATGATCAAGGATTTACTGAGATACAATTAGCATGGTTTCCTGATCAAGGATTCAAGATAAATGAACATGGCCTACTGCATTTATGAATGTAAAATTATCTTATTTGGAGTTATTTCTAAATGAAAAAAATATGCGGTACTCCTTTACGAACTGGAATATTTTTGTCACGTTACGTTCTGGAATAATCAAAACGTGATAATATGTCTAAAGAAAATCAAATCACATCAAGTGAATAGTGCATTGTATGTGGGATTATGATTATGCACAAACATTGTGATGTGAGAATTCTTTCCAGTTTTTAGCCATTTCTATAAAGGAACTATTTAAAAGTCTATATATGGCATTCCAAGAGGCGGGGCAATCATTTTCATGTTACATTGAGATATTCTGTGACATAAACCTTTACATAATTCATATGAATACAAATTGAGAAAGTTCCAAATTATTTTCAACTTTCCTGGAATTCGTCTACTACTTCAGGCAGAGCGGCAGACGCCGGGCAATTAGCATTTAATACGTATAATACTTTAATAGGCCTATATTTAAGAATAAATATTGTAATGTTTCTATGTTGAATATCAATATGAGAACGTCATGCAGATATAATATCTCTTTTATCAAGGAGTTAACGAGTATACCTATATAGAAAGCATCCACCGAGTTTCAAACAGTCTAGATTGTATTGTAAATAATTGTATGAGAGCTGAATAAATGCAAAGAAAAACATGAAACAAGACGAACATTATCTGATATAGCATGGAACTACTACGAATGCTCATAACATCTTTATACTGATGCAGGTAAAACCTCAAATTTGTCATCGGGTGTCAAAAGTGGGAAAACTTTTCCCCAATTAAATATTTGTTTCAAATCAATCATTTCTGTATTGGTCGGTGACACCGCCAGACTATAAAACGACCATTGCCCTCCCGAAGGATTCCCTGCAATAATAACAACAACACGATCGCCTATCGCTCGGCTGTCAATCATGTCCATTTTCCACCATTAGCTGTCGCACGATTCATGGCGAACAGGCCAGGCGAACGCCGTGATTGGTCGACCGGACTCTATTGAAGCGCGAGCGGAGTGACAGGGTTTGGGGAAGAAAAGAGATTAGTGGCGGTCGGCTACATCAGACGGAGCGTTTATACACCTTTAATGTCACCGCTGAGGAAGACAAATTACGGTGCCGACTGAAGGGCCAATGGCGTATAAATACAGAGAGAGACGAGAGAGGGGAATCATTTACGAAATATCACTGCTAGAGCTCAGACACATTACGATCAGCTCCTTCTACTGCAATTCTTGTACCACCTCAGTTGAAATTACACTGTTTATCTTCAAGTTTCTAGCTGGAAATTGTTAACATCATGTTGCGCACTGGATCATCAAAATATCTGCAGGTATGTAGTGGAACATTCTTCTATCTTTTCACTTGTAATGCTTTCATTCGTGTGTAGTTGTTGATTCAATACTGTCAAATTCTCTACAAACTAGTGAGATGCCTGAGTTGCTCAATTCATTAATACTCCATATACTGAAGTGAAGTTATGTTCAATTGTAAGTGGTACAACTGATTTTTAATTGTGTATATATTTCTATTTAGTTTGACCTGTCAATTAATTATGTGTATTTTCTTTCTCTTCTCTACAGTTGCCTGCCCACGACTCGTCAGACATTGGCAAACCAAGTCCTCTGGCTCTACTGGCTGCAACATGTCAACGAATCGGTGCTGGATCACCATCGTCATCACAATCCCCAAGGCATCGACCACGTACTCCTTCTCCAGTCCTACGATCTGAGCAACCAACGATTCGACCAACTCCTTCGATCGTCTCTGCGCCTACTCGATCACCCGTCATGCCTGTGTCGCCGGTTGCAAGAGAGACGACTTCTGACCACCCCAAGGCGTGCAAGTCACCAGCCGCCGCCTACCAGTACCCGCTCACTCCACCCTCGTCTCCGCAACAACTTGAGAGCAAGGTTCCGTCATCTCGTATGTCCAGCGTACCTGTTCCAGTAAGCAGTCCGGTCGAGCGACTAAGCTACGCCGCTGAGCACCCATGTCATCTCCCTCTCCAACCGGTCCTCCACATGCCGAGTCTCCACTACTCGCCGTACACGATGGTTGTTCCAGCACCCAGTTCTATCATCTCTCCGTACACCACAAGCTGCGTGAACCAGTGCTGCTGTACCCCTCACCTTCCTGCAGTCCATCCCATGCTCAGCCTACCAGCCGGTGCATCATTCGCAGCAGGTGCACGTCTCCAACCAACAGCTCCACTGTCACCACCCTTGTCGTTCGGTACCTACTTGCACCACGACGTCGAAGCTCGATTGTCGTCTGCTGGGAAGATGAAGTCTCATCATGCTATGATATCATCTGGACACTTGTATCGCCCCTATGACTTTACCAAGCACCCAAGTAGGAGACAGGCCGAAGAGGAATTCATTGACGTCGTGTCTGTTTGAAACTTTCTGAGCATCATCAAAAACATTGCCTTTTCGAAAAAGATGGACAATAATTTATGTGAACTATGTCAGTATCGTGCATCCCAGCTGGACTGGATCATGTCAAGTTTGAACTACTTGATAAATCGTCTTGCCTTATGTCAATAATAATAAAGCATGGTTTTATAGCCATTCAAATTGAAAATGATGTTGTACCTATTCACTCTTTAGTTAGTATTTGTCAATGTTATCATATTTTTTTCATAGTTGAGATTCCTGATATATGAGATGAAAAAAAAAGGTCTAGGAGAGAGAGAGAGAGAGAGGGGGGGGGGGGGTGAAAGAGAGAAGTGTGTGAAGAAGAGGACCTGTCCAGAATAGATCACAGTTTATGGATGTGATTGTGAAGGAAAAGTTTCAGAGTTGTGAAAGAGCTATAAAGCCCCTCCAAAGTGTTGGGAAGCCCAGACATTTGATGGCGAAATTTCACCTAGATTGTTTCTATGTGAAAGAGGTATAGTTAAGATACAATAAATTCTGCAAAGATTTTCAAAAAACAAATTTAGGTTTTCTGCATACAAAAAAAAAATAATAATAATCTTTTATCAATATTTATCTTCAAACATGTGGGAAATCTATGCTGAATATCAAAGTTCTGGCGAATGTAGGGGTTCTCAACACTTATAAACTAGATCTCTTTATACTCACTTCTCTCTCTCTCTCCCTCCCTCTCTCTCTCACTCTCCTATCTATATAAATCCCTCTACGCCCTCACAAGTCCAGTATTCCTGTTAATATATCCCATGGTTATTTGCGGTAGGGTACATACTGAATTAGAGGTGGGCTATAATAAATAACATAGATATCAAAATGAAAGTAGAAAGGGGGGGGGGGGGTGAGGAGGAAGGCGATTAACAAAGAGGCAATGTGAATTTTTCATGTACACGTATTCATTCATGACAGGAGTTCAAACTTTTCTCTGTCGATAGAGTATTGCATTCTGAATACTGGAAAAATTATTGCAGTTGACAAACAAAATATGACAAAAAAAATAAAATCGCGTTTATCAATCATTCAACATTATCCAAAACCCCCAGACCAACCGCTCTTTCCACTCTCCCAACCCAAGCTCAGCATCGGGTCCTTGTACATGTCAACTACGTAACAAAAGCTCAGGGTGTCGGAGTCCAGCCAGGGCATTGGCGACAGTGGTGTACTGATTGTCTGCTAAATCCACAATGGTCTTCTTTGATTAACGCCGCGCTAAATGGTTCAGTAATTTTAAGGGATTAGATCCGCTGGATCTGCCCCGGGGAAGTGCCAATCATCGGTATTGTTTCCTCTCGGTCTGTCCGTCAAGCTGGGATGGTTTGCACAATGCGAGGTGCTGATTGGTTCGTGAGCTGTCACACGTCGCTACTCGGAGGGCAAACGACGAACGGGTTATTTTATCGGGCGGTATTTGGTTCTTGTCTGGAAAAGGCTTTTTGTCGGTCTACATCTGAGGAATTAATTATTTCCAGTTTTAGAGCGTAGTAATTTCGAGAGAGAAGTGATGCCCGACAAGATGTTTGGTTTGTAAAAAGTGACGTATGTGTTAGGAGTGACAAGAAGCAGAGAGAGAGAGAGAGAGAGCCTGGATAAAGTATAAAGGGGGGGGGGGGGGGGACAAAGAGAGAAAGATAGAGACCGTCATTGGTGAGAAATACCGTATAATCTAAAAGTAAAAGTTTTGGGAATTTTGAAAAATGGGTGGATAGTGATTCCTTACAATTTTGATATGTTTGGATGCCCCTGTGGATGTATTAGAAGCACTAGAAAATTTAGCCCCTAAAACACTTCTGCTTTCGAGAAAAATTGAATATAAAAATTTCGAATAGCGACTACGGCCGTACAATGGTAGTTGCGACCATGAAAATCTCATTATGTAGTTGTGATAGGTAATTTCCAAACGGGAATAGCTAATTGGTCGATTTTAGTCAAAAAACATGGTTTTTATAGCTTAATTAATATCTTGACCTTGAGAGGGAGCTATACAACATAAAGAGTTTATTATCTAAAATTTCACAACTTCAGACTCGATTTCAACTGCGACAACGATCACTGAATTTTGTATGATCGCATATGCTTCCAATACGTTCATTTGAACCAAATTCATGACCCCATCTCAAAACTTCGTATTACCTTTAAATATCTTTATTACCAGATATTAATTAATAAGTTCATATTAAAAATCAATCTTCCTCGAAGGTCAAGTGCTGAGTAATCCACATGAAGGTTGCCTTTTTGAGCAAGGGTAATCAAGAGATATGTAAAAACAATTTGAAATTCGACTCTATGAGAATAAAATATAGCGATAACAATGAAAACTTGAATAATGAAACGTAGTAATGAAACGTAGTGTAGGGGAGCAAAATATTTTTTCCCCTCCTTTAAATTTCTCATTAGAGACAAAACCACTACAATAAATAATGTCCATAATTATGCACCTTCCCATTATCTAATTCTAAGCCGAATGTTACTCACAATTTTCCATTTCAAAGCAGTTTTTCTGTAACACTGTATCTCTCTCTCTCTCTCTCTCTCCTTCCCTATCCCCCTCTCTCTCTTTCTCTCTCTCCTTCGCTCTCCCTACTATATAAAAAAAACTGTAAATATACGCTACATGTAGCATATCATGCTAAATATTCATTAAATTTCGAATTTCAACATCAAATCACCGTCCATCTAAAAAATATAACCCAATATACAAAAATTAAAATAGGGGGTGGAATATCATATTTTAACATCACTGTCACAACAAAGGAAACATAATAGCCCTGTCAGACGCGTACACAGGGGGGGGGGGCATAACGAAGAAATTAATAATGCTGTTAAAATCATCAAATTTCACTTGGAAAATACTTCCAAAGGGCTATAGATTCATAAAATGTATACATATATTTCATTAGGTTGTTCTATTCTAAATTCAGGCCATCAATAAAATATGACTGTAGTCCCATATTTGCATTCCTTTGCTGGAAGCCTTATTCCATTCTCGGCAGTTGTTGTCCTGATATTATAACTATATCCAAACAACCCTTTTCTTGAATTGATTCAACTCTCACTAAACCCATATACCTTTTGATATGAATACATGTACATTATGTGTATGTATTGCCCTTAAATACCTGCAAGACAACAGTAACCTGAGAAAGAATTGTTAAAATAATACAATGTTGTTTACTTTGTAAACTAAATATACTATTGATTAGAATGCAGGCAAGTACATTTATTACCCGCAAAAAATTCACAACTGCACAATGATTTATCAACGATGTTTATTGATATGGAGTATGCAGTCTTCGTTGCACACAAAAGTACTATGAAAGAATAAGTGTTAGGTGTTTGTTTTCCTAATATCCTATTAAAAAAAAACTTACCCTCTTCTCAATCATCTATAGGCCAATATGATTTTCTTATTAAATATTGAGCTAGCAAACACACCTGAAGTTGTCTATTTGATCGCACACATTTATTGACAAGTACAAATGATGATGTAGTTGATTCACACACTTCCCTCCCCCTCCCCAATCATTATTTTATTCATTTATTTATATTTTGCTTTACAGTTTCTCATGTAGATCAAATAACATATTGTTATGTTAAATGTAGAATTTGAAAGAGAATGTAATTTTATTCTCAGCTATGACTTTTCCTCATTGAAATACATTGTATACTGGAAAAGGTTTTGTTATTGATTTAAACAGTTGTTCCAAGTTCCAACTAAAGCTTAGTGCATGATACATGTAAAACTTCGACTGGTACGTCACATTTTCAAGAAAATGGCTGCGCCAATGTCATGCTAAAAGGCATCACATCATGCCAAGAATATCTTCATTTATAATTGTATATATCTCTTGTACATTTTCGTATTGAATTTCATACATCAAAGGGCAGGAATGCAGTTATTCTTTGGGGTGAGGTTTCTTAACCATATTGAAATCAACTTTTGAAGATCACGTCGTACAAATTGAATCTCATCTTCAACAATGTTTACAATGTCCAATTTAGAGTATATGGTAATCGAATGAATTCATTCCAGAATGTTCTTTTGATAAAAAATGTGTTTCCTCCTGTAATCATGGGGAAAGCAAACTCATTGGCCTTTCGGTTAGGTCTATTGACCAACTTTATCCACATTTCATATTTAAGAACATTCTGGAATGATTTCTATGGATTATACTCTAAATTGATTGGACTGTACTTTCTGAGCTAATTAACTGTTAAGCCTTTGATTATGATTCTTGTATGAGTCTTTATTTGTTAGTTTTGTTTGTAACTTAGTTTGTATTAAAATTGAATGAAATATGATATAAGATCTTATGGTTGATTCAGGGCCCCATCTTATAACGTATTGATATTAATCATTTATCTGCGATTTGAGATGGGTGACTGCATACTTGCAAACTGGATCAATCCCAACTTTTTACAAGACGGAGCCCACGTCTCCTTTAGATTCGGATGTCAAAAATATGCAAAAACTAGATGGAATTTTGACTGCGCGCAGTCGAAAATGATGCCTCCGCCATAGAGCAATTTAAACAAGTTTGGAGTTTAAATCTCCAGTGGTTCTTGAGATATCATGATAACAATCTCAATGTATGGAATTTCATAAGTTGACCTCTGTGACCCTTGACCTTTGACCTACGTGCTCCAAAATCTAATCAGATTGCCTTCCTATGGTGATACACACTATCATTAAGTTTGAAGTTTAAATCTCCAGTGGTTCTTGAGATATTATGATAACAATCTCAATGTATGGAATTTCATAAGTTGACCTCTGTGACCCTTGACCTTTGACCTACGTGCTCCAAAATCTAATCAGATCGTCTTCCTATGGTGATACATACTATCCTTAAGTTTGAAGTTTTTACATCTCCAGTGGTTCTTGAGATATCATGATAACAATCTCAATGTATGGAATTTCATAAGTTGACCTCTATGACCCTTGACCTTTGACCTACGTGCTCCAAAATGTAATCAGATTGTTTTCCTATAGTGATACACACTTTCACTAAGTTTGAAGTTTAAATCTCCAGTGGTTCTTGAGATATCATGATAACAATCTCAATGTATGGAATTTCATAAGTTGACCTCTGTGACCCTTGACCTTTGACATACGTGCTCCAAAATCTAATCAGATCGTCTTCCTATGGTGATACATACTATCCTTAAGTTTGAAGTTTAAATCTCAAATGGTTCTTGAGATATCGCGCTAACAAACTCAATACAAGGAATTTCATAAGTTGACCTCTGTGACCTGTGACCTTTGACCTACGTACTCCAAAATCTAATCAGATCGTCTTCCTATGGTGATAAATACTATTCCCGAGTCTTAAGTTTAAATCTTAAATGGTTCTTGAGATATTGTGATAACGGTCAAACGGGACGGACGTACGGACGTACGGACGGACGTACGGACGTACGGACGTACGGATGTACGGACGGACAACCCGAAAACATGATGCCTCCGGCACCACCTTCGGTGGCGGAGGCATAAAAATAATAAATGAAATGAAAAATAGGGGGGGGGGGACAACTTGCCATCAAATGGATTTAAAAACAAGAGAAAATTAGCAAAAGCTACTTCAGACATATTAGGGCACTTACATATTACAGATAGTCTAGCACATGGTAATTTATTTCAGACAGTTTTGGTCTAACACTGGAATATAGTTTAACTGGTATATCATTTTACAATAATGATGTCTTACATCCCATATAATCACCGCTAAATCCATTTCCATTATCATTTTATCAATCACCGAGCCAAAGGAGACTTTACTTGTGTCTCTCAGATCAGAGTTTGTACGTTAAGAAAGAGAGCTTGTGGAAATAACACATCTGCTCATTTCTTTCTCATCACAACTAAGTCAAAATTAAATAAATTTAATTATGATGTGCAATTTCACAACTTGGAAGCAGCATTAACATCACCTGAGAAGTATTCCAACTGTATCATGGTGATAAGTTTATTCTCCTTTGAAAATGCAAAGTTCAACACTAGAGGGCTCCCTTCAGATTCCCAGCATTCCACCAGGACCTTTTCTCCAGGGCGCGCTTCTTTCATGAACATAAACGAGCATCTTTTTAGATCATAAGCCACCAACTCGTGACTGAAGGCAGAAAGATTATTCTGCGTTGCAGCAAAACTACCGCAGTCTACACACATTCGACACATATCGGCTTGATTCAAGTGAGAATTGAAGTCAGTATCGCTCCAATTGACAACAAACTCATGTTTGAAAGCTGTCTCTGGTTTGAACTCAAGATCAAAACCATTTGGTGGCTCTTCTCGCAAATTCTTTGGACATAAGTCCTCAAGCAAGTACGCAAATGGCTTTGGCTTACGGTCTTTCATATCCACAGTGACCATCTGAATCCAATAGTTTGCCAGTTCTTCATCTGTCTTAAGATCCATGCACTGTGCTTCCCAGCACACTGAACTCTTCCCCAAGTAAGTCAAGCAGATTTTAAACTTGAGGGCTTGGTCAATTTGGATTCTGCCTTCAGTGCCCTCCTTTAGATTAACCTCGACGTTGCGGGCAAACAGTGAAACATGCTCATTGCCTGTGAAGTCTGGTTGGAAGAGATTGAGACTGGCTTCAAAGTAGTCGATGATACACCATAGATTGAGTCTCCCTGTGGAAGATAGTATGACAAAACTTATCATGTATAAAACAAAATCAACAAAGGTGGCTGAAAACGAACACTAATAATATCAGAGACATGTCTCTCTCTGCTCATATCCTCTAAAGTACTGACATATGGTATAACGGCAAGAATATGAAGAAATGCCATACATTAATTATTTATTGGTTTTCCCAGTAAATTCAGGCATATTAGGACACTGATAATATTTCATATATATTATAAAGAAAGAAATAACTCTTTGTTTCCATTTTTAATTTTGAAAATTAAGTTAAAAAATGTACATGTAGGGTGACCATTTCACATGTTCATCTCCTTTCTGATATATGTGTCCCACTTGGAAAATGAAAACTTCAAACTTTTGGTATACAAATACAAAATACAGTAAGTTGCTCGATCTCCATCATTTTGATTTTTATCCACTGCTTCATAAGACTTTTTTTTTAAAGACCACTTAAAGCTGATGGTCCATTCTCAGGTTTGAAAATCTAGGTTAACGCAGTGGCGGATCCAGGGGCCCAGGCCCCTGTTACACCCACAAATGTAATAATGCCCACAAATGTAATAACACTTTACCCACAAATGTAATAATTTCACCAACAAATGTAATAACCACTTAAACCCACAAATGTAATAATTTTGAATCACCCACAAATGTAATAATGACTTTACCCACAAATGTAATACATTTGAAGTGATATTTTGTCGAATTTGTTCAAAACTAAAACCCTGTAATAAAGCATGGATATAGCTAACTACCACCTAGCTAACTACCCCCCGGACATCTACCCCCAGTCAACTACCCCCTCCCCGGACATCTAACCCCATCCAACTACCCTCCCCCCCTGGACAACTAACTCCCCCTCCAACTACCCCCCTTCCCCCGGACATCTACCCCCAAGCAAATTAAGGTAGTTGGGGGTAGTTGCCCGGGGGTGGTTGGATGGGGGTAGATGTCCGGGGGTAGTTTTCAGGGTGGGGGTAGTTGGCTGGGAGTAGTTGGAAGGGGATAGTTGGATTGGGGGGGGGGGAGTAGATGTCAAGGGGGGTAGTTGGCTGGGGGTAGATGTCCGGTGCCTGTATTGCTTTTTAAAATCACTAACATATTCATTTATTTATAATCCTTATACAAGTGTATGATTTGTTTTGCATTTATGTCTTTAATCAGATTTCTGTTTAAGGTTGAAAAATGGCTCAAAAGTGGCAAACGCCAAACTCTTCAACAGAGATCAGGTAAAGGTTGTTAATATTCTTGATATCATTGTATAATTAAAATAATTATTTCCTTTTGATCAGTCATACTTCATTTCAACTCCGTCTACTCTTGAAGCATCTGAAAAGTATTACTGAAAAACTTTTGGAGTTGTACGTGATAAGTAGTTTTATATGGACGAATACTAGGTTACAGAAAGCCAGGTACATTTAGTATTTCGGTATATTGTTCTCGTTTTTCCTAGTATATAGATATTTTATCAGTCAAAGGGTTCTACAATCGTTCATTCAAAACATGCAAATATGTTTCACGTGATCTCGTTATACAGCTATTTATGATTTGTTATATGAAAGTATGTGTTGTTATTTGCTTGTTAACCGATTATCATTTCAGACTTATTCTTGTTTATATAGCTGCTTGAGTGTTTCAGAAGTAGGGAAAACTGTAATATAAATGTGTTTTGTTTGTATTTGCCTTTGAATAAATTTTGTTCTCATGAATTCACACCGTGTACCGCGTACCGCGTACCAAATGGTAGTCTTCAGTATAAGTAATTGATACGTTCATCACATGAAGAAAGGTAATTCATTCATGCACTCATGAAAATATAACATCGCAATCCAATGTTTCAATGTCACTAATAGCGTACATATATATATATATGTTACATATCGTGAACATATTTTATAATCACATGCATAAAACAATCAGCGTCAATATTTAAATACATTTAAGGTCACTTATTCGATTACTTTTTTTTCTACAAACATTGAATTCCAGGATATTTGTGGGCATTATTATTACTTTATTACAGGGTTTTAGTTTTGAACAAATTCAACAAAATATCACTTCAAATTTATTACATTTGTGGGTAAAGTCATTATTACATTTGCGGGTGATTCAAAATTATTACATTTGTGGGTAAAGTGGTTATTACATTTGTGGGTGAAATTATTACATTTGTGGGTAAAGTGTTATTACATTTGTGGGTGTTATTACATTTGTGGGTAAAGTATTATTACATATGTGGACGTTATTACATTTGTGGGTGTAACAGCCCCCCCCCCCCCCCGGGAAAAAAAATGTGGATTTTTACGTTTTTTAACGTTAATTTTACCTCTTTTTTTAGATGCCCCCCCCGGCGCTCAAGTGCTCACTACCCCCCCGCTGAGCGACTTTTTGACCGGCGCGATTTTTAAATTTTCGGGAGCAAAAAAAAAAAAAAAAAAGGCGCCCTCCCTTAAGAAATCCTGGATCCGTGCCTGTTTTAACGATACATGTGCCTAAAAGTACTAATTAAATGGACATCAAAGTGGCTCTTCTAAGTATATGACCTCACCAAATTTGTTGAACTCTCCATAGCTAAGATCTTTGTTAATGAAAATCTTGGCAAGGCCATCCTGTTCTGTCTTTGCCTCCTGAAATTTTGTGATAAATTTCCTCCATTCAGCTGGTACAGTGGAAGACATCTTTCTTGGTGTGGTAATATGTCTATGTATCAAATAAAAGAAATAAACAAGAGACTAATGTTCCTTGGTTTTGATGAAATGGCCAATGAAAACATTGACGATCTAACCATTAAAGCCTTAATTCACCACTCACCAAGGACGACCTAGCTAATCGAAGAAGTGTAAACCCACATAAGCCCAGGCAGATACTAATAAAATTGTGCTCATACTCGAAGAAATACTGAAATTGAAATTGAAATTGACAGCGGCACATCGATAAATGTAGACTCGATACACCTTAAAACCTGAATCACACTCTACTGATAGCAGCATGTGCCCCCAAAAAATCTCCAAGGTCGGTTGAACTTTTTTAGACCCCTCCCCAGGACGTTAATCAATTACATGTATGTGCCCCCCCCCCCAAAAAAAAAACAAACAAACAAACAAACAAACATCAAACTCTGGCTACGGCCCTGTTCTGGAGTCATAAATTTGGCCCAGTTTTGATAAAGTAACAAGCACTGTACACAGAAAGATGTATATGGTGTCAGGCCTGTACTTACCTTGATTTCCTTATCTTTCTATGCTCATTATTCAGCCAGTATCCATTGTCTACCAAAATTGTTTGGCAAATGACATTTATTTGTAATCTTGAACATTCAGTGCAAGTTACATTTGATTCTGTGAGTATTCATTTTCTTTATTTACCAGAACTTGTTTATCTTTAATGTTTCACTTGTAAATATTGTGAAAATTGTGTATTTGCTCTCTCTTTTGTGGCTATACTTACGTTTCTGTGATTCTGATACTTAATTTCCCAGTGTATGAGATAAAGACTCACCTTGACCTTTGTTATTGGCAGTGCAAGGTTATGGAGGATTAATCAGTGTTCTTAACTCTTTATTTGTTAGTTATTAAATATTAGAAATGGTTGGAACTAATATTTTTTAAGTTTTGGTGTCAATTTATAGAGTTAATGATAGAAAAATGGTCTTAATTATGCATTAAATCGGCTGCCATATTTTATGTACATCATCTCCTCTCACTTTGTTACTTTTTATTTAACATGGGCATAACAAGTCAAGTACAATAATAAGATCTAACAGTAACACTTGTAAACAAGCTTGGATCTATAAATAGTAAACAACTTTAAGCGTATACTTATACTATTTATAGCCTTATTTCAGATACATGACCCTGACTGACCCCATGGTATGGATGAGTGACCATAATTTTAAAAATGCCTCCGAGCAGACAGATTTTTTTGGTTATGACTCACGACAGCACACACACCCTGACGGTGCCCTACTCACCTCCCCTCGGGAAAGTTTCGGCTGCGATGACCATCAAATGCTGAACTTCGTGAGTGCGAGAAGAAGCTCGAGCTCCCACCTCGTTTTCCAGTGTAAAACCTTCGAGATTCGCATGTATTTCGGTGAAAAATCATACTAATCGATCGCAGAGGAGAGAAGTTCACGAAAGCTCGAATCATGGTCTTTCGTTTATTCTTCAAAATTTATGAATTGATAGATTCTATGATATAATTATCTTCATCACCTTGAAGCGGCACTTAACTATTAGGCGCCGTTTGTAAACCTATTATTTAGACAAATTATATGTTATTTGACCGTTCGATATTTCGTTCCGTTGGGGGGGGGGGGGGGGGGGGGGGGTGGTAAGGTCACCTTTTCTGGTCACCCATTAGCACAATTAAAAAAAAAAAAAAAAATTATTTGTTTACAAACAAACAAAAAATTGAGGGGGGGGGGGGGGAGTTTCCTCCAAAACATAGACAAAAACAAAATTGAGGGAGGGAGGGGGGGGGGGGGGAGGTTTGACCCCCAAAACACCGGTAAAGGGGTACTTTTTTTTTTACTGAGGGCGGTGATTTCAAAGGGAGGGAACATCATACGCGTACCCTAAATAACACTGAGTAGGGGGGGGGGGGAACGTATTACTATGTGAAATCGTTGATTAAGTAAATGTATTCAAATTTATGGATGCTTCCTTCCCAGGTGTGTGTGGTGATGAAGCATTTTATTCACCTTTTTTTATCGATACATTTTATTTCGAATTCAGTAAAAAAAAAAAATTAAAAAACAGGTCATAAACTTTTACAACGTACATATTTAAATTAAACTTAAATATGTGAAACAAAGTAATTACATTTAAATTCAAATAGTTGGGAAATGAAATAGGGTGTATCAGTAAAAGCCTATGTGGCTTGACAAGTTGATACACCCATTTAATACAAAGAATGAAAAACATTATATAAATTTCAGGTAGCTGACGGTTACATACTAAATTGCATTTAACTTAAACATACTGAGACAGTAAATAACGCTTGTACTTATTTTTAAAAGAATTTCCAAATTGAGTATTACGTATTAAGGGGGATAATGTATTTCATGTAATGGGACCAACGAACCGAATGGACTTAAAAAGAGAGAGTGAGATGTGACTTTTGATTGATGGAATAACTGGTTGTGTCTAGTATTATAATTGTGGACATGGACATTTCAAGAAAACATATTCATCAAATATTCCGGTAATGTATCTAAATAGTAATGATGCATAAGTATACCCATTTTTAATCTATTAATATCAAAAACGTTCAACGTTTTAAATTTGTAAAAAATTGGTTGTGATGGGGCCCGATAATCTGCATTTGAGCAAATGCGTAATGCCTTTTTTTTTAAGACTGTGTAATTTAATTAATTTTGAAGGATAAGGATTAGCCCAGAGAATCATCAAAAATAAAATTTGTAAAGTGTCTCATGTGACAAAGTAAACCAATATTGCGAGAAATTTTCGAACAAGTATAATTAATGTGAGGATCCCATGATAAATGTTCGTCCAACACAATTCCTAAATATGTAATTGTTGAACAATTCTCTATTTTATTAGTATTAATAAAAATGGATATATCATTATAAACGTCTAACTTATTTTGGGGATTACGGAACATAACATAATAGTTTTCAGAACATTCAATGATAATCTATTACATAAAAGCCTGCTCTTCATATTACATGTTAATGATTTGCCGCGTGGCCTCACCCACTGTAAAGTAAGCATGTATGCTGATGATACGGTAATATATTGTTCGGCAAATGATACCATAGAATTGAGTGAGAAGATTAATGAAGACCTAGAATATGTTAAAAAGTGGTTGATACAAAACAAACTAAATTTGAATACAAAGAAAACTGAATACATTGTATTCGGTACGAAGCAACGTCTGGAGAAAGTTAAAGATAATGATTTAAACATTACTATAGACAGTACTGTGTTAACTCGAGTTAGTAAGTGTAGACACCTTGGGCTAATTTTAGATGAAAGGTTATCATGGCAAGAACATATTAATACTATTCATAAAAAAGCAAGTAACGGATTATATATGCTGAAATCTATAAGAAATATAGCAAATGAATATGAAATGAAATTGGTTTATAATTCACTAGTATTGTCTCACTTAAATTATTGTGATGTAGTATGGGGTGGATGTGGAAGTACACAGAAAAACAAATTACAAAAAATCCAGAATAGAGCAGCTCGAATAATTAATAGGTCCTCTTGGTATTCCTCATCAGATGAAAATTTAACAAGACTAAATTGGAATACACTTGACAATAATAGAACAAAGAATGTAGCAATTATGATGTATAAGATTGTCTCAAAACAAGCTCCTGAGTATTTAGTAGAAAGGTTTATATTTGCAGACCATACATACAATACACGTTCAAGTCTGTATAATGTGAAAACAATAAGACCAAAGACTGAGACTATGAAAAGATCTTTTAAATATAGAGGGGCCTAACATGGAATAACTTGCCACATGAAGTACAAGGTGCTAAATCGTTAAATATTTTTAAGGCAAAGCTGACGTAATACGAAATAAGTGTGTGGGGAGGGGCTAACTTATGAGTTTAAGAGAGCTTTGTTGTTGTTTGTTTTTAAGGTTTTATAGTTGTATACAATTTTTATCTCATAATTTCAACCTATTTATCATTGTTATTTATGTTATATTACTCCTACGCAATATGTTTTAAATGTCTATTCGTGTGCAATATGATCTTTGCAATACGTTATCAGTTTTTGTCTCTTTAAAAACAAAAACAATTTAACTGATCCATATTCATAAAGCTCTTAAGTATTTATTATTATTCCATACTTCATTTTACTTCTACATTCTACATTATGTGTGTTTTCTTTTGTTTATTGTTTTAAAGTTTGATTATTTAATATTTAACATGAATACATAATATGTTTTTAACTTATTTATAATCTTGTTAAACTTCTTTTTGTTTTTACTTTATATATATAAATATGCAAACAGATTATGATGATCATATGTGTAACTTATTTAATTGTTTATCTTTTGGGTCTACCAATATAGTTCTAATTAAGTAAAGTGTTTTTAGCTTATTTCCTATTATTGTCGTGTTATGGTTGTGAATCTGTCATTGTTATATTACTTTTGTTTATATGTCATGATTATGTTGTTTTTTATCGACACGGCCCTGATTGAAACCAGTCTGCGAACTGTTTCGGGCTTTTACCGTGTATAAATAAAATAAACTCTAAACTCAACTCAATGCACAAATTGTAAATGGACATTAATTGCATTAATCAAGAAAGGAAAGTCTGAATGTGAAGCTACACCTGCTAATATCCTTTGTACTACAACTGCCAGAATGCAAATTTCATGAATAAGTTGGTCCTCTTCTAGGGTGAAGGTTTCTCATAAATGAAATACATTTGTCAACAGCTATATTTTAGTATTATTCAATGAATTAGTTACAATTGCTCCCCTGTAGGCTGTTATCTATCTTTCACCAAATATTATGTAAAATATCTATTCAGCTATATTTTTTCCTCATTGAAAAGTAAAGGTTTTGTTATTGATTTAAAAAGTCTTTTCAACTAAAACTTAGTGCATGATACATGTACAACTTCAACTGTGCGTCACATTTTCAAGAACATTGCTGCGCTCATGCCATGCGAAAAGGCATCACATCATGCCAAGAATACCTTCATTCATAATTTTATATACATGTATCTCTTCTCTTGTACATTTTCGTAAGGAACTTGATACATCTTATTTTTCAGAACACCTAGTTCATCTTTAGGGAGAGGTTTTCTTTAACCATATTATTGAAATCAAAAGAGAGCTGATTGAGTAAACTGAGTGGACTAACATCAACGAACTCAAATTCGACGACTAACATCTCCCTATGTTTTTCATTAGTTGCTAGTCTTGACCCCAGACTGTATACCGTAGTTTATAACTTGTGGAAATTACACATCTGCTCATTTCTTTCTCATCACAAATAAGTCAAAATTAAATAAATTTAATCATGATGTGCAATTTCACAACTTGGAAGCAGCATTAACATCACCTGAGAAGTATTCCAACTGTATCATGGTGATAAGTTTATTCTCCTTTGAAAATGCAAAGTTCAACACCAGAGGGCTCCCTTCAGATTCCCAGCATTCCACCAGGACCTTCTCTCCAGGGCGCGCTTCTTTCATGAACATGAACGAACATCTTTTTAGATCATAAGCTACCAACTCACAACTGAAGGCAGAAAATAATTCTGCGTTGCAGCAAAACTGCCGCAGTCTACACACATTCGACACATATCAGCTTGATTCAAGTGAGAATTGAAGTCAGTATCGCTCCAATTGACAACAAACTCATGCTTGAAAGCTGTCTCTGGTTTGAACTCGAGATCAAAACCATTTGGTGGCTCTTCTCGCAAATTCTTTGGACAGAAGTCCTCAAGCAAGTACGCAAATGGCTTTGGCTTACGGTCTTTCATATCCACAGTGACCATCTGAATCCAATAGTTTGCCAGTTCTTCATCTGTATTCAGATCCATGCACTGTGCTTCCCAATACGCTGAACTCTTCCCTAAGTAAGTCAAGCAGATTTTAAACTTGAGGGCTTGGTCAATTTGGATTCTGCCTTCAGTGCCCTCCTTTAGATTAACCTCGACGTTGCGGCCAAACAATGATAAATGCTCATTGCCTGTGAAGTCTGGTTGGAAGAGATTGAGACTGGCTTCACAGTAGTCGAAGATACACCATGGATTGAGTTTCCCTGTGGAAGATATCATGACAAGACTTATCATGTATAGAACAAAATCAACAAAGGTGGCTAAAAACAAACACTTATCGTTACAGAGACAATGTCTCTCTCTGCTCATAATCCTCAAAAGTACTGACATGATGGTATAACAGCAAGAAAATGAAGAAATGCCATATATTAAGAACTGGTTTTCCCAGTATATTTAGGGATATTAAGACCTTGATAATATTTAATATGTATTACCGTAAATATCCGTGTATTAGACGCACCCCTAATTTTGGGCCAATTTATTTTGCCGACTTAATCGACAGCAAGCCAGGTCCGTGTTAAAAAACCCACGCGGGAAGGACTTTCATTTCACCGCGAGGTGCGGTTGAATGTGTAAGATCATTAATGTAAATTAAAACACAGTAAAGGACCTAGGGTAGAACCTTGTGGTACGCCATGTGTATAGAAGAAAAATTGGAGGAATTATTTATATAAACTACATTATTGAGATCTATCAGAACGATTACTTTCAAACCAAGGTGACAGACAAATTTGAGTGTTCAAGACTGTTCTATAGTTTCCGATCGGTGAGTCAACACACCGATTACTGAGCTGGGAAACATTACCAGGTATAACGCCAGCTAGGTGGAGGGGCATAAATCGAAACTTTTAATTTATTATTTTTATTTTTTTAACCTGTGTATAAGACGTACCCCCTGATTTTTTTTTCGGCGGCAAAAAATTGCGTCTTATACACGGATATTTACGGAATACAGAAAGAAATAACTCTTTGTTCTTAATGTTGTTCCCATTTATACATTTTGAAAATTAAGTTAGAAATGTATACCATTTCACATGTTCATCTCCTTTCTGATATAATTATGTGTCCCACTTGGAAAATGAAAACTTGGAACTTTTGGTATAACAAAGATGACTTTAGTTGCTTTGATTTCCATCACTTTGATTTTTATCCACTGCTTCATAATTTTTTTTAAAGACCACTTAAGCTACAGTCCCATATACGTCCCGGACCGTCCCGGACCATCCCGGACCCCATCCGGGGTGATCCGGGATTCGGTCCGTGTTGACACCGTGTTGGCACCGGGGTGGTCCTGGATGGTCCTGGATGGTCCTGGATGGTCCTGGATGGTCCTGGGCGGTCCGGGAGTCGACCCCGGATGTTTTTGACGGTCAAAAACTGCCGGGTGGTCCGGGACGGTCCGGGACAATAGTTTGATCCGGGGTGATCCGTGTAGCCACCGTGCTGGGTCCGGGGTCATCCGTAGTGGCGCCGGGGCGGTCCGTGTTGATCCGTGGCAGTCCGGGAGTGAGTTATTGACCGCCCAGGACCATCCAGGACCATCCAGGACCACCCCGGTGCCAACACGGTGTCAACACGGACCGAATCCCGGATCACCCCGGATGGGGTCCGGGATGGTCCGGGACGGTCCGGGACGTATATGGGGACTGTAGCTTTTAAAGCATCACACTTTTTTGAACAAAACATCCCGGACCATCCCGGATCACCCAGACCATGGTCCGGGATGGTCCGGAGTGGTCCGTGCTCGTCCGTGCTGGTCCGGCTTTATATGGGACTGGGGCTTTAAGGCTGATGGTCAATTCTCAGGTTTGAAAATCTAGGTAAACGATACAATGTCATGTGCCTAAAAGTACAAATCAAATGGACACAAGTGCGTAGCTATAGGATTTAATTTTAGGGGGGGGGGGTTGTATTGGGCACGCAAAGCGCGCTCCCTAGGGGGGGGGGAGCTTTGATGTTTCATCAAATTATTAGAGAAAGATGAAGATTCGTTGTGCGTTCTCGACTCCTATTCCTTGTCTGAATTCAGTTTCCCCTCCCATTAAAATAATGTATCATAAGAGAAAGAAAACGATTCGTTGGACCGTTCTCGACTCTAAAGTCTGGATTCAGTCCCCATGGGCCCTTCCGCGCAAAGCAAAGCAAATCCTTGTCTGAATTCAGTTCCCCCTCCCGCGCGAAAGCTTTGACGTTTCATTAAGTATCATTAGAGAAAGAAGTCGAGTATTGGACGTTCTCGACTCTTAATCCTTGTCTGGATTCAGTCCCCCCCCCCTCCCCCTATCGCGTGAAACGTGGAAGCTTTGACATCATTCAATTATTAGAGAAAGAAGACACTTCATTGTATCGTATAAGTCTTTGTCTGCTCTTTTTCCTTCCTACGGGTCGTCCTCTCCTTTTTTTCTCCTCTCTCGCTCTCTCTTTCTCTTTTTTGGCAGGCGCTTTTTTTGGGGGGAGGAGGGGGTGACTGCCCCCACCGCCCCATGCTACGCGCCTGAATGGACATCAAGTGGCTCTTCTTATTATGACCTTACCAAATTTGTTGAACTCTCCATAGCTAAGATCTTTGTTAATGAAAATCTTGGCAAGGCCATCCTGTTCTGTCTTTGCCTCCTGAAATTTGTGATAAATTTCCTCCATTCAGCTGGTACAGTGGAAGACATCTTTCTTGGTGTGGTAACAAGTCTATGTATTAAATGGAAGAAATAAACAAGAGACTAGAGCTCCATGGTTTTAATGAAATGGCCAATGAAGACATTGACGATCTAACCATTAAGCCTTAATTCACCACTCATCAAGGACGACTTTGACAGATCCCACTGCACCCATCGTAAGATACACCAGTCCTAGCTAATCGCAGAAGTGTAAACCCACATAAGCCCAGGCAGATACCAATAAAATTGTGCTCATACAGGAAGAAATACTAATACTAAAATTGACAGTGGCATATCGATAAATGTAGACTCGATACACCATAAAAGCTTAATCACACTCTACTGATAGCACCATCAAAGTGGCAGCAGCTTGGTCCTTTGAATTAATCGCACTATAATAATTAAAACCAATAGAGGAAAAGGTCAGAAAAGACCGATAAAAATGAAACAAATAAAAGCAACATACCAACCTTGCCAATCTAGAAGATCCTCATGACCTTATAGATTCCAAGCATTACAATTTGTCTACCATACAAAGCTACCTCATATCATAAAGATGAATTTTATGCATGTTTAAACCCCCTCCTGCGCGAAGCGCGTAATCTTTGACGTTACATCACATAATTACTCTTGATCCTTGTCTGAATTCAGTTACCCCCGCCCGTGCAAAGAGCGGAAGCTTTGGCGATTCATTAAATTATTAGCGAAAGAAGACGATTCGTGTACCGTTCTCGGCTCTCAATCCTTGTCTGAATTCAGTCCCCCCCCCCCCCTTGCACCCGCGCAAAGCGCGGAAGCTTTGACGTTTTATTAAATCATTGGAGAAAGAAGGCGATGCGTTGTACTGTTTTCGCCTTGTCTGAATTCCGTTGTCCCTCGATCCGCGCGGAAGCTTGACGATTCATTAAATTATTAGCGAAAGAAGACGATTCGTTGTACCGTTCTCGACTCTCAATCCTTGTCTGAATTCAGTCCCCCCCCCCCCCCTTGAACCCGCGCAAAGCGCGGAAGCTTTGATGTTTCTTTAAATCATTAGAGAAAGAAGGCGATGCGTTGTATAGTTTTCGACTCTTAATCCTTGTCTGAATTCCCGTTGTCCTCTCCCCCTCCTTCGCGAAGCGCGTAAGCTTTGACGTTTCATTACATAATTACTCTTTAGGCCTTGTCTGAATTCAAAGAAGACGATTCGTTGCACCGTTTTCGACTCTTAATCCTTGTCTGAATTCAGTCTCCCCCTCCCGCGCAAAGTGCGGAAGCTTTGAAGTTTTATTAAATCATTGGAGAAAGAATTCGATGCGTTGTACTGTTTTCGACTCTTAATCCTTGTCTGAATTCCGTTGTCCTCTCCCCCCCCCCCCTCCTGCGCGAAGCTCGTAAGCTTTGACGTTTAATCACATAATCACTCTTGATCCTTGTCTGAATTCAGTTCCCCCCTCCCGCGCAAAGAGCGGAAGCTTTGGCGATTCATTAAGTTATTAGCGAAAGAAGACGATTCGTTGTACCGTTCTCGGCTCTCAATCCTTGTCTGAATTCAGTCCCCCCCCCCCCCCCCCCCCCCCCCTTGCCACCGCGCAAAGCGCGGAAGCTTTGATGTTTCATTAAATCATTGGAGAAAGAAGACGATTCGTTGTACCGTTCTCGTGATTCTAGTGCCCAGTATACGAGATAAAGACTTATATATTCTACCATGGAGATATCTATCTTATATCTCCATGATTCTAACTTGACCTTTGTTATTGGCATAGTGCAAGGTTATGGAGGATTAAAGATAAAGGCCAGTTATGGTCAAGTGATTGCATTGTGAAAGAAACGTTGTGGAATCGATCAGACTGAAAGGTTGATCATCTAGCATATTATTGGTGTGTACTGCAAGATTCTGGCCCATGGAGTCTTGGTAAAGTTACAAGCACTGTACACAGAAAGATGTATATGGGACTACGCGATATCTATCAGGTCCAAATAGATATACGCGTATCTATTTGGACCTGATAGATATCGCGTGTATATCAATTAGGCAAAATTTGTATCATCACGTATTAGTCAAAACATATTTCACATGATTGGTACCGGTAAAAAGAGCTTCCATTTCATTCTTTGAGAGGGGGCCGGGGCGTTTCCAAAACTGGTCTTTACCTTCAATCACTGTGTTTGTTATTTAATATAAGAACTGGGTGGAACTAATATTTTTAAAGTTTTGGTGTCAACTTATAGAGTAGTTAATGATAGAAAATGGGGTCTTAATGCATAAAATTCGGCTTCCATATCTACTCTCACCTTTTCTTCTTATTTAATATGGGCATAAAAAGTATACAAGCAAGCTATAAATAGTAAACAACTTCAAGCTTATAAGTTATACGTATAGCCTTATTCCAGATACATGACCCTGACCCAGTGAAAAAAATACACGGGGGCTCAGGGCGAATTTCCCCTCGAAATGCCCAAAAGAGCCCCCGAAAATCAGAAAAGAGCCCCGGCGTAATTTAGAGTTCAATGCAAAACAATTTTTAGAATTAGAGAGTAATTTTTATGCAGGCAAGCTTGAAAAGTAGCCCCCGAAAAATAAATATTAATTTTTCCCTGCCCTGACCCCATGGCATGGATGAGTGACCATAATTTAAAAACTGCCTCCGAGCAGACAGATTTGTGTTGGGTTCCTGACCCTTGGCCTTTTACATGACTCACGACTATGTCACGCATTTAGGGAAACAAATAAATATATGCGACACTATTTCACTCAAATTTATATATTTGACACCTTCAAAAGACATTTGACAAGTTTTTTTGACAAGAATTTTATTCGACATAAATTTCATTCGACACATTGTTCGTCAAAAATTGTATTTATCAAAAAATGTATTCAACAAAAATTTATTCGACAAAACTTTTATTCGACAAAACTTTTATTCGACAAAAATTTCATTCGACACATTTTATTCGACACATATTTTATTGAACAAAAATTTCATTTGACACAAATTTTATTCGACAAAAATTTCATTCGACACAAATTTTATTCTGCATGCCACAAAAAAGTTATTCGTCTCAAAAAAGTTATTCGTCTCAAAAAAAGCTGTTCGACTCACCCAGAATACATGCGATACTTTACACAACTAAACCTGCACCGTGCACGATCGCGCAACAGGCGCGTTTACGATACGAAGACTATAGATCCACGTCGCGGCCTATATAGCCTCTGGTCAATGAACAGTGGGCAGGATTGTTTGAGGGTGATGAGAGATGAGAAGAGGGAGGGCAAAGTCATGTAGTCTGGATGGTAAGGGGCTTGTTGGGGGGGGGGCGTTAAGGGGGCACAAATTCGTGTCTATTACCTACTTTGTTCACTTTTTCATTTCCTATATAGATTGTTTTAGGACGAAATGAAGGTGTGGGCATAGTATAATCTAGTCGACCCGGGTAAAGAGCTAGTGGATTGGGGGGGGGGGGGGGGGGGGGTTGGGAGGTATGTGGAAACGAAGTAGGTAATATACACTCCTTTATATTCCAATAACGCCATCCCCCCCCCCCCCCCCACCACCACCACTATCCCCTATCCATTCAATTCCAGTCTACATCAGTATGCCCTCCCTCTTCTCATCATCCTCATGCAAACAATCCTACTCACTGTTAATAATTAATAAAGTAGGTAATATACTCATACATATACTGTATACATACTCTTTTGAAAGAAGTCCATTGAACTTCAATGCAATTCAATGTATTTCTCCACAAATGCCAAACATAGAAAAATACATAAAATCAAATACATATACATGCAATAAAACGACTCCAATTTATGTTTGAAATAGAAACAAATCAGCAAAGGTAGAAAGGGTAGTCGAGGACTACCCCCCCCCCCAACAATAATAACAAATTACAATCAAAAGTAAATATAAGGTCAAATGATGAGGTGGTACCATAGAGATATTATATCTCTATGGGTGGTACCAATAACGAGAAAGAAGAGGGAGAAAATAGAGGGGGAAGTGCTTCCGTGAATAAAATTTGTGTCGAATGAAATTTTTGTCGAATAAATTTTTTGACAAATACAAGTTTTGACGAACAATGTGTCGAATGAAATTTATGTCGAATAAAATTCTTGTCAAATCAATGTTTTCTTACATTGTCGAATATATACATTTGAGTGAAATATATTTTTTGAAAGTGTCGCATATATTTATTTGTTTCTCTAAAGGCGTGCCATACACGACAGCTACAGCACACACACCATAGAGATAGTGTTAGTAGTATATATCTCTATGACACACACACACCTAAACTGTGTCCTACTCACCTCGCCTCGGGAAAGTTTCGGCTGCGATGACCATCAAATGTTGAACTTCGTGAGTGCGAGAAGAAGCTCGAGCTCCCACCTAGTTTTCCAGTGTAAAACCTTCGAGATCCGCATGTATTTCGGTGAAAAAACCATACTTCTAAGTCTAATCGATCGCAGATGAGAGAAGTTCACGAAAGCTCGAATCATGGTCTTTTGTTTAGTTGTTCAAAATTTATGGTAGGCTATAGTCTTTTGGACTACACTGCACTGTGGATGCTCACAGTCGGGTGCATGTAAACGTACCACTGAACTTGAAGAACTTTGCCAAGCTAGTTGTTGGTTGTATTTATTTGTAGATTGTAGTCCAATTTGACCATTGACGCCCAGTCTGGTTCCAGTCTGCTAAACAGATGTTTGTTTTGTTTCCTTTTTTCTTCCGAATACATGTAGTCTACAAAGATATGTTAAAGGTAAAGACCAGTATTGGTAACGCCCCAATTTCAAAAAATGAAATGGAAGCTCTCATTACCAATCATGTGAAAGAATATGTTTTGACTAATACATGATGATAACAAATTTGCCGGGAAACCGCCTACTAATTCATATTTGGTAAATTTGTTTCTCTCATGGTCCTGTGAGAGATATAGGGTAGTCCCATATACATCTTTCTGTGTATAGTGCTTGTAACTT